AGGTGCCAACTGGTGCCTGAAGCCGAGCTCTATAACAGGGCCTTGGTCCCATAACAGATTTATTTAAAGGTAAGAAAGTTTTCTATTACTAGATTAGTTATAATTTAATATTATTATATTAGATTTTTTCTTACAGTTCGGCAATTTGTTTTTACAACTGCTAATAATCTTATAGTCAGCTAATAATATTTCTAACTGCAGTAAGATCCTCTACTAAAGGATCTAATAATAAGAATAATAAACTATTAGTAGTAGAGGAAGTTTCCGACTTTAAACTGCTATTAGAATATAATAGTTACTATAACATACTGTATTCTATAGATAACTAAAAAAAAGGATTAGAATTGTTAAGGAAAAAATAAGTTAGTTAGATATAAAATAGTAGCAGTCTATTATTTTTTTAAAACTAATTCTTACTATTCCAAAGGTATAGCAAGTTTCTAAAAGTTAAATACTGGAGGGAGTTTTTAAGTTGTTGACATTACAACTCTTCTGTTAGGGATATATGGGCAAGCTGTTGGTGGTTCAACATACCCTTGGGGATTATCCATGACATATAACCAGCTTTGTAACTTATTAATTAGTAAATACTTGCCAAGTACTTAATAAGTGATTATTAAATAATTAATAACTGCTTAGAATATAAGAATAAAAAGATTTAAGTATGGGCGACCTATAAAAAGTCTTTAGTTATTAAAACTAGGCTTAATAAAAATTACTTAAATATCCCTATCTATATTTATAATTTAATTTGGAATCATACTAATACAGCTAAGCAGTCCTATTATAAGATAAATATAGTAGGAAGATAGTTAATATGAACTACAGCAATTAAAAAGTAAGTACTTAGTAATTAATTAACAACTAATTATCTAGTACTTATTCAAACCTTTTATTTAGTTCTGCAAAGCTGGATAAACAAGATATTTTACAGTATATTGATTATACTAATTTTAATATTTATTGTCTATATTAAATAGTAAATATAGAGACTAATTAATTGAGGCATATAGCTTAGAAGGATAAATATATATATATATATTATATTAGTTGTTTAAGTACTTACTAACCATTTTTTAACTACTTAGTATTATACAAATGCTGTTGTTCACTATTATTATTTTCTTCTAATTCAGAGTCTGGATTTCTTTTCTAAGATTATAATCTTAATCTTGTGGTTGAGGTAGCAACTAGTAAGATTATTTTAAATTATTTAATAAGCAGATAATAAACAGTTACTAACTATTAAATAAATAGTTTAGTATCCTTTTCTACTCAAAACCTTTATTAAGTTTTTTTATAGAATATATTAAACTTTAAGCAGCAGTATCAAAGCTTACAACTTTAAGATCTTAAGATTTAATTAAAAGAAAAGGAAGAGAATTTACAAGCAAAACAGCTTTAAAATAAGAAAAAAAAGCTAGAGCTTATAGAAAGACAAGCAAGAATACAAAATTTAATTAATAAATAGCTAGAAACTAGTTATCAACCAGTTTTCAAGTACTTTAAAAGGTATAGAGACTGTTATATATTAAAAAGCCTAGGTGCCTTATAATTAAAAATATATACGGTAAGGGGTGCATGACTTAAAATAGTGATCACATAATCAGTTTCGGGGCGCGCGACCTTTTCCAAGGGTGCTGCTGACCTGTAACCTGTAAAAAACGACACAACTGATCTGCAACCTCGCCACAGGCACAAGAAGGTGAGACTGCGCCACCTGAACTCCGCCCGTAATAAATAGGCAGTCGAGGCCCAACTACATCTCCCTCACTTAATGTGCGACAATATAATCAGGAGTTGTCATCTACTTGTTTTTCACGCCCACGTTCATCCTGTTCCTTATTTTCAGAACAACCTTAGTTCTTTATTCCTTCTGTGGACAATGGGCGATGCCGCGCGCCCAGGTGACGATGTATTTAGCCAGGTCCTTCAGGAGAGCCTCAAGACATGGTCCTCCTACCTGGATACTGGAAATGAAGATTGCTCATTTCCACGGCAGGCAATAGATCTAAGGTCTCTCGTCTGCCAGACGCCGCCTTTCCTCGGGGGTAGCCGTGCTTCTGACGAGAGAATCTCTTTCGCTTGTGAAGAGAAACAATCGACACATGGGACAGGTAATCTTGTCGTAAATGGGCGATCAACATGGAGGACTTCCAAAGACATCTGTGATCTACAACCGAGGGTCTTGTCTAAACAGCTACTATTAGCAGTTGGCAATCGAGTGAATGTGAGATTGTCAGAAGACTCTCCCTTTGCAGAATGGCCTGGAGTTCAAGGGCTCTTAAGCTATGACAACGGAAACCACCTGTCATGTCTTTACCTCGCATGGGCCTAAATCTTATCCGCTCGATGGGTTGAATTACTTGGTCGTTCTGTTGATCACAAATCCCAGATGGCCTACACGGCGCAAAGTTGGGAAGGCTCAACACAATCGAGTGAGCAACATGTGATTCAAATTGACATCGGCGAGGATGCTTGCGAGGAAGAGGTCTTCTGGTGGCGTGCGATATTGTGCTCTGGCAATTTTTGGAATGCGACTACCAAGTACAATGGTCGTGAGTATTTGTCGCCATGGTCGGTGTCCGCAACTGGCGCTGGATTGACACTGGCCACAAAGGCTTCTTTGAATTTCAAGTTATACCCACCAGATTCGATGACCGCTCTCAAATACCTATCTCGTTTCTGTGTACACCACCGCCTTTACGCTCAGTGCTCAGTCGCCCTTGCTGGAGTACTCTACATTCCATTTCTGAGGGGAAAAACAGTTTCCCTTCCGTTTCCTAAACAAAATTCTCGATTCGGATTAAAGGAAGGTGCTGTTGACCCTGTTTCTATTCCAGATCTTATCAATGAGCATGATCAGTTGCTTGCGAAGTACATGACATTGAGTCTCAACACATGGGGGTTACGCTCGATCCTATGCAGTACCTTCTTCAACACAGAGATCGAGTGTAATATTGTCAGTGCCTGGCTGAACCCAGCTTTTGCGATTCTTGATTCAATATCTTCGAAAAAAACAACAATGGCTCCATTATGATAAACCGACAGCCTCGGCTTGGCATCCTCTGGCTCGGTGCCATTTTCACCGACTTGGCAAAATCTATCTTGCGCGATGTTCGAACAGGAATGACAGCTCTGGACCTTCCAGCTTCTGCCTGGACAGAAACAACGCAAAAATTCTTGACCGCAAAAGTAGGGCCTAGCAATGGCGAATCCATACGCCGTGAAGATGAGTGCCGGCTACTTTTCATCACAGCTTCCGAAGGTCATGACCGACCTCCCATCTGGCCCTGGAAGCCCTTCGGAACTACGCGGCTCTGCGATGCAGAGCTATCTGTCCAAAACCATGCTCACTGTGCTGCTCATTTCTTAGAATATGATTTTTGGGAATGGATGTTGACAAATGGCCGTTCAATTCAAAATTCAAGAGAAATAACTAGCCAGCCTCCATACGCAGCATTACATCCCCATCCCAACCGAAAAGTGCCCGTGCTCGACGATTATACCTCTACGGAGGATGAGAATTCGAGTGTTACCCGTACATTGTCTAAGGATTCCACAGAATGGGAGAGCCCGGTAACAAACCATTTGTGCGAACGTAACGGACTGGAATACAAATCAATGCGCGAAACGACTGGAGAGATGAAGGACAGAGTCCGCCAATTTGCAGTATCGATCACGCAGGCCGCTTGTTCTCTCAACAAATCACGTATTCAGGTACAGCATCCAGATACGCGGCATCATGCCACAATTTATGCGACACCAATGTGTGACAAGAACACATATAGTCTTCCACCGGGCCACGATAGCCGTACTCAGAGCATGTGGGATACAAGAGCAATCAGATCAGCTTTTCCGTCAAGCTTTGGTGGCGAAACTAGGCTAGTTGCTCTCAAGCCTGGCTCGCAACATAGCAGGGTGCCATCAATGTTGCAAGATTGGTACGGGGGAGGGAGAGACGACCAGGACGAACAGCAAATTGTTGGATTTTTGGGGGAGCTTTTTGTGAGAACCCGGAACAGCTTGTTAGCGGAAGATACAACTAACTATCCGAAGATATACGAACTTCTCCGATTGAACGCTCCCAATACATTTAGTGAAGATTGCTGGACAAGTGTGATGCGAGAAGTCCATGGTTTTACGAAGTTCACGAAACCAGAATCTCACTTTACTGATTTCACCTTCGTGGACACAAAAGGCGAATTTGCTCAGTTTCTCCGCGGACATGGGGTATCGTTCCCAGACAACAGTAGTAACAACACGGTGTTTCACATTGAGGTGAAAACTACATCTGGGGGGTGTGATGAGCCCTTCTATACGAGCCACAACCAGTTCAACTTGGTAAGAGCCGCCAGTGAAACGTTGGAGCGTGATAAGGCTGATGATTCAAGTGCCGATGTTGGACCCTTGCTCGGACGGACGGGGTTGTCAATGAAGTCTACTTGATCTTCTGCGTGTACAATATCAAGAACACTGCTGGATTACGCATATACATGGATCCGTGGAAGATGTTCTTACAGGGGAAATTGATCTTTGAGCCAGAAGGATCATTTGTCGTTAAGGCGGGCAATCATGACGCTTCATAATAAGGGAGATGCACCAGGCGACGCTTCAGAAGAAAGTCGCGTCACATACAATGTGGAGCTTATGATTGCTGGGACCAGTGTGGTTTTGTCATGGATGCCGCAAATGTGTCATCCGGGTAATGAGCATAATGGACTGAGGGACACCAGCAACATTCTGGGCCGCAGATTTAAATTCAGCACTATTGTCCATTATTGTACAACTGGAAAAAGTTACGCCAACACTGTACTAAACCTGCTCGCTCCTGTTGGGCCTTTCAAGACCTTGTTGCCTACTCTCATATGCATGTCAGGCTTTTGCATGTGAAGGTTGGACAGGTCAAGGATCCTAGTAAGAAATCTCCAGTTCCATATGAAAAAAGTCCCCCCACTGCGCACAAGATAAGACCTTTCGCGAAAGGAGTTGGCGGGGTACAACTAGCCTAAAAAGAATGTCTATTTCCCTGAGATGAGCTTGGCGTTAATGGCCCTAGAAACCTTTCCATGGACTATGGATAGAAACAAACAAATTTAACGTTGCAGAAAGCACTACATAACGGTATCATTATCAATACCTCCCTCGCACTTGCATCCTCTGCCTTTGAAGTTTGAGAAGAACATTTTCATTAACCTTTTCTTTAAGAACCGCAATAGCAATTGCGGGTAAATCTGTCAGAATTGCGACACTCTCATCGTTGTTCAGGAATTCTTCGGCGTGGCATGAGATTGCCTTGACTATGGCATCCCGAAGCTCAGTCTCGAGAGGTGGAAGAGTGACCCAGATCTCTCGCACGATAAATGGAAGTCTGTTGGCATTTTTGTTAATCCAGTTGAGGAGGCGAGTTCTTGCAAGCTGTTTTAGAGGCGCAATATCAAATTTGTCGGCTGCCATAAAAACATCGAGGTTGTTCCACAAAACTGCTTGAGAATCCTTATTGTCGTCCGAAACAGATGTTTTGTCCTCAATGTCTGGAAAGCCCGTGTCATCATAATCTCGAATATAAAGAAAATCAACAACTCGCTGAATGGTTGCAAATTCATCATCAAGTAGGTCGATATGCGATGAAGCAGCCTCCTTGCGACAATGTTACTCATAGCTACCGAATTCAGCGTAGACGGATACTATTTACCTTGAATCCTGGTTTGACTGCAGCATCGAAAAATGATGACTGGCAGCAGACTATGGCGCGGTGTACTGCAAACTGACGGCCTTCACATGATATCGTTAGGTCGGAGTACCGACCTGATTTCAGGAGGCTTTGCAAAAGTGGTTGAAGATCTGGAAACCCCATATTGTATGGAAGTCGACAGAATAACATGAGTTGCACGACTTAATGGATCTACCATCGGATGGCCTTATAATTGCAAAGCTATCCGTGTTCCAGGTATATGACGTCAACGTCATGACGCCACGACCCCGCGTGTAACTAAGCGTCCGGCGTGTCATGGCCAGACGATGCCATGTGTGCTGCGTTCGGTCACACCACAATCGCCACACGCCCAGAGAGACATTGTTTGGAATGACGGTACTGATTATATGAGCGCCGAGAACACATATACCTGTGACTATAGTGATGAGAGTGACAGTGACGCCGACTACAAAGAGAAAAGTGAGACAGAACTACAGAGTACCCTGCCTATCCATACCAAGCCTTTCGCTCTGGTTATTTCACCAGCATTGCTCTAGCTTGGTCACAAATCATTTCCTGCCGCTGGGTGGACATATTTCAGCAGGCCAGGGAAGAATGTAACATTGTACACAGAAAGACATGCGGATTAAGGATTCATTCTGGGTTATAATCACTCAAGGAAGCTGGAGAGCATTCATAAAGAAACGACAAGGAATCTTCTTTTCACCCTGGATGCTAACAGGCCAGTCTAGCAAAAAGACTTGGTAAGGGAGAGTCAACAACATAAAAACTATGCATACTCCATACTCTCATTCAAAAGCTGATAATGACACTCTACCCCTACTTTAACCTTTGGCTAAGTATTGATCCCTCGGCTTATCAGAAAACAATGCATTGAAGACACATTAGAGCTGAACTTGATATAAAGCCACCAAGCTTGAAAGTTGGAATGCAGCTAACCCACCCACATTAAACCAAATCAATCATTGCCCTTGAATGATTTCAAGAGTCTAGCCGCAGCATAATGGCCTTGGCCCTCTGCAAGCTCAACAGCTTCGTAGTACTCCTCTTCATATTCACCCACGACCAGTGCTCCTTCGTCTAGAAGCATGTGTAGCATATCGATACGACCGTGTTCTGCGGCGCCCATCAAAGCAGTGCGCCCATTTTCACATGCGGGGCCTTGATTGATATCTGCACCAAGATCAAGCAGCTTCCGTGCAATGCCAATGTACCCCTGAATGGCCGCAATTTGTAAAGCAGTCGCACCTCCGTCGTAAGCAGCAGGAGCATTGACATCGGCCCCATGCTCTAAAAGAAGGTTGATAATCTCCATATTTCCAAGCTCAACCGCATGCTGCAAAGGTGTCCGTCTCAATTGACCTTCTCCTGAGTAGTTGATATCGGCTCCCTTCAAGACTAGCAGGTCACGGACGACAGATGCTTGCTGTGTTTTGACAGCAGCTTGGAGAGGGGTATATGTATCAAAACACCCAACGGCCCGCGAAGCAAATGATAATGAATAATCTCTGGTGATATCGCAATTTAGGTCTGAGTCGAGTCGCATTAACTCAGCTATATGATCATGCTTCTGCTTAAAGATTGCCAATGTTAGAGCACGGGCCACAGACTTAGGAGTCCACTTCATCTGCGCTGAAGACGCCCATTCAAGAATATACTTGAACATGGGGTATTCAGCCTTCCAAGCTGCTATTTCCAGTACTGACTCGAGGCGACAATGCTGTAGGTTGTACATGCCCATCGTACCCCATTTATGATGAGACATTTGAGGCGCACCTCTCATGTCGACATTTGCTTTTCGAAGTAACTCTAGATCGATCATTGAGGATTTCAAAACCGCAGCTGAAACTGCTGTCGGGGCACTCCCGGTGAACCCTGCAAGCAACATCGGTAGAAGCTGAAAATTGTCTTTTATTATGGTTTCAGTGAGAGCATCATCTGTCACTCGGGCACCACTCTCAAGAAGAGCCAGTACAAAACCTAAGTTATCCATTTTAAGGGCGGCCCACAGGGGTGTTTCTTCGAGAACTGATGTTCTGTTACGCTCCTTATGAGCATTGTTCTGAAGCAAGAACCACGCCAGAGCATCATCTTGGGCTGAAATAGCTGCTGCAAGAAGCTCGGGACCAGAGCTATCCAGGAGACTTGGAAGAAATCCATTGTTTTGCAAAAAGGTTCCTGTTTGCAAATTGCCGATTTTCTTCATTTTAAGTCCCATAAGTCTTGCGCCAGCATTAACTAGCTTGTTAATCATGGCCTCATCCCCAACTTCGACGGCTGCTGCAAGAATGGTACCTGGGTCCACGTCAAAGATGTCATTCAATCGAGCATTTGAGTTGATTAAAAGATCAACTATATCCATGAGATTTTGCTGAACAGCAATTAAAAGTGCCGAGGGGACTCTTTGAAGTTCACGTGGCTCTCTGTCAACTTTGGCACCATGCCTGATCAATATTTGACAAAGAGCAGGGTTATCCTTCTCAACGGCACGCTCAAGCAATGTCATCTTTTCATTATCAGCGGCTCGGATGTCAGCGCCAGAAGCAAGTAAAAATTCAGTAATATCTGTCAGGCCATACGCAGCTGCTAAGGCCAGCGGAGACATATATGGCGCCTGGCGGGAAGGTCGATCTGTGCCAATAGAAACATGACTCAAAAGCTGTACAATATCGATATTTTGGGTCCTGACTGCATCGCCCAGTAAGGTGCTCTGTAACGGGTCGCGTCCATTCAAGTATATTTTCCCTGTTAAACCATTGAGTCTCGCACCTCTGGCAAGAAACGCTTCAATCACTGGTACGTTTTGCTGCATCACGGCCTGCTCAAGAATTTCCGGGTCTTCTCGCTCTGTATCCAGATGTTGGTCGAGGTAGATGTTTATGATATCCTCGAAAAGAGCAAAATCTTGTGTTTCTTCAGGCTTCCAGTAACCAGCTGCCGAAGCACAATTCCTTGTCACTGTTGCACCTCGAAGCAAGAGTTCCCGCACAGCCGGTTCGTTTTTTGTGCAGATGGCATGCCATAGAGCAGTTTCACCATCCTCCTTGATGGAAAAATCCACATCGGCACCGTAATTGATCAGAAGATTGATAAGGCGAACACTTTCAGCTTCCTCACAAGCCGCAAATTGCAAAGGGGTCAAGAAGCAAGCGCCTTCTTCTTCAACTACTACCTGAACCAATCTATTCGGGCTCATGCCAGACCGAAGCATATTTTCGAGAACTTTAACATTGCTTGTCCTGAGTGCACTTGCAAACACCTGTTCTGTGATAGATTCTGCAGTGGGCTCATGAGTTGATAGCAGAATTTTGAGATGCTTTAGATCATCCCAGCCCGTATCCTTGAGAATTTTCAAGATTAATTTGTCGTCACGTTCGAGCTTCTCCTCAATGAACTCCTCTGGGTCTTCTGAGGTCAAATTATTTGAGATTAGGTAGAGTACGACACTCAAATGATCCCGGAGACCCGAGTGAGAGGTACTCAAGGCTGTTGCCAAGATATCATGTTGGCCGTGCTCTATTTCTGGCATGAGGATATGTAGAACCGCTGATGTACGAGATCCACTATAGATATTCGAAGGGTGCTGAAGCGTCGTCCATGGTACAACCGAGCTCAAGCGTTTCAATAGTTCGAAATTGGAGACTTTGGTCATTTTATTGCCATCGCGCGGCAGGTCCTCGAGGAGAGAAGAAGATGAAGAGGCTTCTGGTGGGATAATGATATCAGAATCCAAGCTCATATCAAGTCAAATGTATCATACCGTGCTCTTTTGGGTATTCAAGCATGCTCATGAATCGCAGCCAGGGTAAAGAGCTGCTCCATGAGACGTACATGCCAGGGGATTGTGGAGTAGTCACGAAGTACCCGTCAGGGGTTTTAGGCGAAGGAGCTAACAATCAGTATTTTGCACGTCCATATAAAACAAGACATCTACCTTACCATATTGTGATATGGTCGACACATAGCCCTTTCTGTATTTCGCCCTGGTGATCATCTCGGGAGGAATCTGAACTCCATCTATGAAGAGCTCGCTCTCCTTTCCATCTCGCTTGCGTTTGGCCACTTGTCTTGAAATCCATTGATAGTCCACATCTTGAGAGTTTTTTTTGAATCGCCATTCGTTGAGTTTTCGGGTGTATGTTGCCTTGCTGTATTTCTCGTCAGCTGGAAAACCGAAAAGCCATTAACAGCGTACTTACCTTTTTTTCCAGGAGTACTGGGTTTCCATGTAGCTCATCACTACCTCTAGCGTTTTTTTTTCGTGAATGTACAGTCGTTCAATTTCGCTCTTGTAAAGGTCCCATTGCTGGTTGGCCATGTTGGGTGGTACATTGCCCGGTGGTTATGGGGAGGCTGAGCAACAAGACCTACGGGGGGATGCGAGCCTTAAAAGCTAGAGCCGATGGGTACATATTTCTTTTTCAGGGCTTCTCTTGGCAGAGTCATAGTCTCGTAACCCTGGTCGCGCGTCAGGCAACTTCATATCTGACCAATGCACGGGGTACGCCTCGCAGGTGTGGCGCAGGATGATAGAGGCTCCCATTCGCTAGTCTCCAAGTTCTCATGCATCCTCCGAGAGCCATCATTGGCTGCTTATCAAGTTCTCATGCATCCTGTGAGAGCCATCATTGGCTGCTTATCAAGTTCTCATTCATTCTCTAAGGACTCTCATTGGTTTTTATCATCAAGTTCGTGTCGAATATAGTGGCCTAATTGGCTGATGTCCTTATTCTTGTGGAGATCTAGGCTAGAGATGGACAGCAACTTAAACTACTGTACTCTATACATATTCTTGTCGCACATTGTGGAGGCATTTTTAGATGGGCTCGGACTATGCGCTAGTGGTGAGGCGATTCAACACATCATCGCACCTTGATAGCGGCCTCAAACCAGACTTTGGTTTGTCCATTCCCAACTTCGGGTCCCACCCATCATAATTTTACGACCCCCAACCCCTTGGATAGGTCAAGTCCATCTGCACTCAGCCGGCAGTTAATTCAGGAAGTCTTACTATATATAATAGATCTCGTTTCCGAAGCCATAGGTACCTCTCGTCCAACAACAAACACCTGTTTCTATCTGTGCCTCCTATCTCAATCACTCTTCCTTTTAAGAAGTATATCATTTCTTGCTAGCTCTCTCAACCATGTCGTGGACCTCGACCCCCTTTCAACTTGACAATTATCACTCCCATCACCACGAACACACTGCGGTCGAGCCGCCCCAACTTCAACAATATCCAATTGTCCATATGCCCTCGAACCTTCATACGGGTCGGAGTAGAGGTGCAATCTCAGCATCAGCATCAGTGCAGCTGATACCGAGCGTTGTTGCATCTCCCTGGCCCATTTCAAATGTTAGGGAAACCACGGACCCGGATGTTCCTTTTTCGACAACAAGTGCGCATAACACACCGGCTGGCATCCGGCACACTTGCCGATTCTCTCCGCAGTATCCGTCCATTCAACTACCAAGACAGGCAAACCATGAGCAGAATATCGACAATCACGTTGGTTATCACCCGGTTATGAGGGCTCGGATTCACGCGCTTTCTCAGATCACCAATGAAAATACCGGATGGCCCCAACAGTATGTCCGTCTGAACTCCAAGGGAGCCCCTCATGGAAATAATCCGTGTAAATGACCATAATTGCTTACCTCATCTTTCCACAGATGGCGGGAGAATCTCACAGTCGATCCCATACGATATCAATGGGGTGCGTGTCATTATACCGGGTTGTTCCAAGCGGAGCCTTCGCTGATTCGTGAGCTCGAAAATTTTCACTTCACCCCTGGTCTTCGTCCCTACTCCATTCAAGACCCCGGCATGGTGTCAATGCCGAGAAATCAGTTAGGGGTACTCGTTAGAGAAGCCCATGGACGTCCAATTGACCAAATCTCAAGCCATTATGAGCAAAACCCCGAAGCTGTTGGGTTACGGAATGTGGAGCAACTCCCTGGAACGAGGGCCTCACGTCCTGCCTCACGAGGTGACTTCGAAATTGCTGTCATCTGTGCCCTCACTGTTGAGCAAGACGCAGTCCTCGCACTGTTTGACCATCACTGGGACGACAACGGCTTGCCCTATGACAAACGCCCTTGTGATCCCAATGCATATTCATATGGCGCAATTGGTCGACATAATATTGTACTCGCGCACATGCCAGGTATTGGGAAAGCAAGTGCTACAGCGGTTGCTGTTCACTGCCAAGTCAGCTTTCCAAATCTGAAACTTGCCCTTATCGTGGGTGTCTGTGGGGCTCTTCCATTTATGAATAATGGGCAGGAGATCATACTTGGTGATATCATTATTAGTGATGGCATTATCCAGTACGACTTTGGGCGACAGTATCCTGGCCAGTTTGTCCGTAAGAACGCGCTTCTAGACTCGCCTGGCAGGCCCAATCCTGAGATACGTGCACACCTGGCTAAATTGAAAAGCCGTCGCGGCCGCACGGTACTTCGGGATATGATAGGCACCCATCTTCACGTTCTCCAAAGTGACCCTCAGCTGAAAACAGACTATCAGTATCCAGGCACCGAACAGGACGTGTTATACCAACCAGGGTCTAATATAATTATCCCACGGCAGCGACTGGAGAAAGCTAACCCCATGCCTGATGTCCACTTTGGCCTCGTTGCATCTGGCGATACGATAATGAAATTTGGCCAGCTTCGCGATTGCATCGCGATGGCCGAGGGAGTCATCGCCTTTGAGATGGAGGGTGCAGGTGTGTCTGATAATATACCCCATGTGATTATCAAGGGCGTGAGTGACTATGCAGACTCACACAAGACCAAGGTCTGGCAGCACTATGCTGCCGCCACCGCAGCCGCTTGTATGAAGGCCTTTTTAGAAACTTGGGTTCCGGCGGCGAGGTCGTGTTAACCACTTAAATGTTATTATCTATGCCCGTCAGCATTGGCTGGTTCCTGGTCGAAGACCACCCACAGCAGCCTGGCCGTGGGAGACCGCGAGGCCACTATTTGTTCACAATTACTTGGTCCTGTGTGGGTTGGCGTTTTTCTTGGTATGGTCGATGAGCCCAGGTGTTTTCGAAGGCTACGCTTGGCCTAGATTCGTTGTTGCCCATGTTTCAACACGGGGGATGTCGGAGTGTATCTAAGCCTAGGTCTCCACTGCTGAATCTCCTACTCGTCAGCGCCAATAATCGTCAATAAAGGGTCTTACACCACCATGACGGTGATGAATGGTTGAGTAAGCCGGCATTGAGCAATGCAAACGAGGTATGGAAGAGTGATGGTCCTTGTGATCCCACTCATCCTTGCCTCCCAATGGTCCCAGTCAACTAGCAGCATGTAAGGTATTGATGTTGGAGCTACTACTCCGGCCTCAAGCATGGAGTTCCCTCTCCCGCTCTTTCTTATAGGCTATGGTGGAGTAGTTTATAGCTCCCTTCTTAGCGATGGGCGTAGTAGGCTTGGATACGCAGGAGTTAGAGCCTAATAAGTATGTACCGGATGTAGAGGAACTAGTTATCCTTTATACCATATGAGAAGGCTGGAAGCTGATACTAGTAGCTGAGTCTGCCCGGGATCAAGCGCGGAAAGCCATGTGATTATTCAAGCTATTAGACGAGGTGGGGTTAGAGGAAGCCTGTCGAATCAGAGCAAGGCAATATATCGTAGGTCCTCTCGTGTATTATGGGCAAACCTGTGTAGGGGACGTCTCCCTAGAGGAAGCGACAGGCTGTTCCTCTGCGTCATCTTGCTAGTCATCCTCCTCCTTATCTACCGACACATTCTCGCAGAACAAATCAATCACCGGCCACTTGATAATGAAGGAGACGGTCTGACAGATTTCAGCAAGCGTAGCAGGCTTCTTTAATATCGTATTTGCTGATTGACAGTGTATATAGGGAGGAGGTCGGTTGTTAGTGTCTTCTGAAGTAGGCTTAAGCGGTCTCTTTTATTTGTTACAATCAAGGGACGTGATGCTGGCTGGATGCTATCTGTAATACTGCCCTGTAATCATTTTGGTTGACACGTTATATATAACCCCACCCCGTCAATATTACGTTCACCGTGGCGCCGGGTCGGCTTCTCCACCACCTACTTTTTGGTTCTCGATTTTGCGACGAATAAGGGAAAGGTACAATAGCAGAACTAGAGTACCTAGGAATTAGCCCGCTACTCTATTAGCGAGGAGCTAGTACTTTACCCCTAGTTTGAAAGAAAGCTCTCTAATAGTCAGTCTTTGGCAGACAAAGACCGTAAGGAGCATCAATCGGTAAGTTAACGTTGAAACTGTCTTCCAAGTGTATAATTCGCAAAGATACAATCCGAGTCAAAGAATAAGCAAAGAAATTATAGAATATAAGTCCTTCCGACCTGGAGTTTAATTTAACTACTAAAAACTTAATGTATAAGCTCGTATTCAGCAGCTTAAATCATCGAATTCAGCAGTTAAATGAATGCTATGGCCGTCAAGAATAAGTAGGCGCTCTGCACCAATTATATGGTGCTTAGAAAATGGTTTAAAAATATCTTTAGCCAGAGAAGGCCTATTTTATCAGTTGTCCAGCTTAGAGTGGATTTTTTTAACCTGACGGTTAACCGTTTTAAGCAAAACAGTTAAAAAATACAGACACAGGTATAAAGATAAAATACTATATAAATCTCTATATAATTTAATATATTGTAATTTATATTATTAAATATGATATTTATATTATATATATATTTCTATTATCTAATACACAACCAATACAGTATAATACTTGATAGTTAAAAATTGACTAATAAAAATAGCCTGGAACTAATTAGTTATATATTAAATATAATATAGCTGTATTAGACTGTATTCAAAATATAAAATATAAATATAAATAACATCTAATTGTAATTACATTTTGAAAACATACAAATACAATAGAATAAATATTCAAATACAGATTTTAAAAGCTTGGTTTTTAACCTGTTTTTCAACCAAAATCCACTCTAGTCCAGCTATTCTAACTAGTTGCAATCCACTAATTGCTAGTAAGCTTAGGTTCTTAGAACCAGGCAGCTTGTTGATAGGTTGCTTTTAATATAATAACTGGTAGTAGATATACACCTTTTAATCTAATTATTTTAATAATTATAATCTATTTGTAATTATCTTTAATAACTCTGTATAGTTGCTTACTTCGCTTAACTATATTAATTACTTTAGAAGTAGAGTAGAGTCCCTGCAAAGCCAGTCTTATTAAAGTTCCAGATATTATTTTTATATATACTGTGTTTTAAATAACTGCTTATACAGTCTGGAATTAGGGTAATATAACCCTTGGATCTTCTTACTTTGTGTGTTGATATATTATCTGTTTTATATATTGTGTATGTAGCTTAGGATGGTGCTTAACAAATTTATAAGGCTAGTTACTTCCGAGAGCTGCAGTTGAATCTTGTAATCGATTGCAAAGCAGTACTTGAGCCATTACACGAAGGATTTTACTTGCGTTTGAAATGACGATGACAGTGCCTTGGCCCGGAAGTGTGCGGTTACCTGGGACATTGTAAGTGCGAACAGACGGTGCATAGCCTAACTCCCGCAGGGACTGTTACCTGATTTGTGGTTGGTCCGGTAGTGCCACCGCTCCCCTGAATCGGGCGCAGATAAGGGATGTTCTGGTGTCAGGGAAATAGTTCAAGCTTTTGTAGTAGGTGTGAAGGTTTTTGACTTGTGTCATCATCGATCGGACATTATTGTCCCCCGCATGAGGATCTCATGTACATCCCTTGCCCTAGGATATCTTGCTGCTTGTGTAGAGCTCGATGGGCAGTGCATTATGCTAGCTGAGACGCCGCCGTCTCATGAACAAGAGAAAGACCAATAGTGGGCTGGCCCAGCATTCATTTGGGGTCGAAGGAGCGCGATGTGGGGCACCCTGCAATTGCTGCCTAACAATCACGAACGACGCACAAACGTCGTCGGGCGACACAGGGGGCCATTTAAAGAACACCCAGCGCGGTCGTGCGACGGCCTGAGCGAACACAAACATCGCTGGTTTAGAGACCCGCACCCGACTACTGGCTGCAGAGAAGCCACACGCCGGGAGATTAGTAGTTGGGTGGGTGACCACCAGCAAACCCTTCTATTATATATCAGTGCTTACCCGTCTTTTTTTAACCCAGTAGATAAGGTATCATCACCGCCTTATCTTTACCCCTTTTTATCTTTCTTTAGTTTGTTTAAAATATAACCTTTTTAAACTATACTTATTCCTTCTACAGCTGATACAGTCTTGTAGTACAGCCCTATTACTAAGAATTACTTTTTAATTAAATATTAATCTTACTACTTTTTCTATGCTAGTACCAGCAACTTTTAAACTCCTATTAGAGTGGATTTTGGTTGAAAAACAGGTTAAAAACCAAGCTTTTCAAATCTGTATTTAAATATATATTTTATTTTATATGTATGTTTTCAAAATATAATTACAATTAGATGTTATTTATATTTATATTTTATATTTTGAATACAGTCTAATACAGCTATATTATATTTAATATATAACTAATCAGTTCCAGGCTATTTTTATTAGTCAATTTTTAACTGTTAAGTATTATACTGTATTAGTTGTGTATTAGGTAATAGAAATATATATATAATATAGGTATTATATTTAATAATATAAATTATAATATATTAAATTATAGAAGGATTTATATAGTATTTTATCTTTATACCTGTGTCTGCATTTTTTAACTGTTTTGCTTAAAACGGTTAACCGCCAGTGTTACAGGACGGATGGATTGTGCTAATTGAAACATGCCTTTAAATAAGAAAAAATAGCTGGAGAGCTATTTTATCTGTTTATACATAAATTTTTTATATGTATACTAAGCTAGCACTAGTTTAGTATATAGTATATAAAGTTTTAAATATTAATTAATATTTAAAGCTAAGCTTTATATTAGAATCTTAGTTTTATAATAAAAGCCCTTTTTTTTATTATTTTTTACAGCTTCTGTTTGTATAAAAAGATGTTTAAAGTCTAAAATAATAGCTCTATGCTTCAGCCCTTTTAAATAATATTATAGCTGATTAGTAGGCAGTATATATATAAACAGAATCTGTCTTATTTATTATAGTGTTTTTTTATATAATTCTTTTTTATTTAGTAAATATAATAATTTTTTAATAAATAGAATCTTTTTTTATACTATTTATACAACTATTTTAGAAATATGGTTAGGCTTAGCTACTAGTTTTATATAAAATATATAAAGTATTATATACAAAGGTCATCCCTCTTTTTTAGCTTTTTTTTTATATATATATTTTTTTATATATGTTTTTTTTATTATCGGTCTGTTTTTTTTATTTATATAATTCCTGTTATTTTCTCTAATTAATTCTATCATATCTTCTCCTTCTAATACTGGGGCTGATAAGTCTGATTACTTAGATAATATACTAGTTTTTATATATTATAATTCTTTTAGATTTTTACTGCTTTTATTAACTGTAATTTACTTTTTTTTATTTATATAATATAGAATAATTTATAATCTTTATACTAGTAATACAAAATATTCGATTACTATATAATTAATAATATATAAAAATAAAGGCCTATTTTAACTTTATTATATTTTAGATTAGTAGTATATTTAGTATTTTTTTCACTATAAATTTAAAATAAAAATTAGTACTTTTACTATAGTTTAAATAAAAAAGCCCAGCAGTACTTTTATATAAAATATTAATAAAATTAGATATATACTAAATATTCTTTTTATATTAATAATTTTCTATGTATATTCTATAGTTTGGTAATATTATATTATTATAAATATAATAATTAAATAAAATTTTAGCAAACTGTATAACTATTTAAATAATAAAGTAAAACCTATATTAGATATAAGTTTAAAAATTATAATATATATTATAGTTATTATAATTTAAATAAGTCTAGATATAAGCCTACAGCAATTACTACTCTTTTTTATAATATTATTAAAAAATTAGTAGACTAAAGTAGGTGTATAAACTAAATATAATATAATAATAATTAATTTTTTAATCAGATTAAGTATAGCTCTTTTTATAGTTTAAAAAGTTAAAAAAACTTTTTTTTTATTTTTATTTTTATTTTAGGTTTGTATAAACCAGAGCTAAGAAAAAAATATTAGTATTAGTTTTTTTCTAATTTTAGTTTTTATTTATATAGTAGTTAGTTAGGATTTGGCTGGGGCTGCAGCTGCTATTTTATAGCTGCTTTTATATTATTAAATATTAAAGCTGGTTTTTAGATAAGTTTTATATAGCTTTTTTATTTAATAAAAAATATAAATAGCTCTTCCAGCTTTTTATTATATACTATTTATTAAAAATTTCTTTAATTTTATATTCTTTTTTATTATTAACTATTATAGATAGTGGTTGTAAGTCTTTTTAATTTTATAATAATAATATATTATTAGCTGTTAGACAGAGTAGATTAATATAAAATAGAAAATAAATACTTTTTAATATATTGAATTATATAGTATATAATTTTATTTTTTTTAAAATAGTATATTTCATATTTTTCTAATCTAGCTTTTTACTAGAGTAATTTATATAGATATTTTATAGATTTAACTATATCTAATCATCCTTCTAGTATAATAAAACAGCTTATTAAAATTAATAAGCCTGTTTTTTAGTATTTTATTATATATAGGCTATAATAATTTAGGCCTAGTTTAAAGTATTCTATATTTTTTATATAATTATATCTTTTTATTAAATAGGACTGGAGACAGCAATCTCTAAATTTATATTTTAAACTATTTTTTAGCTGTTTAGATTTAACTTATAATTATAGTTTAAAAAAAATAGTAAGAATCCTATAGCTGTATTTATACAGCTGTTAATTACTAACTCTGTTAAAGGCAGTAGGTTTATTTAGTTTTTTTAGTTATAGTTTATATAAGCTTTTAGATATACTTTAACAGTACTATTTATATATTCTATTATTTTATTTATTTAAAAATAATAAGCTGTAGACAGTTTTTTAGTATTTTTAGTAAATTATATATTTTTTTTATATATAATTTATAAACTGGGTGTCTTAATCTAAGACTATAGTTTTTCAAAGACTATATTATTTAAAAACTGTTTTAATTAAAATTTTAGCTGTAGCTTCAGCAGTAATCTTTTTTATTATATAAAATATTACTTTTTTTATTAGTCTGTTTATAATTACTAGAATATTTATACACAACTTACTTTCGGGCAAGTTAGTAATAAGATTATTATTAGTTTTTATTAGAATTAATCTAGTATTGGCAGCAGCTTTAGTAATCTATATTTTAATTTTTTTTATAACTTTATACAACTGTAGATATTACAGTTTTAAATATATTTTTATATATTCTAGAATATATTAGGCCAGAAGTATATTCTACTAAAAAAAATAAATCTGTTTTCAGCTGGAATATTTTATAATAAAAAATTATAGATACTTTAAGTAAGATTTATATAAAGCAGTTTATAGTTAGAAACCTACTACTTTTTTTAAAAGTATATTTAAGCTTTTTATATTAAATATTTATCTAAAGAGACTTTTAATTTTAGCTAAAGTAAAAATTTATATACTTTTTTTATATAAGTATTACTAGGTTTTAATAATCTATATCTGCTGCTAGGGTGTGGGTCTAGCTGTTTTTAAATCTATTTTTTAGTTCTAGCAGTTTTATAATAATCTACTATATCTATTTTAAAAAGTTTTTATTTAATTTTATATTATATTTCTATAACTGTACTAGAGATACAGTAAGTAAACTAGTCTTGAATTTTAAATCTTTTTTTAATATTCTATTAAAAATCTAAATTATATAGAATAATATTTTAAAATCTTATTAATTAGATATATTCTATTTTTATTATAAAAGGGTATCTGCTTATTTATTTTCTATTTCTTTCTAGTAGACTAGTTTAAAATTAAATCTGTTTAATATTAAGCTCTATTATATATATCTTTTTATAAGTTTATATAGTTTAAAAAAGTATTTTAAATTCTTATAATTAGTAACTACTATAAACTCTAATACTAAATATAACTTAATATTCTTAACTTTTAAATATTATATAACTGCTAGCAGTTTTTTATTATAAATCTTATAGTTGTACTTAGCTGGAGTATTCTATTTAAAAAAATAAATATAAAAATACAGCTTTTTATTTTTATCTATTTAAAAAAGTATTTTTTTTATATTATAGTCTAAAAAATCTCTCTACTACTGTTGTATATTTAGGGTTAAAAGAATAAAAAATTAGTTTAATTATAAACTTTTTATTAGTATCTAAAAGCTAGTCTTATACTTCTAAATCTATTAAAAGAACTGATTTTTTTTATTAGATTTATAAGTAGTTATACAGTAGTTAAAAATCCAAAAATAAATTTATAGTAAAAGTTTATAAATTTTAAAAAGCTTTAGACAGCTTTTACTAACTTAGGGCTCTTCTATAAAATAATTACTTTAATTTTTTTAAAATCTATTTTAACACCTTACCCTGCGCATACAACAAAACTGAGATAAAAGGTTTTTTTTATTTAAATTTATATTTTTTAATATCTAAAAACAGGCCGGCTTTTTTTAATTTTTATAGTACTTTTTATATATATTTACAGTATTTTTTGATATTTCTATCTCTATAGATTAATATATTATTAATATAGGCTGAGTAGAATTTATCCAGATATTTATACAGTATCCAGTTAATATACTTTTAGAAAGTACTTAGGGTATTTGCTAGTTTAAAGAATATTACTAGCTATTTATATAGCCTATACTGTATATAAAAAACTGTTTTCTATTTTTAATTTTTTATAATATAGATTTTATAAAAAGCAGATAAAATATTTAGTTTAGTAAACTAATTTATCTTTCTAATTTAGTTTAGAGTTTTATAAATTAAAAAAAGCAGATAGCAGTTTTTTTTTATAATTATATTAAATACTCAGTAATCTATACAGAATCTTAAATTTTTTTTAATTTTTATATAAAAAGTACCAGAGCTGCTGCTAAGGAGTAACTAACTTATATAAAATTCTTTTTTAATAGTTTAGTTAGTTTAGATTATAGAACTGTTTTCTTTTTTAAAATATATTATAAAAGGGGCTCTATAGGACTTCTGGCTTTTTTTTATTCTAATATATAAGCTTAATTTTATAGTTAATATTTTTTTTCTAGTATAAAAGTAGTTTCTCTATATTCTTTAGTTAAAAAAAAGCAGAAAGTTCTAATAGTATTTAAAAAATATTATATATAGATTAACTGTTTTTTTAGTTTAAAGTACTTTCTGAATATTAGTAAGTAAAACTATAAATACTTTTATATTTTTTTTAGATTTTTTCTACAGATAGTCTTTAAATCCTATTTTTATAATTAGCTAAAGTTTTAGATTTATATATTATAAATATAGTAGGTTTTTTAATCTTATTTTAGTTGTATATAGAAATAATTATTCTTAGCCTGGTTTTCAAACCCTATTATAGTAGGACAGCCAGTTTTTTAAATTAAATTAAGTTATATTTAAAATTATTAGATATTATAGAAAAATACACTCCTTCTTTTATATAAGATTTTATATTTATTTTTATTTATATAATAAAATAGATTAGTATTTTATTACTTAAGATTTTTTATATTAGTTTTAAATTAATACTAATAATTAATAAACTATTTGCTTTAGTAAATATTTTATTTATAATACTATAAGTTAAATATTTTAAGTTAATAAAAGTATAAATAGTTACAGTAAGATTTAAAATAGTTTTTATTAAAAAAAAACATATAACTATATTTTTTTTTTAAAACTTTTCTATTTTTTTTAGTCTTATTTAGTAATTTCTGTTTAGACATATAATTTTATACTAGACTTTTTTTCAAAATTAGAGTCTTTATTTAAAAAGGTATACTATTTTTTTATTGCTGAAGGGCGGGTATAACTGCAGCTATACTTATTAGTTATACAGCAGATTTTAAAAAATATTTATAAATAAAATATTTATTCTATTTATAATAAAGGCAGTAATCTATTTTATATTTTTTTATATTTTACTAAGTATTACCTATTAAGCCTGTTTTAAAAGGTTATTAGTTATTATACAGAAATAGTATTTTTTTTACTATATAATAATTATTTAAATAGGTTTCTACTTTATTAGTTTAAGGCTTAGTTTATATCGCGCTGGTATAGTCTTAGTATAGTTTTTTTAAAAAAAAATACTTTATTAAAATTATGGTTTATACAGTACAGTTAGTTATAATAATCTTTATATATAAATTTTTAGAAAATTCTAACTAATTTTTTAATAAGCCTTTAGTTTACTATAATATTTAGTATGGATTTTTTTTATTTGTCCGACTAATTATACCCTTTTATTTATAGTAGAGTTTTATTAAAGTTATTTAAAAATTCTTTTAATTCTGTTTTTTTTTATTTTATTATATTAACCTGGTTTAGAGCTTTTTATTATATATTAGGGTTTCTAAATATTTTATTTATTACTATAAGTATATTTTCTAATTATACTGTTTTAATATTTTAAAATTTAATTTAAAAAAGTATCTGATTTACTGCCTATTTATATAGTTAACTATAAATATAAAAAACTTATTCCAGTCCAGTAGAATAGTAATTTCTATTAATTATAAGTTTTATATATATATTTAGTTTAAATAGTTTATAGTTGTATTTATTTTTTTTATTAAATAGTTTTATATTAGAATATTAAAGATAGGGTCTATAGTTTAGTTTATATAGTTACTGTAGGGGAGTTTCCTCTAATTTACTGTTAGTAGTAGGAATTATATTATAACTTTATAATTTATTTATCTACTGTTTAAAAGCTAATTTCTATTTTATTCTTTCTATACAGAGGCTGATTAGTTTTTATAAAAAAAATTATATATTATTATATATAGCTGCAGATACTGCAGTCAGCTGCAGTCTTTTTTAATCTATTTATTTTATTATTTTAATATTTATTTTAGTTTTATTTTATTTTATTTATATACCTAGTCAGGCTCTGTTTAGGATTTTTTTAATAAGCTATTTCTAATATTACAGAACAGATAGATTGTGCTAATTAAAATATACTTTTAAATAAAAAAAAATAGCTAAGGAGCTATTTTATCTGTTTGTATAAAATTCTTTTATATATATACTAAGCTAGTACTAGTTTAGTACTTAGTATGCAAGGCCTTAGGTGCCAACTGGTGCCTGAAGCCGAGCTCTATAACAGGGCCTTGGTCCCATAACATATATTTTTTTTAATAAAAATCTGTTACTGCCAGGTGATTTTATTTAAATAAATTATAAGATATTCTAGGACTATAAAGTTTCTATTTAATAAAGTTAAATTATTTTTATAAAGTTTAATAAATAAATTTCTTTTTTTACCAGTAATCAGATTATTCTAACTATATAACTAGTATTAAAATAATACTAAGTATTTAGCTTTTATAAAAATTATTTTAGTTTTTTTAAATCAGATTACAACTGCTTTTACCTTTTGGTTAAATATTAAAAGTATTTGAGAATTTTAGTATTATTAGTTTTACAATAAGTTAATTTTATACTTTTATTAGATTATTTTAAATAATAATTTAAATTTTATTTTTTATATACTTTATCTACCTGTTTATAAGTTTTAATAATATATTAAAATATATTTTTTTTAAATAGAGTTAGAGATTAAATATTATAAATATAGCTATTTTTAATAGTTATTTAAATAGTCTATTATCCAGTTAATCCTATTTTTACTATTTATTAATAATTTTAAAGTATATTAAAATATATATAAAGTTTTAAAGGGTTTTTATTTTACTTTAATAAAATTAACTTATTAGAAATAATATTATCTAAATAACTTTTTTACTTTAATACTAGGTTTTTATAGTATAAAAATAAAAGAGAGTATCCAGATATTTATAAATAAGATCTAAACTTTTTTTTAAGACTTTTATATATATTTTTATAAAATATATATAGTTATTATTATATTTATTATATTTACTAGTAATATATCTTAATAAATAAAAAATTCTAATACTTAAAGTTATAGTACTAAATTTAGATATTATATTTATTATTATTTTAAAAATAGTAGATATAACTTAAAGTTTGACTCTTTCTTATATAGTTAGTATTATTTTAAGATTAAGTTATTTTAAAAGTATATAAAAAGTCTTTTCTTACCTACTAAATAGATTTAGTTTTTTAGTTTAAAAAATTTATTATTTTATTTGTTACTACTTAAATTACTTATACTATTATTAGATTTTGTTTTTAGTTAACTGTATAATATTTTTTATTTAGATTAAAAAAATCTTAGTCTCTGTCTTTAAAGCTTTATATTTTAGATTTTAAATTTATAAAATATAAAGAAATACTCTGCAGTACTTTAGAAAATTATTAGACTTATTTATTAGTTTTATTTTTTAGTATTCAAATATCTTTAGATATAGATATTATCTAAATTTAGATAAGTACTTATTTTATTTTTACTAGTCTTATAATATACAACTAATAAAATTTGATTTTATTAAAGATATTTTAAATATACTTTAGTTCTGCTTTTAATATTTTATCTGTAAATTAAACTAAATTTATTACTAAAATATATTATTTAAATCTATACTGTTAATATATAAAAAATTTTAGTAATTTTAATATACTATATTATTCTAATTCTAATAATATTTTAATTTATTATATATAGTTAAAAAGCTTTTTAGTATTTTATTATAATTACTTTATTATTTAAATTTTAAAATATAAAAAGATTTATATTTAATAGTAACATATTTTATCTTTTATAATATAGATAACTGGCTAACTATTTATAGATAAACTACTAATTTTAAAAAATAAATAATTTTAAAATCTTACTGTTTTAAATATTTATATTAAAATATACTTTTTATTATTTACTATAAAGTATAGGTTATTAATAAACTGTAATATACTAAGTAGAAAATAAAAATACAAATAAATATAAAATAACTTTTTTTTACTATTTAAAATCTTAATTCTAAATATTTCTATTTTTATTTTTAGAATTTATAAGATCTGGGCAGATTAGGCCTTATTATATAATTTTATAATTTATTTTTTTAAATAAATTAGATTTAACAGTTTCTACAACTTAGGTTTAGTAGTATTTAGAATTATAGTTTTTTTATTTAAATTTATTTAAATTTAAAGCTCTGCCAGCTATACTTATAGCTTTAAACTTACTATATTCTACTAAATAAATATAATTTTATAATTAAAAAATATATTTTATTTAAATAACTAAATTTTAAAAGACTAAGAATTTATTTAATAGACTAAATTTTTATAATATTTTTATTAGTATATTTAACAGAGTACTTTTAAAGTATTCTAATTTAATATAATAGTATAATATTATTTTTTTTAAAGTTATATTAGAATTTCTAAATAGTTAGTCTATAGTTTTTTATACTTTTTATATTATACTTACTAATATTTATTAGTTTCTATTTACTTTTTGGTTAATTATTTATTTAATATTATTTTATTTTATTTTATCTTCTTTATAAGATTATATACTATTTTAGTTATTAATATTTGGTATTTTTTTTATAAAACCTTTATAAGTAATTTAAAAAGATTTTTTATTAATACTTTTTTATTTTAAATATTTAAGTAAATAGGCTTTAATAAAACCTGATCCTAATATTAAAAAAGTATTTATATTAGATTTTTTATAAAAGTCTGCTTATACTTTTTTAATTTTAACAGTTTTAATATAGTATATATAGAATATTAACTTTATATAAAGTATTATAAAGATTTTTATTATTTTTATATTATAAAATATTATTTTATATATTAAAAAATCTTAATACTACTGTTATTATTTTTTAGTTTATAGTTATAGAATAGAAAGATAACTAATCTAATATAAAAATAAACTATAAGTAACTTATAAAATATTTAAAATAAGTATTAGTATTAAAATTAATTATGAAATAATTTATTTTTAGTACTAGTTTTATATAGTGCTGTAATATACTTTTTTAATTATATAATAGTATTTATTATTTTAAAACTATTTTTTACTATTATAACTGTATTCTAATTGTACTTTAACTGTATTGTAACTGTATTATAACTGTATAGTAACTAATAACTACTCTTTATAACTAAGTACTATTATTATTAACAGTAAAAAAGGCTCTATACAGACCCCCTTGGCCTGCTATGTAGTACGCGACGGCTTGACATCCCATTTGCGTGCCCGAAGAAATAACAGACATTCCGAGTTGTGCCAAGTCTGGCTTGTTCAGAATATACCATAGCGATTTACACCTCTCAACAATTCGAAACCACTCTCCAGCTGCAGCCACATCATCTCGAGTCGCTATTACTTTAGGTACCCCCTCTCCCCACCCCCCCCCGACCTTAAATCAATGCATCAAATGCAACTTAACACCGATCACACCGAAAAGACAGCAAATCCACCACCTCCTTCCCAGCCAACACACTCCCCGCGAAACTCGCCCCCTGGCTCGCCTCGAATCCCGAAACATAAAACAAACCCGCAATCAACCGCATCGCCGCCCTCTCCCGAGCCCTCACCTCCACCCAGTCACCACCACCATTGCTCGCCCTCTGCCCCCTCCGCACCACCGGCACCCCATTCTTCCAAACCTGCCGATGCACCCACCTGACCCACGGCGCCGGAGATACCACCCCTCGTCGTGCACGCGCCCGCCGTCGAAAACGCGGACGCCCCGGAAGCGCGGATTCGGTTGATTGAGCTCCGCGAGCGCGTCGGCCGACGGGATGTAGCGGCTCTGGTGCGGGAAGGTGACCTTCTCCGGGAAGGCGGGGATGCAGAGTCTGGCGATGTCGGCGTCGGTGAAGGCCTGGGTGGAGGTGATCCGGTAGAGGTGTTCGGTGTCGACGCAGCAGCCGGATATCCAGGAGGAGGGGGCGCGGGTTAGGGTCAGGAAGGGGGGTGGTGGGGCTGGCTGTGGCTGTGGCTGTGGCTCTTGGTCTTTCTTTTCGGTGGGCTGTGGGTCAGGGTCAGGATTGGGATTGAGGTTCCAGATCTCGTCGGGGATGAGGTCTGTAGCGCTGAGACTGAAGACAGTGGGGTCGATGTGGTAGCGAGAGATGAAGTGCGTGATGTGGAGCGGGGTGTACTCGACGGAGGCGGACGCTGGTGGTTGGAGATGCGGCGGGCTGATGGCGATTCCAGTCTGGGAGAAGGGGGCGGCGATGATCACCGCATCGAAGTGCGCGGTATGCTTCTTTTCGGTGCCATCATCAGTGGGGGTTGTCCAGGAGAGATTGAAATCCTGCTCGTCGAGAACCTTGATACCGGTGACGGTGGACCGGAGATGGACGGTCGCCTGCGACAATAGGGCGAGTCGGCGCAACGCGCGCTCGTTCCCCCCGTCCGCTGACAACTGGGGCCTAGAAGAAAGACCGTACTTGCCTGCAAGCTTGGTCACCTCGTCCTCGTATGGATTGACGGCTGCCGCAGCCTCATCCGCTGCGTGACTGAATAACTGCCGCCAGTCTCGCCAGTATCTACTCTCCCGCGCAATCGACACGAATTGGATGCAAAGGTGCAGCCAGAACCACCCCGACCAGCGGTTCCGCCAGACCTGTTTCGCAAAGTGCATCCACGTCTCCGGACCCGATAATCTGATTCCCACCATGGCTCGTCCATCGAAGATCCCGACGCTGCAGCTTTGCGGCTCATCTCGAATCTTCCGACCGTGGGCATCCACGAGGTCGACCCCTGCTTCGTGGAAGAGACGCCGGAGACTGGGGTCTTCCCACCAGAAAGAAGCAGCGCCCGCTTCAACCACATGGCGGCCCTCGTCATACTTGAATACGCTGTGGATCCGACCGCCCAGGCGGGCATCGCGTTCAAACAGAGTCACTTCGGGGCACCATGTGGCTGATTCACGGTTGCGCAGCTCGTAGGCTATGGATATGCCGGCGATACCACCTCCTAGATATTTCGTTAGTCGGGTAGAGATCAGAGCTGTTTGAAGCGATACTGGGAATACCGATAATTGCGATCTTTGTGGGTCTTTCGAGTGGCGTGAGGTCCAGAGAATCTATGTCAAGGGAGTCCACGTCGAGGGATTCAAGATTCAGATCTGATAGTGAGCAAATTCGTTCTTTCATTGTGTGCGCGACAGCATATAAGGTAAATTCGCGGGAGGAAATTGAAGGGTTTGGTCGTTGAGTATAGTGACCAAACTTGGGACGGTAAATCAACAGCGGTTGTGGTTTTTATATGCACCTTTAATGATGGGTGCCTGGTGTGGATGTCAGCAACTAACTTAACTTGACCTCACTTTGGCTAGCCTCATTCGCCTAATTCGGAGAGCCAAGGCCTGGATGAATCAACCACAATCGAACTTCCCCCGCAGAAAGTACATACTATACTTCGATCATGGTAAATCTGTTTGCCTAGATGGGGCAATCTTTCAAAAGAGTCTTGGGGGTGACAATCAGTTCAGTAGTCTCTCGTTCAGGCTGCACTTTGCTGTACAGCCAGAAGCTACTGAATATAATCTCGACGAAATACGTGAATACAAATGGTAAGCGTATTTTATAATTGACATTGATTCCCATCTTTTATCTCGGCATATCCACCCGAGCACAATGCCCACTATCCTAAGCTTCTCCTCAATGTCCCTACTTGAGCCAGTTGAGCTCGGCTTCCTTGGCCCCGAAATAAGAAGATCAAGTGTCGATATTGGTATAACCACTGTCAGGTTCATCAATATTCCAACCGCAAAGCATACCCTGCAATACGATCCGCAAGCTGCACCGCGCGCTCCTGCGCAGTCACGTAACGGGTTTCGCTGGGAAGGACGGATGCAAGATCCGAAAGGGCGACGGTCTGAGCCTGAATCGCAACGGAGTCGCTCGAGGACGAACTCAGACCCTGCCAGCGCACCATGATCGTGCCCTCGTGTAGGCCAGTCGTGTTAATCCAGTTGTGGACCCCTGGATCCGCGACGGAGACGACGAACGTGTAGGTCCCGTTGTCATTCGCGATGGATTGCTTGCTGTTGAGACTGACCTGACGGGCGGGGTCGGTGGTCACCAGCCACGGATCTGTCACGGGAAAGACGAAGTAGTCTGCTGCGCCGGGCGTGAGGGTGGCAACTAGCGCCTCGTTGTCGGTGAGGTTGAAGTGCCCGAATGAGCTCGCCTGGGTCGTCAAGGTGCCAAGGGTGCTGGACTGACTGGGCGTGGAGAGCGTGTTTACCGCATAGATAGATGTCTTCAGCCCCAGTGCGCCCACACCGTAGTCGACGATGGATTCCTGCAAGTTCCATTTGGCATCCACGAGGATCTGGGCGTTGGTGATGGAGTCGTGACCCGTCACGTCGCTGACTGCTTCCACGGTGATGTTGTCAGGTTTCTCGGACTGCCAGTCTCCGAGGTTGTTTCGAATCAAGAGTTGCACGGCGGAGCTGGTGGACTGTATATGGTTTGACTGGGCGTCTGCGGCAGAGTTGTTGATCGTGATTCTATAGGAACCATCGCTATTGATGACCAGGTCACTACCGGCAAGGTATGCGACAGTATTCTGGGAGTTCGGGTCGCTGATCAGCGAGAAGCTGACATCGGTAGGGCCTGGTGTGTGGCGATAGCCGGTCACGATATAGTCCACGTCGGAGCTGATCGGGATAGTGCGGTAGATGCAGTCCGGATTGTCATAGGAGTAGCGTCCGCCAGGCACCTCAAGATCGAACCAGTCACGTGGACCAGCATCGACCCAATAGACCTTCGGATAGTATGGGTCGTTGTTCACAGCCTTCTGAACAGAGCTGAAAATGAGCTCTTCAATGGCCGCGTCGAGACTTGAGGAGGCTTCGTCACTGATGGGCGACCCGTGCGCCGTCTTGTAGGCTGCCTTTGCTTCGGCTTTCAGGACAGGGAAGCTGTTGTCTTGGTAGATCTCAATTGCTAGTGCATCAAGATCTCGCTGATCCGAAGTAGCCAAAGGATTTCCAGAAACGCTCAACGCAGCTGCCAGAGACCCTAAGCTGGCTATCAGGGCAGCCGTGGAGCCAAGTGCTCTTGGGGAAGAAAACGCCGCCATCTTGAACCGGGCCGAAGAATCGAAATCAACGAAGTTGCCTTCAGAGCAGCGGATGCTTTGTAGGACGGGTCATGTTCACATCTACTTTATAGGTGTTGAGATGGTGATACTACGTCTGCTTTCCCCATTGTGCAAGACAATTGCGACATTCCTTGCTCTGGCGACACAATTGCGAAACCTCAATCTTTCTGTTGAAATAGATTAAAGGCCTTGCCGGTTTTAAGTACTACAGGCCGTTGCAGTATCGTACATGGAAACTTAAGTGGTTCGGTTGCTAAGCGAAGGATGCTAAGCGAGGTGTCGAACAGCAAAGACTGAGCCGAGGTAGAGCTTATGCAGGTTTTAGGTGTGAAAACATCTATGCTTCTGCAGGGTTGCTGGATGTCGACATCCTGGGACGGGAAGAGGTGATCATTACTGTTGACATCTGAGAATCGCTAAGAATTGAAACATCAAGCCTAGGACAAATCGCCAAATGCCAATTGACAAAAGCACCGACAACATGATTCTAGTATCGATTTGTTGCGTAGACCAGGTTTACATCTTCCTGAATAGTCTTTCCGGAAAATATCGGGCGTCCCGACATATCTCTGGGCTCGGGACTAGTGGCAGAAGGATTAACTTCAAAGAATCAAATTCAAGCTTTTTGTAGAACACACAAGGTTTGAAAAATACAGAAAATTTGTAACATCATAAAGACTGGGACATAGAATAAATGTGGTAGTGAAGGTGGTATTCCATTGGGCAGTTCTGCCGTGCCCCGTGCTATAAAGAGAAGCTGCCCTAAGCGCCCGCGGCTGAGCTTTTGGGGCGGAGGGAAACGGGCGGTAAACGCGACCTAATCATTGGCTGGAATCAGCCTCAAGTCATGTGATGTATATAATCTCGCGGCCTGGGGCTTTTTGAAGGTTCCCCTCAAGAATAAGGGTCACCCAGGGCGTGGCCTGCAATTAGAATGGAAAGGTACGGTAGGCTACTCAACTTGTCGACTGCGAAATTCGGTCCCAAGGGCACTGATCGGTACTGACTCGGTATTTTTCTCTACTCATGTACAATAGATCATGTTGATCTCCGAGAAAGTAACTTACTCCGTCGATGACCTTGATATATATCTATGGTCAACTCATTTTCTTATAAAAGTCTTGTTAATACAGGTGCCAAGCTTAATGTGAGTCGGAATTCCGACCTCTGATGAACTTTTTTTCGGACCAGGCTGGGCTGGTCCCCGACCTGGTCCCCGTGCCGGGCCCGGCCCTTAAGCTAAAAGCAAACTTACCGGACCTAGTAGTTATTCATTACTTAGTTTGGTTACAAAGTCTCCGCTCCTGACCTAAGTCCAACACACTAGATAGCCATCGTTTATCAGCGTCCGGGTTGCCGACCAACAATATTGCGTTGCATCAGCTCCATCTTAAGCGCCAGTGATAGCTAGTCATCCCACCATATTTGCTATTACAGTCTAGTCTGGCCTCCCTGCGCAACACAGCCTCGAACCATGCATCCAGCAACCAGTTACGCTAAGATGCACTAAAGAGGCGCCGGTGCCTCTTAACGATTCGTTCCTCGGTCCTCCCCTCTCTCAATGCTAGCCGCCGGAGCTCGAGCTGAATTCTTCCCCACTGCGCATCATGACAGTTGATAACCTCTTTCCACCGTCATCCCTACAAACTCCATCTTCACCACGACCAACAGAGCCCCAATGTCTTCCACCGTCTGCCATGGCATGCACAACGGCATCATCCAGAACATCCAAGCCGATCTCGCCTGCGGCGTCACCAACACCACCCATCCCCACGTAACCTGCTGCGTCAACGGCGACTACTGCCTCAGCAATTCCATCTGCGTCAACACCCGCCCAACCGACAACGAGGACTACTATTATGCCGCCGACTGCACGGATGAGACCCTCATGGATCCCGCCTGCGGAACGCGATGCGGTGCGCCACCACAACCACACCCACTGACAGCCTGATTTGATGGGGTCCTCACTGATCGCGGCTGAATCCTCACAGGTGGCCGCAACAACGCGCGCATCACCTACACAGACGCAGGCCTCTGGGCATGCTGCGAGAACTCTGCCGGGACGGTGAACTGCTCCAACCCGTCCGACGAGATGTGGGCCGGCCCCGCGCCGTCGAAGCTCGCGACCATCCAGTACCTTCCGTCCACAGCCTCCGGCACGCCCACCTACGCGGTCGCAACGGCCACCTCCACCGTCACATCGGCCACCAGTACAGCAGGAGCATCGGCACAATCGCATACGGGTAGCTCATCGAGCCTTGGGGCCGGGGCGGCCGCTGGGATTGGGGTGGGGACGGCGGCGGGGGTGATTGCCGTCGCGGCGGTTGTTGCGTTTCTGTGCTTGCGGAGGCGAAGGTCAGCCTCGCCGGATGGCGTGCACGGGTATAATGGGCTTCACAATGAGGGTTGGACGCCGCAGCCGACGGAGATGCAGGCGCGGCCGATTTATGAGCTTGCGCGAGAGGGGCCGCATATTGAGCTGGAGGCGCAGCAGCCCAAGTCGGTATAATTTCTTTGTTTTGCTTCTGTTGTGCATTCCCAGGCATACAGGCTATCGAATTGGGGTTATGTTCTTATTGTCATACTTGCTCCATTATGGATTCGATACCTATCAATCAACATCCGTGCTTACAGCATTAGCCCTCGTCGCCTCCAGATCATGCTGTAGGTTTCCAATTTTCGACTCCAACGCCGCGACGCAATCTGTCCCCAGGGGTAGACGAAGATAATGACGGTCACTGGTGACAGCCTGGATAATAGCCCCTGCAGCCTTGTCCGGATCACCCTTGACAGATATAGGAAGAGACTTCATGATCTGACTACCGTTGATCATCTGTTCCACCACCGTCCCTTCGTAATCTTGACTGAACCCCTCACTGAACCGCGCAGGCGTGATGATTCGACTCGCAAACGGCGTCCGAAATGCACCGGGCTCTACAATCAGAACCCTGATCCCGAAAGATCCGACCTCCTGGGCCAGAGACTCATGGACAGCCTCGATGGCAAATTTACTGGCGGAGTAGATACCCCGTGCAGGACGAGCGATGAACCTATTCTATTCAGATTGGGTCCTAACTCTCCACCTTGAATGGTCGGAGGCGGAGACTCACCCAGCACCACTGCTAATGAGGATGATTTGGCCGGACCCCCCCGCGCGCATCGCAGGCAGGCAGGCTCGCACGGTGCGCAGGGGCCCGTAGAAGTTGACTTCCATCTGGGCGCGGAATTCCTCCTCGCTGCGTACCCGGGTCGTTAGCAATCAGGCCATATAAATGTGTTATGGAGGGGGTTCACTACCTACCTAGCATCTTCCACGCTGCCAATGAAAGCGTATCCTGCGTTGTTGACTAGCACATCGATGCTCTGCTCTTGGGAGACTTTGACGACTTGGTGGTAGGCATCCGGCTGCGCAGGGTCTAATTCCACCCATGTCCCTCCTCGAGATTCGAGTCGAGGACAATTGGCTTCGGCTTGGCTGATGCTGCGGGTTGTGCCGATGACCTTGAACCCGGCATTCAACGCTTCCAGGGCGAGGGCTCGGCCGATGCCGGACGAGGCGCCTGTGATTAACCAGGTAGGACGTCTTTCTCCCATTTTGTGGTCTGGCAGATCCCCTGATTATTCTTTAGAAGAGCTGCAGACAGATGCTTGTATTTACTGTATATATCCTGTGTACTGCGCAACGGACCTAAGGGCTTATCTCCTTGACACATTCAGCTAGATGAGTATGGTCAATGGGTCCGTAATCATGATCCATGGTTTAGAGCAAGTTCCTAAGTGCTGACAGTGATTAATATCCGACCCTCAACCAAAGGGAGTGAATGAAAAAGATAGACACCTGCATTATGCAGATTCTTGCCTGGCCAAGCGCACCTTGAAAGCCAGACACATACTTAGCCTGTGTGAAATACTGCTTGTATAAAAGCCCCATTCGAGGAACTACTGAGCCTGCTCATAAGCACCGTCAAAGTGCTTAGTTAGCAGGCAGCCAGCTTACGAAACCCCTGTAGGGCTTACAAATCCAACCACCAGCCCTTGATTCGCTTCCCATAACCAGGTTATAAACCATTCCCCTTGCTCAACGATAAGGGGATATCTTCGATATCCATCATACATTCATGACACCCCGGAAGAAGCCCCCTTAACCCCGAACCCCAACAAAGAGCCTGTGGCACGCACCCACAATGATCCCCCTCCCCACAATCCAAGCCTCCAACCGCGGAATCCCCACTCACCCGTCCATCCCCTCCACCCCAATCGCCCTCTTCGTCGGCGCCACCAGCGGCATCGGCGAAGCGACCGTCAAACAGTTCGCCCAGCACACCCGGACCCTGACTCCGCGGGTGTATCTCGTCGGCCGCAACGCCGCCGCCGGCCACCGCATCACCCAGGAATGCAGAGCCCTGAACCCGACCGGGGAATTCGTGTTCCTGCAGGCCGACGTCAGCCTGCTGTCCGTAGTCGACGAGATTAGTCTCATGCTGCTGCGCGACGAACCCTACCTGAACCTCCTGTTTCTGAGCACAGGCACGACAGCCGGGAAAGCTGGTGCGTCACCGTGCCCTCCCCGAATCTCAAATCAAGAAACTTAACCCACCCCACAAGCCGAATACTGATGCGAGGAACATGCAAAAGAAACCCCCGAAACCCTCCGTACCCTAACCGCCCTCCTCTACTACGCCCGCCTCCGCTTCACCCTCAACCTTCTCCCACTCCTGCACTCCACCACCCCCGGCCACCTGCGTCGGGTGATCTCTGTCCTCGCCGGTGGCCACGAAGGCCCGGTCCTCGACGCCGCCGACCCAGACGGCCGCAGCCTCTCGATGCGCGACTTCCGGGGCCAGATCACCTCGATGACAACCCTCGCGATGGAGGTTCTGGCGGAGCGGGCGCCCTCCGTAGCGTTTGTGAATGCGTACCCCGGCACAGTGCGGTCCGGGCTCTTCCGCGAGGCGGATAGCTGGTACGGGTGGGTGACGTGGGCGGTTTTGGTCGTGATCGGGCGGTGGGTGTATATCCCTACCGTGGAGAGTGGGGAGCGCCATGTGTTTTTGGCGACGAGTGGGCGGTTTCGGGCTAGGGACATTGGGGTGAAGGGAGGGGATGGGGAGGGTGGGGTGATGGTTGAGGGGGTGGAGATGGCGAGAGGGACGGATGGGAGGATGGGGTCGGGGGTGTATTCGGTGAATTGGGATGGGGAGGTGGCTGAGGAGAAGGTGAGGGAGGTGCTGGAGGAGTTGAGGAGGGATGGGATGAAGGAGGTGGTGTGGAGCGTGTTGGAGAGTGTGTTTGTTCGGGTTACGGGGAGGGTGATGGTTGGAGGTTGATGTTTGTGGGAGGTGGGAGGTGGGGTTGTATTGATAATATTTGTATTGATAATCTCTTCAAGAGTAACATGTCATTGGGCTGAGTTGAGGGAGATGTAAACAGGTTATAATGCAATTTACCCTGACATGCAAGTGGGTGGCAATTATAGATGAAACAAGTAGTGTGAGATGCCATGTATAAGTATGATTTATGTTGTAGTAAGGGTGTATAATAGTTTCAATTTCCCTCACAGCATCTCAACGTTGCCTTGGTGCCCAAGGTAGCAGCAATACAGGCGGTCGGGTTGAGCAACCTGTCGCCAATGTACCACAGAGTGCAGACCCTGATTCTCTAGCCCCACCAAGGGGCAAACCTACTATAGTCCTTCTGGGTAGGCATGAGCTGTCGACCAATTCCCCAACTCAATAGAGAAACCAGGCAAGACGTCCTGCTAGACATATCCGTTACAAATACCAACCGTCCCCTGATCCTGACCCCCCAAGCTCTCCCCCACCTCATCCCCCACCACCACCACCACCTACCCCATTGGCCTCCCCACCTCCCCTCCCACTCACCCTCCACCGCCCCCCAAACCGAACCAACACCCCGGGCACCGGCACCACCAGCAACCCCACACCCGCCAGCACCGTCCCTCCCCACCCGTACCCCACCGCCCGAAACAGCGGCGGCCCCGCCAACGGCACCACCGCCGCCGTAACATTCCGCACCACCATCAACGCACTGATCGCACTGACCGCACACACCCCAAACGAGTCCACCACGTACGTCTGCACCGTAATCGAGGTGGCCGCCAGCCCGAGCCCGACCATTGCCGTCCCGACGATCGGGACCAGGAAGTAAATCCGGTAATGGACGGACCAGCCAAACAGCAACATTCCGGCGGAAGTGAGGAGACACGCTAGTAATAGTGGCGGGAGACGTTGTTCTGGGGTTGATGTTGGGGTTTGTGAGGCATGCGTGCTGGGGTTGATGCGTCGGCGGGTGATGTACCGGTCTAGCAGGAGGCTGCAGAGTAGTGCGCCGAGGGTGAAGCCTAGACACAGTCCTAAGAAGGCGAGGCCGGAGGCGCCTTCGGAGAAGAAGTAGCGGTCTTGGAAGACGGGGGCGATGGTTGTCATCGTCAGGTAGGTGAGGCCGTATATTAGGCTGAGGTGGAGGGTTGCTAGGGCGAGGGCGGGGAAGCGGATGATGAGGGTTAAGGGGCGGAGGAGGATGAAGGCGTTTTTGGTGGGGATTCTGTGTGGAGGGGAGGGGGCGGTGTGATGGGTGGGTGTGCGTGTGTCTTGTTGTAGAGCAGCAGCCTTGCGTTGGAGGATCGTGGGCTTGTATGTCTCGCGATAGAGTATCAGAATCAGCACCCCCAGAGCCCCAGAGAGCAGAGTTGGAAGCCAGAAGACCCAGCGCCAGCCGGCGCGTTCACCAAGGAACGAGCCCACGATGGGTCCGACTACGGGCCCGACCACGCTGGTCAGCGACATGACGGACATGGCGCGCCCGCGTTGCTCTTTGCGGAACAGGTCTTTCACGATGCCGGGGCCGATGGGAATACAGGCTGTGGCGAGCCCGCTGAGGAACCGAAAGGCGATCAGCATCTGGATGCTGGTGCTCAGGGCCGTGCCGGCGACGAACACGATGAAGAGGACGCTCGCCCCGTTGAGGATCCACTGTCGACCGTAGAGTTCCGAGAGCGGGCCCCAGACAAGGGGGGCGAAGATCTCACCCAGCTCCCAGATTGTCACGAGGAGGGTGCGGTAGAGGAGGTTGTTGGAGTGGAAGAAGGTCAGGATCTGGGGCGAGACGGGTGCCGCGATGATGGTGCATAGCTGTCTACGTGAGGCGGTCGAGTCAGTAGGTCATGGTTTCACTCATTTGAAGATCATGGTTGGTGACATACACTTCTGCACATAAACACGCGACGAGAACCACAATGGACCATCTCCATGTCTTGGACCAGTTGCGTGGGTTGTCTGGATCATTATCACAGTAATCCAGACGCAGCTGCTCGCATGCTTCCTCGTCGTTCCCAGGGGCAGAGTTGTATCCCTGCGATTTGGATTTCCTGTCCATACTCGAAGTAAACAAATTTCAAAACACGGAAGAGTTTAAAAGCAAGGAAGAATACCCAGGGAAAGACAAGGGGTTGGGATCGATTCACTCCTTATGATTTTCCAAGCAGAAACTTATGTTACACCATACCACACATCCTCACATCCCGGTCCCAATCAGTATTCACTCAACCCTTTACCCCTCATCCATTCAAACCGCCCATCATCAATTCTCAACCACCTCCGGATACCCATAATACTCAAAATACCTCGTCATGGTCGCGAAATGCTCACTGTCCGGCGCACAAAATGCATAGCGATCGATACTGCGCGACGGAGGCCGATAGTCGCTCAGCCGCCGGTAGCAAGCGTCGCGGTCCGGGTGCTTCGTCCACGCCACCAGCTTCTCAATATCTTTACATTGTCGGATCTGACCCTCTCCAGCCCCGTTGACCAGCCGCAGTGACGGCATGGGTGTGTCGTCGGCTCGACACATGAGGTCCTGTCGCAAGGTATCGAGGCAATGCTCGACGTGGCCGAAGATGATGGGGTTCTCTTCACCGGAGAGGAGTTGTTTGAAGGCCCGGCGGATGTTTTTCTATCCAACCCAGTCGTAGACGGTTAGCTCTGCGATTGAGCATAATTGGGTTGGGGAACACAAGTTCGATGTCCGACCTACCAGGCAATGCAGTTGATGGTAGACTTTGACAAAGTAGATCTTCCGGGTTGGGTCCCATGGGAAGTCCCAGGAGTCCGGGAGGCCCATCTCCTCAGCCCATTCGATCGTCGGGGCGATGATCATTGAGTCCAGACTGAGGCTATCCCACATGTGATCGGCAAGCGTCTGGTTGTCGCTCGTGTAGTCGGTCGAGAGGGAGTATTGGGTTGTCACATCGTAAGCGAGTCCGGCTGGTAGTTGGGGAAGGTGAGGATGTTCGTATGTGTGGAAGAGATTTGGGAAAGACTTACTGTACGGAGAGCGTTGGAGTTCTGGGGCAATGCAAATGGTTGCACTGTGGCAGTGAGGGCTTTGTGGGCTCCTCAGGAATATCGACCAGACATTAAATGCCAGCGATATGAACAGAAGTAGCGGCACAAAGCACGTCCCACGGATGTTGACTGTTGACAGCACGCTTATCCTCTCGTGGGAGAAGAGCCCGTCTGCGACGGTCGGTTCAAGCTCCCCGTCCTCGATTGTACTGCCATGCTCACCAAGCTTCTTGGACTCGCCCAACATAGTAGAAGGCCGTTTCAGCTATGGAAATGAATTGCCAATGTTTGAAGATATATCAACTGAACGCAGAACGGGTTAACAACATGTAATTTGGCGGGTTCGCCACACAAGACAAACTACGAGCAAAGCTATATCCAGCTTACAAGTTAGCGTCTCACCATGGAGCTCTCTCTCCCCTTCCAAGCTATGTATTTGAGGCTGAAATGCCCAGACCAATGGCAAAAACCACTGCTGTATACAGAAAACAGCCCCGTTTGCTAACTGGGTAGCACAACGACCAAAATTTGTGCGAGCTGCCACAGTTACAATAACACTTTAGTCAGCTATTCATGAGTTAGAAGTCTTACGCGAATAAGGTAACAGTCACATCTTGTTAGTATCTAAACAAGCTACTGGGACCTTAGTTCAGCACCACGGTTTGTGCTACGTCGAGGAGCCCGTGTCACCGACCAAAGCAATGGATTTGAAATTCGGCCCCCCGAGCGCGATCAATAATTCTCCGAGTGACACTGGTAATCGTGTTGCGTGTGACAAGAGTAGGTCTATGCGCGACTCGCGACTCGTGCAATGATGTGTTTTCGTGGCCTTCGGAGAATGGTCCACCGTGAGTAAATATATCACACACCCCTTCCGCAGGCCAGTTTGAGAAACATGATGTTGCAACAAATCATCCCCCAGGGAAATCTACAAACACGAATACTGGTGTATAGATAAGGTATATGATACATGAACCCACTTTACGACCTGCTAACTGATTCTGAGTCCAGAGATTTAGAACCTAGCGTTAAAGCGAGGGTGGCTGTTCATCTACCACCGATCCACGATGCGCACCTTAAGCATTGTCCTCATAACCCTGGCAACAGCAGCCATGGGTCGCGGGGCAGTCAAGAACAACTACGCTTTGCACACAGTCACCAGAGTCCAAACAACGTCTTGTGTCTCGACCGGCCCGACGACTTCCTCGGACTGCATCCCTTCGTCGATAGGCGTGGCGGCTATATTCAAATAATTACCCGCCTTCAACTATTCTGCCACAGAAAACACAGTTTTTTATCTTCTACGAGTCTCGTGTCAGCTGTTCATTTAGAATTTTACAATGGATGGGAGAATTATCAAAGGTAATATAGCAAAGTACCCTCCCCTCCAGTGGTAACTACGGCGACGGCCCCGAATCACTATCCAACAGCCGCGTAGACCCCGACCCGTACCGCAAGCCTGTCGTGCGCTCTACCCCAGCCGGCTTCAGCATGCCGCTCGGGAAGGACTCGAGGAACTCGCGGAGATAGGGCACACACGCTGCCACGATGGTGACTGTCTGCAGGACCTGGCCGCACAGCATCCATGGGTAGAGCGCCACGGGTAGGGCAGGGCTGGGATCGAAGCCGTGGACGTAGTGGAGTTGAACGGCGGAGACAAGGATGTCTCTATTTGTTTTCGCAAGGTGGTTAGTACGCGTAAGTATCCGCGACATACGGTCTATCATCCGCGAGAGGGCAGGTGCACAAACGAAGAGGGGAAACGTACAGAGTCCGAACGCTCAAGCATCCGATTACCACCAACCGTCTGCGCAAGCGCATGCGAAGCTGGTAGATGAGGATACTCGGGACGGCAAATAAGAGAGCTTCTATGATGATGTTCGTGACGCCGTAGTAGGTCCATAGGGCTGTCTGTGCCGAGGTAGAAGATTAGCGTGTATATTTACCACGGTTGATCCAACCGACGCCTACCACGTCCAAGCATGTCCCGGACATCAAATTCCAAACCTCAGGCGGACGGCACTGGAGTGCGACCGCGACGACCATAGCAAAGGTCCAGAGGACGAGAAACGTCCCGACGCCGAAAATCGCTCGGGTGAGGGTCCTCAGCGCGCTCCCGGACAGAACCATGTAAAAGAGAGCGATGAAGGAGAGCTTCCCCACCCCGAGGGTCAGGACATGGAAGACCTCTGTCAGGTAGATGGCTGTCTGGAGACCTGCGAGCTGGTCTCTGGGGGTGTCTTCGTCGATCCTTGGTCGGCCCAGGCCACGGGTGGCGGCAAGAGAGACAGTGGCCCCGGCGATCGCGGATGAGAGCTGCCAAGTGTCAGCCTTCTTTGCTTGCAGCCAGCGCACGGGAAGAGAACGGGCTTCTTACTGACCAGCGTACTTAGTAGAAGGGTCAGAACCAAGATCTTCCTTCCGAGAAGATGCCAGCTCGTCAGAAGGCAGGCCGCCACCGCCCCGGATGACACGATCAGCAAGAACCATGAAACAATCTTGACGACGGCGCCGTGATCCTCCATCTTGCACGGCAAAAAAGACTAGCACACACTTGGGCGCCAACAGTGGGGCCTGTCTATCCGAAGGATTTCGGAAGTTTATCGTATTCGGAGTAAAGCCATGGGCGTGCTGGATACATTTAAAAGCGAGATTAAGACCGCGAGGTAAGCATAAATGTCGACTCGGTCACATCCACTGAGTATGGTGGTACTGTGTGGTATTGATGGTTTGGTGATCATGGCGAGGGAGGGCTGGCTGGTCGGCAACTGTTGAGTGACCAAACCAACCCCCAACCTAAAAGAACCAGCAGTAGCCCCCCATTTGCTCAATCGGGCTATACCAAGGCAACATCGCAATGTTATAGTCTCGATGCTGCTCCCTCCCTGGGACTGGAGCTAGGTACCCTCCCTGGCCCGAGAGAGCTCGGGACCTACATATCCTAGTGCTCATCGTAGACTTGGGAACAGCCTCATCTCGACCTCGTTCCAGGGCGGCGCTCGGTCAGCAGAAATTGACTTTGTCCTACACATCCTGGTTCAGGTTCAGGCTCAGGCTCTCCTCGCCGGAGGTTCAATGACAACTCGGCCATGGGAGGTGGCACAAAGGTCCCCCAAGGCGACAGGCATCTGGGTAAACCATATGCCCCGCACCTTGTCCTACGTTGCCGATCGGACAGCCCGAAGCTGAATCAGGGGACAGCCATCCCTTTCCTCTGTCAACCGTTGGAGTCACTCGGGGTTTTCCGCATGTCTTTCCGTTCCTTTCCTGCAATCGAATCGGGCCTGCTCTTGCATGCCATCCTGCTCTCCATCCGATACTAGAGCCAACATCCTCCGATAAGATGCGCGAGCGCTCCCCGAATGAAAGTGTGGTCGAACTGACCTCGATAGTGGCTGAGGGACCTGCTGTTCTCCGCCGAGAAAATGTGATCCTCACCAGTCGAGACGCTCTCGAATTAGCCCAGGTGGGAAAGAGGGAGGTCCTCAAGGTAAGTCTACGGTTGGACATATGCCATCATCTCCTTGTCAGTTGACCCGTTTGACAGCGGAGATTCGGACTGGCCAGCACGGTGGGATTTGCCTGCAGCCTGATGCTCACATGGGAGGCCTTTCTTATGTTCGTTGCCATACATCACCCACGAGACCTTAATTGACGTGCAAATAGTAACTTCGGCGTAGGGCTGCCAAAGTAAGGTTCCCTGGTTGCTGTGCTGACATGAAAGGCTCTGTGTTGGTGTTGGTGTTAATGTTGTTTCTAGTGGAGGGCCGGCCGGTCTGGTCTATGGTTATATTGCAGTGTGGATTGGCTTTCTCAGCATATTTACCGCATTGGGTGAGCTGGCGAGCATGATCCCGTCGGTAAGTAGGCTTCGAGGTCTGGATTCTGTGATCACTCACTATCTAACATGATATCTGCAGGCCGGTGGACAGTACCACTGGGCGAGTATTCTTGCGCCCGAGTCCTCAAAGCGATTCATCAGCCATGTCACCGGTATGTCAATGACAACCTCTCAACATGGAATCACCTCCAATACTAACCCAATGCGAAGGGTCAATCTGCATTATCGCTTGGACAGCTGTTCCAACAGGGGCGGTGTATGTAGCCGCAAGCATACTGCAGAGTGCAGTTGCCATGAAACATCCAGAATACGAACCTCAAGGCTGGCATGTGACCTTGGTTATGTGCGGAATTTTGCTGATCTGCGCAATCCTGAACACCTGGCTTGGGATGATTTTGCCCGTGCTGGAGGTTTTCATCGGCATCGTCCACGTGCTTGGCTTTTTTGCAGTCCTCATACCGATCGTCTACCTAGGTCCCAAGGCTGACGCCAGGTCAGTATTTGTCCAGACGTTCAATGTCGGCGGTTGGCGTGATATCACGTTGGCCACGTTTGTAGGCTTGAAGGGAGTCGTTGGTGCCTTTTTAGGTGAGTCCGGTGGCCCGTCCCTTCGGCGTAATCTGAGAGCTAACGTCAAGCAGGCACAGATGGCGTGGTTCATGTGAGTAATCACACGCGACTGGTTCGATCCACTGCTGATACCGCCAGATGGCCGAGGAGGTCGCGGATAGTACCGTGGTAGTTCCGCACTCGATGCTGTTCGCCATCGCCATCAACGGAGTTCTTGGCTTCGCGATGCTGATCGCCTTCCTGTTTACGGCGGGAGATCTGTCCGCCGTTCTCAAATCGGACGCCCCGTATCCCTTCATGCAGATCCTCGAAAACGCCACCCAGAGCACGGGGGCTGCCATTGTGTTCTCAAGCATGGTCGCGATCATGCAGGCCTGCTGCGGGCTCGGCGGGATTTCTTCGGGGAGTCGCATGCTGTGGGCCTTCTCGAGAGAACAGGCCCTTCCAGGCTGGCGGTGGATTCTTCAGGTGCGCTGCAGTTTGCTTACCTACCCGTCCATCCCCACTAACCAGGCTTGTACAGCTCAATGAGCAAACATCAGTCCCATTCCACAGCATCTGTGTGATCGTCGTCTCAGCCGGCCTCATCGGCCTCATCAACATTGGCTCGTCGGTGGTGCTGAATATCGTCCTCTCCCTGCTGATGGAGGCGTTCTTCTTCTCCTACGTCATCCCTCTGTCTCTGCTCCTGTATCGTCGAGTCAAAGGACACATCTCCGAGCCGCAGCAGGGTGTGGATAATAATAAAGGCTTCGTCTGGGGCCCTTTTCGGGTGAGAGGGTGGCTAGGCATAGCGAACAACATCTTCGCGCTGGTCTTCTCGGGCATCATAGTCATCTTCGGCTTCTGGCCTGCGAGCAGCCATCCGACCCCGTCCCACATGAACTACAGCGTGGCGATCTTTGGCGGGGTGCTGATCCTGGCGGTAGGGTATTATTTGGGATGGGGGAGGAAACATTATATGGGACCCTTGGCGGAGGTTGAAGTTACGGCGGGATCCGTGGAACAAAGAAGGTGCGAGAGGGGTTTGTGACACCAACAGTTTGGGGTCCAGTGCATCTTCCTGTGTCCTAGTGAATGAAGACATAAATATGCAGACATAAATACTAGATACGTCTTCACCGTATCCTCTACCCCTTGACTCTATCTCTTTGAAGATATCATCACCTCTCTTCCAAGACATCAACCACCAACATGACGTCCACAACACACTCCCCTCCCCATCCCCCCTTTGATATCCGCGAAGTGGTCACCAAAGCGGAGTTCGCGCGACTGAATGACGTTCTCTGGACCGCAAACTTCCATCCCTACGAGTGAGGCCCCTCCCTCGCCTGTACTTCAAGCCAATCCATATACCACCTACCCATCATCGCCTGCTCAAATTCACTCACAGCACCCCTCCCATCTCCACAATCCCTTATCCTGATGGATTTTCTCCAAAACAGACCAATCTTCACCCTCTGCCACGCCATCACCGGCCCAACCACCGCTGACCGCGCCGCCGATATCGCCCGCGACACCGACCTCCACTGGGCGGCGCACGAACGCAACCCAGCCTCGCACTACGTCTACGTCGTCGACCCCACCACCGGCCGCGTCGCCGGCGGCTGCGAATGGACCTTCCACCATACCAACCCGTTCTCCGAAGCCCCGGCCCGCGTCCCGTGCACCTGGTACCCCGAGGGATCGGAGGTAGCGGAGTTTGCTTCCCACATATTGACGCAGTGTTTGTTGCCGCGGCGGGCTTGGTTTCGACGGGCGCATGCGGGTTCGTTTACTCCTTTTCCTTGGTCTTGTTCTATACAGTTGTACGTGGCAGGATGGGCAGTTGTCGCAAGGGGCATGGTCCTGGGGATGTACCCGGTACGCTTCTGTGCTGAGATGGGCTGCGGCTGACTACTTGGGTTCATGTATAGGGGTCAATCGAATGGGTGTGCACCCGGACTACCGCCGTCAGGGGGTCGGACGGATGCTGATGCAGTGGGGCCATGCACGGATTGACGTGTGGGGGTATGAATGTTTTATCGAGTCCGGGGCGACGGGGCGGTGGTTGTACGAGGAGTGCGGGTATCGGAGGGTTATGGCGTTGGCGGTGGATTGTGCGCGCAAGAACCCCAGTGCGGATTGGGAGAGGCTCATGTTTGAGTATCGGTCGGTGGGGATGTTGTTGCTCTGGAGGCCGCCTAGGGGAGTTTGGGATGAGCGTGTGCCGGCTGGGCCGTGGGCCGTGACGGAGGAGACCTGGCAGCATGTCGGGATTGAGCGGGCGGATGATAAGTCAATTGAGGATGCGCAGGTAGAAGCTGGAGCGAACCTCGCAGCCTAGTGAATGTAGTCGAGATGGGTAGTCAATTGGCTTGGCTGGTGTTGTCTGATCGCTCACTCTGGACTCGAAGATTCCGGAATCTGGGGGAAATTGGAGCAGTCTTTCGTTGGAGTCAATGCAGCACTGAGGTTGGTTGGTAGACATGAGGTGGAGGGCCTTCGTCAGTGTCCCACTCAGACACAAACGCGGATTCTGCGGTGGTGATATGATATAATATATTGTCCGGAAATCTAAGTTTTCTTTCTGGTCGATTGACGTTTGCGAGAATGTTGGGCTAACGTCATTGACATGTTGGGAAGATCAGGGCTCCACCGCTGCCTTATGGGAACTCAAACTGAACCAAAGGATGATTGTCAAAGTTTTTCTCTTTACTTCTTCAACGTCACATCCTCAGCATTCATGTCGCGTAATCGTTGATGGAGAGTTGACGGTGGAAGCAGAGTGGTGTCAGTCGTAAGTACTGCCAGTAATGCATATCAAGAGTCACGAAGTGGGTGCTGAGCATGACTCGGTCGGGAAAAGCCGGTTTTGTTCTTCCTCCCACCACCGATGCCAAATCCGGACACCCGCCACACCAACTGGACAGCCAGATGTTCTCAAGACCTTCCGTTTGACAACAACATCAGGCAGTATGCGTAGACACCCCGAGTATCAGCATGCAAACGCATCTGCTATTTTAAGATGAGATCCCAAACCAAGGTTCCTCAGGGGTATGACATTAGACCAACACCATCCCTCACATCATGCCTCTGTCATATCACCTGATTGCGCATGCCGACACCCAAGGCTCAGGCAACTCAAACGCTTTATCTTATCGTGGTGTGATCCACGGCATCGGCCTCGGCCCGCTCTGGCCCAAGGGTCAGAGCTTCCTGGCCACACAATCAGCACGCTTTCGGAACCTTATTTGCAGAATTCAGCAGGTGTGCCGGTTGCAGACAGGGCCCCGATGGGGAGCTGTATTTCCGCGGGTTGGGGGGTGGCAGCCGTCGTGGAAAAATCTAGCATGATTGCGCAGTCGCACGGAATGGGTAGGTAGTCCATGTGGTTTGTCTGCGTTGGGCAGCATTGGCGACCGTGCCGATAGCAGCATACAATTACCATATCACAACGACTCAAGGGCAATTATCATTAGGTAGACGAAATTCACAATCGGCTAGCACGGTGTTCCAGCCCAGCTGAACAGTGGTGGTCGGGTGAGCCGAAGAGTTTTCTTCCCTGCGCGGGAGATTTTCTGTCTATGCGCGGTTTTCGCACAGGGGGGCCGGGTGGGTTTCCTTCTGATAAGAGTGGCAAGTTTGGCGGAGAAATTGTTAAGGTTCGCTGCGGTTCTAGATGCCCCACTATCCTCAAGGAAGCATAGACTGGCCCTGACAGCTTCGATCCCAACGGTCTAGGTCCCGTTCCGGCCATATCGCCCCTCGGATTGATTGTGCCGCGTAGGAGAAAAAATTTGATCGGGTGTATGATTCACGACACCATAGATACTGAATAGTTCTTCTATCAGGAGATCATCCTAAGGGGTAAAAAAGTTATATAAACGGTTTGTCGAGACGGTCCTCCTCGACTTTTTCTCTCTCTCATCATCCAACAAAGCATTCTAATTCTAATACCTCCCACCTCCTCTTCCGAACCACACACAACACCAAAGCCCTATCTTCCGGGTTAATCTCCTCCACACACCACCTTTCAAAATGACTATCCCCTTCCCCATGATCGGCCCTGAGAGCTACGGCCTCTACACTCGCCGTGCTGCTCCTCGCAACGTTGCCGAGGACGCCCTCGCTAAGGAGCTCGAATCCACCGATGTCTCCCGCAGCCAATTGGGCTCGCGCAGCTCCTCGGCTGCCACCATGGCCACCACTTCCACCACCTCTTCCTCCTCCAGCTGGAGACAGAAGCTTTCTCAAAAGTGAGTTACTGAGTGCCTCACTACCTGCATCCACAAAATGCTAATGACTCGACAACAGGTACAAGAAGTTCCACTTCGCTTGAGTTTCCACCAGTCATTGTGACACAAATTGCAACCACATCACGAAACCAACAAAACCACCATCAACAATCAAACATGAAAACCACCGAGCATATCCGCTCTGATACGACATATTACGGCATTTTTGGAGGAGTCATAGAGGGTTATGAGTGAGGCGGGGAGTTTCTTTCACCTGTGAAAACTTTTTTAATACCTGTTAATACTTAATTTTGTCGGCGGGCATGTATATATGAACGCTTTAGACTTACATATTTACTTCACTTTACTTCACTTCCACCAAAGCTCATGATTATGACTTGCATCTCTAGCTATTCTTACTCTTCTGACTTTCCTGGCGTGACACGCACAACTTTCCTGATTGGGAAAGAACAATGTTCTTGGAATTATTTGTACTGCTAAGTTTTATTTTCTAATATCTTAGTCCTGAAAGCGTACACTGATGCCAACTATCGATCCTGTTGTTTGAAAGTGATCGTTGTGTAGAGATGATATTCTTCAACAACCTAAGAACCACCCCCAATCCCTGATGCCGATCGCCTGCCCCTACCAAACGCTACGTATCAGATGAAAAAAACTCATCTGGTCATATGCGCCTCGCACCTTAGCGTAGGGAACAGGGGCAGGGCACCGGGTCGATCGGGTCCCATCGGGAACGGCGGCATCGTAAGGGCTCCCAGCCAATCAAAGCATCCAGTCGCTAATGCCAATTGTTTCTTTTTTCGGCACCGCGACCGTGCGCAGCAGTCGGCCAGGATTTTTCCACTTAGCGTCCGACCTCTTCGGGAGTCTTCGCGTGGCGAATTTCGAGATTCCAGTGGGATATGGGATCCACATCCCGATTATCCAGGCCAGGCTCTCGTCTCGGTCGGTGAGTCAAAGCGCGCGAGGTACCGCAACGCGCGGTGGAAGATAAGAGAACCGGTTTTCCTGTTTGCTTTACTCAATTGATACCCTAACGGTTCGAGAACGATGGCTGGATCTGTCGATCATTCGGGATTTTCGAGGGTGCGAACCGGAGTTGTTGACTTAAGTCGGGGGTTGGAACAAAACCAAGCTTTTTTTGTAGGGTGTGTAGTGGCCCGGTGAGAAGATTGGGTTTCCTTTTATCTCTTGTTCGTTTGCCTTGTTAAGGCTTTCTCAACAATGTTCCGGAAGGGCTTGCTTGTCAAGCAGGTCTTGCGTTCTCTAGGATTACATAGTGTGTGCATGCTGCAATCAAGGAGTACGTGGACATGCAGGGCATATCTTGGAATATAGGTCTGATGTAATATATATCCACATTAAGCGATCCACCGACTCTGCATGTAATCGGGATGCATGCAGGAGCAAGAGGCCTCATACTATGAGAGGCTGGTCACATGACATGCTATGGTGTTCACCTTCCAACTTGGTTTTGTGTCATTCACACAAACAACATCAGAAAGCCAACTGACTCTGCCTCGGGGACACGTTGAGCAGTATTATGCGTACTTCGGCCACGTGGATTCGAGGCGATTCTCTAGGCGAGTTGACCACCTTGAGATCTTAGCTGGTTCATCAGCCAACCGTTTGAAATTTGAGAAATCGTTCCGCCCATTCCGTCGTCAAATCGTTTACAGGCAACCATGCTCACCGATTCCCCGCCCGCGACAAAATATATATACGAACCTAGAATACTTAGTCTACTGTTAAGGTCCGATATTTCTTCTCTATTAGTTGGAGAAAAAATGAATTGATCACGAGCATGATGTTATATAGGCAAAAAACTGTACTAAAATGAGGGGGTATATTAAGCTGAGTCCTTACTATATCAACATTTCATAGTAAGCGTTTTTTGACTTTCGTTTAGATTTCTACTAATCCGTAATATGAAAATTCTCTAATGACAAATAGGAGTACAACTATATAGTATTTGATATCACTCCAGGGTTAGAAAAAGCGACGAGTACTGGGGTTGTCAAGGGCTGGATTGAGGGATAATACGCAAATCAATGAAACAATAATAATGTTCAAGAGCTAACTCAAGTTGCGCATAGCCGACCTTGAGACGAGGCAAGAGCTCAGTGGTTCTAGCCGACTATCGATCTATAAATTGAGAAGCAATGTACAGCACTGTGGTGCTCATCCACGTCTCAGGCGCTACTGCCATTCTTGGGAGGAGGGTCCTACCACTCTGATCCACGCAGAAGCAGAAACCTTTAATCTGGAGTAGGCATTGTTATCCTCGCCCCACGGACAGCACTCGATAACCCCTTTCTTGTCCATTGGTCCACACGTTGAAGATGAAAGTAAGGACCGACGGTGGCTTCGGGTCGCGCTGCTGGCTACCAGTGAAGTTCTGCCATATAGCTGTGTCAGTCATCGGAGTTCCTCGTTTACCTTGCTTTGAACATACTCACTAGATGCAATCAGCGGAAACAATACATTGTTGCAAGCTCATTCCGGATGATCCTTCTTTCTTGGAGCGCACTGCACAATGAGCGATGGCGACAAAGCATTCTGGGTGATCATTGCAATGTCTTTGATATGTCATTCCTTTGCCTTGATTCTGTACTTAATAAGTTGCAACTGCCACATTGCAATCAATCAGAGATCCTCATCAATACCTTTATCAATTGAATTCCGACCTGGAATGCGAGCGCTATGACTGCTCCCGCGGTGGCTATATATAGAACGATGCGATGCATTCTCGACTAGACACCCCACCAGCCCCACGACCAGTCCATACATCACCGCAAGACTGTTGCTACTCTCAAGAAAAAGCCACCATGTCGTCGGTCCTACAAACCTTCCCCAAAATGCTCCCGGGTCGGCCGCTTGACTCCGTTCGAATCCGGCACCTGAACAGCACGCCGGACTACTGGGATAATAGGAAAATCAGGGACCTTATTGAAAAGAGCATCCAGCGCCCGCCGCAAGGTGTAGATCGCATTCCGCAAGCCGAGATCACAGCTAAGATCTGGACGAGCATTCTCCTCGACGCTCTCAATGTCCCGCCCTCAGTCAAGGACCTCAAACCTGGCCACGAGCCCCAGCGCCTGGACGTTGACATCTGCCAGGTCCGCGAAACCTACTGGGAGTCGCTACACGAGGGCCCGCTGGCCGTCACCCTCACACGCTCCCGACCGACCGACGGGCTCGACCGCTACATCCCGGCCGTGCCCTTTCTCCAAGTCTTCTGCATGGGCGGGGAGGAGCCGCCCACCCTGGACAAGGCGCGCGCCCTAGCGGAGCGTTGCGTGCCGCACCAGCGTCGGTGGGAGATCCGGGACGCGGGCGGCGCGTTCATCCTAGCCAAGGGCCACCGGGTGTCGTTCTTCCAGTGGAGACCGGGATTTTCCGACTGCGGCCCGGACGATTTGACCCTGTTTCCCTGGTATGGCGGGGACACAGACCATGGGTTCCGCTGCCTCTTGCATGACCACGAGGAGGTCGAGCAGCTCCTGAAGTCCCTGCGTCGGCGCATCCAGGAATGCCCCATCCCGTTCGAGTACCAGCCGAGTATGGATTGCTGCGTCGCAATAGAGCCTGATGCTGGCAGCCCTGACTCGTCCTGCTCGGCCATTCCTGGTGCATGAGCAGCGGTAGGCTTAGCCCGAATTTTCCAATTTTGTATATCAATCCCTACCTGATCTTGTAACTTCATTCCTTGCATTTCTCAATTCTCCCTCTAACAAATTGCACTCGTACGTTACTTCGCCGGTCCAAACTACCTCCAGTGTGATTCTCCTCAATCCCATATCACCCAAGCTCCAAATCACCGGATAGTCATTCAACTGCAGGGACGGAGAACTCATCCCTGCCAGATAGCTCACGCGAGATCCCTCGCCATCACAGAATCACCGCCCGAACCACCTGATCCGAATCCTCCACTTCCAGTCCCAACCGGGCATTCCAGGAACCCCTGGGCCTGCGGCTCCAATTGCCATATGGCCCATCGAGAAACCTCATCAGTCCGGCCGCCATGTTCAGGATCCGCGCGCCAGCCAGATCCCCCCAGCTGAAGCGCTGCGTGCTCTATTCAATCAAGGGCTTCAGATCCACGTACTGAATTTTTCAATCCCCCCCCCCCCCCCCCCCCCTGTTGTCCACTCGAGTACCGCTCGGACCTCGTTCTGCGTCACCATCAAGGACTCGAGGTAGACGTTTTGGCTCTTGGTCAGCTCGGCATGTTGCAGGATGGCGACCAGGGCCCGGCCGATCTGCAGGGGGGTGGGGTGCTGACGGAGGCCGGGGTGACATCATCGTTGTAGATGGTGGCTTCGTGGATTTGCAGGTTTGAGCCCAGGAATCCGATCTTGAGGGCCTATTTCGAGGGGACAGGTGGTAGAGATCGTCAGGAGCATAGGGAACATTGCAAATGGTATAAATGTGCATGTGTTAAAGAGAAGGTATCTTCACAGCTAATGAGGGTACAAGGAATGATGAACTCCAGGCGGGATGATCCAAGGTGGGATTCGGGACTGTAGTAGATACAAGATAGACAAAGCATCACAATGATGCCAAATGATTCCCGAGATGCTCGACTAGTATACTTCCCCTTCCCCCCCCACCCCAGGCGAGAGGGGATTAGCCAAGTTGTTGGCGGGAAGAGCGACTGGAAGTTGTGGAACAGGATTCACGCCACTGTTTTATGCGACTCTGACCACTACTACCGTTAATACTACACAAGCGGACATCCGGTATTGGCGACGTTTGTCGCTGATTAGCGTCAGAATCTAGCTTGTTGCGTCGGGTTGACGACCGTGCAACAGGTAGCCCGGGTTGTGGAGGAAACTCCGGCTCCAGCAGACACCCAGGCGGCCGTAGGGTTGGCTGAGAACTAGGCGCGAGTCATGTCTCAGCGGGATCTGCTTATACATTGGATCGACGTGATGAGCGAGTGTGGGCTAGAGACTATTCTGGACTAAGACGTAGATCGCGATCCGGAGGGAATACCTGTAATGGGTAGGGGTACTTTTTTCTTCCTTCTCGCAGTAAACTGCTACAGGATAGAGAATCTCGGACACAGTTTAAGGGGGTTCGTGGAAGACATTCCCGTGTCAAGATCAAACTCACCAAACGGAGCGGACTACGGATAGGTAAACTACCTAGCACTATGAACTCCAGGAGCAATGGTATGCTGGCTACGTAGCTGTAGGGTTCATCGATCGATAAACCCCACCCGATCGCCGGATCGATCGGGTCCCGCGCGCCCAGTTCCACGGAACCGCCCCGATAATGTCACCATGCGTCAACAATGACTGCAAGTGAGCGAATCGAGTGGTCATTCCAGAATCATAGCTCTACTCCTTTGATCATTCAACTTGATGTCAAGCTTACATTGGCCTACATCTGAATTGTTCAACCATGCTGATTGAGCACATATAAAAACTCAACAATCTCCATCTCAATCAATCGTATCAACACAAGCATATACTCACACTCAAACACCGATACCACAAATTCAATCTTGTCTTTAATAATCAATTCTAACTCAAAAAATCCAACATGCCTCAGTACAGCAACGGACAGGCTATCCGCTACAAGCCCGTTGGCGGTACGATTTCCCTTTCTCTTTCTCTTTCACCTTCTTTTCTCGAATTATCTCAGCAAACTATGCAACTATGCAGAACTAACCCCACGATCAGGCCCCAACTCCAACACGTCGGAGAGCGTCGGAACGATCAAGGGTGTGTTGACCGAGCCCGGTATGCAGGCAGACCGGAATGTCGATGCCAGCGAGGAGAACCCCCGCTATGAGGTACGTAGTGCTACACATTTATAAAGTTGAACAACAAGAACAAATTGCTAATCACACGATACCAGGTTGAGAACCAGAACACGGGCAAGTTGACCAGCATCTACGAGAAGAACATTCTGGGGAGTGCGTGAGATAATGATCATCGATGGGATATGTTGCCTTACGTCAGAGATGTAATATGTTATGAAACAATAGGATAATTGAGGACAGCGACTTGGTAAGCTTTTTCTTTGGTTTCAACTGCGACAGTCAGTGGAATTAAACAATCTGCTGGCCGATTGAAAATGAAACTTTGCATTGCAATTAGGCAATTGGAGTCGCCTGCACAGTGTTGGGTAAAACTTAGAGTCAACCGGGAGCCCTTACGTAGGAGCGGGTTACCACCACGTACGGTGTAGTTGAAACGGGCCACCCGTACCTTATAGCAGAACAATCATCAACGTGTTTTTGTTGAAGTATTGATACTCTATGAAGGTGTCTTGATTCATACTTATAGAACTTTTTCATTCCGAAAGTAAGACTCTTCTTTGTACCCTGATAAGCAGGCCAGTCATCTTACACACTTTTCTAGCCGAGGGATGCATCTCCAGACACCTTCTTGGGCGACCAAGCCATTGAAACTTCTCCTGACACATTCCTAAATAAGCAATGCCCCTCCAGCAGCACGGCCACGATTGAGCTGCACAGACGCCTTGGCGATGGTGACAGCGGGAGACACCAAGAAGTGCGAAACCACTAGTTCTCCTTCAGCCGGGACTTAAGGTTAAGAGAATGCCGTGTCAGCGGCAACAGGGTGGGGGATGGGGGGTGCTGCCTAGAAGCGGAGAGGAGTGGCTGTGCTGTCCATTGGCTTTGGCCGTTAGTCACTCCCAAGCCAATTATCCAAAACTCCGTCGTCCTTCGAGTTCTCCTGGTGCCCAGCAGTCCCAATTCAAGGCGGAGACGGAGTAGAGATGGAGGGTTCCTACTTCGCGGTAAACCCGACTCCTGCTGTACCTAAATCGCACTCGGAACTGGGACATTTGCCTCAAAGCCGAGACATGTACCGGTGAATATTTTCGTATGCATTACCAGAACCGGGAGATCGATGGACTCCAGTAATTGTGAGGTGATTGCGAGGAAACTCCGGCGCAGTCAAAATTATCTTAGCTTCGCAGCTGTCCGAAGCACAGGCTTGGCGTTGCCATCGACAAAGACCGTCGAGCCTGGCGTCTTTGCTGGATTGTGATTAAGCTCGCACTACGCGGCCTTTACTAACCATGTATCCACGTGTCAATGAATAAGACTTCGTATAAGGCTTCGCATAAGTCTAATACGAGGGCTCGTCAGAACGCACTTTTCCATTCCTCCATACACACTGAAGCTCATTCTCCGCTCGTACTCGTATTGGATCGTACTCCGTATGCACGTGCCATTCGATTATTTTTGGCAGGAGTGTGGGGCGGGCCAAGACCACACGCAGCTCAGTGCAACAGCCGGTCGTGAAATCATGCCGACAATTTCAACATTGAAGACTTTTCCAGATTGACTGAACCCCAAGACATATTTGACTCTCATCACAGCTTGGCTTTGCTTCAGCATGCGTCGCCTAGAAAAAACACACTTCTCTATGCAGAAACCTGCAAATCCTTGACAAGGTTTGAGTCTAAGAATGGCACAAAGAAGCCCACACTGGGCATCTAGTACTGGTTGGGACAACTCGCAAACGATCACTGCGCTGTGCCTGAATGAACACTTGGGAGCCAGCGTTACACAGACGGTATCCACTTCCAGGCACCGATTCACCCACAGAAGTGAACAAAGAGTGGTCGTTGTAGAGAATTTCAGGGGCACATGTGCAAAGACTATTAAACTGACACCAAGGCAAACGTGACAATGGCAGAATCTCCAGACTCAGTATCCTCGCTACTATCATGTCGTTTATCGGCTTAGTTCTCTTTATCTGCTACCTCTACCTTACCGGTACTGTTTTCTTCGATGGAATGCACTATCTGCTCCATCGCTGGGCACGCTCAGAGTGGAAGCTCCTGCGCCAGCTCTCCCGCTACCACCAATATCACCACCTTTACTACGGCCGCATGCTTCAGTTCAACCCCAAGTACAGCCGTCTGAATGCACGGATTGCCCTCCCGCTCGAGTTGTTTTGCCAGCTGCTGGGGAGCGTTCTCGGGTGGGCACTTGCCCGAGCGGTTGCGCTATCCCCGAGTGGTCATTCTGACCGCGGGGCTCTGCTCCTCGTCCTGCTGGTCCAAACGGGCCGTGCCCTAACTGTGATCCTCAACGACGGGAAGGACTCCAACCACATCTCCTACGACACCGTTCCAAAGGACCGGAGCTGGACCTTCGTGGGCCCCGAGTATCATGCCCTGCACCATCATTACCCGGATAAATACATGGGGTCGGCGACCAAGCTCTTCGACTGGGTAGCGGGGACGGCATACTCTCTTCGAGGCAAGATCGTCGTTATCATCGGTGATTCCGGAGATTTTGGACAGGCGATGGAGAAGCACCTCCTCGAGGAACGGGTCAAATGCGTATACAAGCTGAATATCAAGCCAAACTGCTCGCAGCAAGACGATGCCCGCCTGGCCGTCATGCTGGAAGAGGCGGACATTCTCATCCTCGCGCACGACACGCAAAGCATAGATGGCACAGTGCCAAACCCCACGTCAGGAATCCCGTTGATTCAAGAGTTCCTACGATTCAAAGCGACACGCAGAGCCAAGGTCCTCCCAGAGATCTGGCATGTTGATTGCGAGTCGGAGCTGCCCCTGCCGTGGAGAGTCACCCATCGTCAACAAGATTCCGTTCCAGCCAAGCCATCCTTCCTGCCTTATGCTCGCTCCCTTTATCGATCCTCGCAAGTTACCTTCCGTCATATCGTGCTTCCAGCATACCACCGCTCGACAGCTAGGCTCATGGTGTCGCCTGATTGGCCTGTCCGTGTGGCACTGTGGTGGATCCGCCGGGGAGCTCACTTTGTTCCGGTGACTCGGACTGGCCAGGCGTATTTGCATTTCCTACCGCTCTTGTTTGGCGATGCGGTAGATATTGATTGGATAGAAGAGGGCAAGAATATGCGCAGGGAAATCCCTGTATGGAAAGCAGACAAGCTGAGGTGGATTCACGAAGGGGAAGGACACTCCATTTTCCGGACTTAGAAATACCTTTATTATCATTGAATTGAAGCATGCTTACCATAAACCCTCATGTCAGTAAATGATATGCATAAAGCCAATGAGCAATGAATTGTGAGTTTAGTATATAAACAAAAGAAAAGCAAAATGACAAAGGAAAAGAGAAAAAAGAAAAGAAAAGAAAACCAAAGCTCTGTATACCTGATTCCGTCCATGCTCGCATAATCCAAAAGTACCCATTCGTGATGACATATGCTATTCAATCATCGAGTCATTCCTCCAGCCATTTATTCAAGATTCGTCCTTAAATTTGCTTACCCTCACCGTAACCGTTTCTCAATTGAGTGAGCACGCTCTTTCTCACAGTAAGGCGGCGGAGGGCAGTTCGCCTCGCCCGCCACCAACCGCTCCACGGCCTTGGTGTAGTCCGCCAATGCCTCCGTCTCTTGCCTTTTCCTCGTCGGAGTATCAACCACCTCGTTCTCCAGCTCAGACCTCCTGTCTGCCCCTGCACAATCACAGCTCGTGATACCCCGGGAAACCTTCCGCCCCCGAACACACCAAACCAGCCCCATGACCGTCGTCCCCAACCACAGCGCCATGTTCACGAGATCGATCCAGACCGCCACCCTCATCCTGAGAAGAGAGGTCGTCCTCTCCCTGTACAGTGGCTCCACGTCCTCAGAGATGTATATCGTCCCGAAGACCCCCGTCTGCGCGAGCCAGAGAACAAACAGCACAAAGTCCCAGGCGGACCAGGCCGCGATCACCCGCTTCAACCCCAGTGTGCAATGGAGGATGGCCGTCACAGCGGAGAGACAGGCGACGACCTGAGCGAAGATCCATTCCGAGGGGGCGTGGGATCCAGTTTCAGTGGCATGGGCCAGGTCAACTGCGTAAAGGGCGGCGACGAGTGTCGCGAAGATGAGTTGGAGGGTGCGGATGGTAGCGCGCGTTGCTGGTCTGTACCTGGTGCTGACTTGAGGCGGCTCAATAGTGGTCTCGCGGTTTGCCATGTTGTTTTCTCTGATCATTGTTGGCTGAATGCGGTTCTTGTTGCCGGATTGAAGACGAAGATACAGTCGGTTGAGGACGTCTCGGACGCATCCACGGAAATGCAAGGGTGGATTCGGTGCATAGGAAAGGCACACTAACTTATATAGTCATTCTGGCTTGTACTTGTGAATGAACTTCTGTTCTCCACCAGCAAAGCCCAGGACAAAGCAGCCTACAGATAGGTTTAGAGTTTCGGCAATTAATCATGTTGTTTTCCCCATGCGGGAATTCTCTCGTACTCGCGGACTAAGGGCCCCAGGGGCCCCACTTTACTTGCTCGTTGCCGATTTAACTTCCCCACTGCATGCTTCTGCTGTAACCATGATCGCATCGGTCTTTCTAGTGGTCAGGCAACACTTGTAGCAGATTTTTCTTCTGTAGGGGTTTTACATATCCCATCCAAGAGAAGTAGGTAGAATGGAATCTGTGAGATCAGACTCTGTGCTATTTTTACAGTTTTTGCGTCATCCTCGATTTTGCGCAGCAGAAGAGATGCAGTGGAAATTTCGAGCCTGGTGGACGGAACCCTAGTGATTTTGTTTGTTGGTTGGTGGCAATGACGCCTAGAACGACTATACTCCATGATGTACAAGGTCAGGCTTCGCTTCCATATAGAGAGAGGGCATCGAACTCCAGATAAAATGTATCCTTGAGATCATCATTTGCGCTTGGTATTGGCGACAGTCTACGATTCAGCAACAATAAAACGGGTTGGGACATTTTTGAGTTATATCTGTGCCTCTATACCTACCAGCTAGGCTACTCCGAGTAAACATATTGTATGCCCCTTGACTGAATTTGCAATCCCGAGTTGTACTTATTGTAGAGTTGTTATCTGATTGGTCACTAAAGCTTGTACGGGGCATTGAAAGTAACTTAGCCGCCGGGGGAGAAGTATTCACCAAGAAGACAACAGTCCGGTTGTGGAGCATCAAAGGCAACGTAGTGATCGAACAAATGAGATTAGACGAGGACTGAGAATTTGGAAGATCTTGTTATGAACGGTGACTGGTGCCTTGACAGCACCATGGGCGCAAAGCTTTTCAGGGCTTTAAATAGCGTCGGTCCCTTTCGGCGGCATCCCGAGATATTGCCTAATAAGGAGATAAGGCCGTATTCGTACCTCAACGATTCCCTGACGATTGACAGTCGACTCCGTCAGAAAAAGGCTATATAGGTTTCCAGTCCCTTTCTGTAGGATAGAAGTACATCCCTTTTCCCTTGGCATGTGTCCTCTATTCTGCTCATACCGATTCCACGCAACGTCCACGCCGCCGCACGAACAATGTCGCCCGCGCCTCTCGCGCCCCGAGGGGAAGCCTCCTTCGACCTCTACGCCTACAACCCGTCCGCCGCAGCGGGCTGGGCCTTTGTCGTGATCTTTGCGCTGGGCGCCGCGGTGCACCTCTTCCAGATCTTCCGGCTCCGCGCGTGGTTCTTCATCCCGTTCCTGCTGGGGTGTATTGGTTCGTTGAGCCCCTTCAACACAGTCAGCTCTGGCAGTGCGAAGCTAATCTCTACCCAAACCTCCAGGCGAAGCATTCGGTTACTACGGCCGCGCCTGGTCGCACAACAACATCCGCAACGGCAGCCCCTACCTGCTGCAGCTGATGCTGATCCTGGGGTCGGCGCCCCTGCTCTCCGCCAGCGTGTACATGACCCTGGGGCGGGTGGTGCGGGCGCTCAACGCGCAGTCGGCGACGGTCATCCGGTCGACGTGGATGACCAAGATCTACGTGCTGATTGACATCGGCAGCTTCGTGTGCCAGATGATGGGGTCGGCGATGCAGGCCAGCGGTGACGCGGACGGGGTACGCACCGGCCAGCGCGTGGTGATCGGGGGCTTGGGCGTGCAGCTCGTCGCCCTGGGCTGGTTCATGATCGAGGCTGGGTCGGTGCATCGCCGGCTCAGCACGCGGCCGCCGTCGGGCGCGGCGCGCGATCCCGCGGTGCCGTGGCCCCGGACGATGTGGACGCTGCATGCTGTCACGGCGCTGATCACGGTACGCAGTATCTATCGGCTCGTGGAATTCTTGGCGGGGACGGATAGTGTGTTGAGTAAGAAGGAGGCGTTTTTGTATGTCTTCGATGCGTCATTGTTGGCTATTGCCGTGTTTGCGTTTGCGGCGGTGCATCCCGGCAGCATGTTGCGCGTGGTCAGAAGGATGGGGCACGATGGGTTGTTTGATGGGGTGGTTATGCTGGATTGATTGCTGTTTCTGGGGGCTTGGGCGCGAGATTCGTTTCGTCTAGACTGGCGGGCTCTGGTCTAATATGCTTTACTTGTATGTCTATATTTGTTTTTTCTTTTTTCCCACTTGTGATGAAGGTATGTGGTTTGCCCGTATAGATAGAACCCTGTCTTCAGGAATCGACATTGCGATTTGAGTATTTGCTTTCGATATTGGCGGTGTAAAAAGGAGACTGAGGATTGCAAAGGGCATACAGGGACCTATATCGTCTACATTATTATATTTATATCAAACGTGTTCCAAGAACTATGCCATATATCTACCGGGGATCCGCAACACACCCTCACTTCAGTGAGTGAAACACCGGATAACACCACTAATCCTTCCAGCCCACCCTCCTCGCCACCAACTTGACCGCATACACGAGCCCCAACAACACCGGCACCTCGACGAGCGGCCCCACCGTCGCCGCCAGCGCCTGATTACTATCCGCCCCAAAGGTCGCAACCGCCACCGCGATCGCCAGCTCAAAGTTGTTGCTCGCAGCTGTAAAGCTCTGCGTCGCCGCCAGCCGGTACCCGAACCCCATCCGGTAGGCCACGAGCAGCGTCAAGAAGAAGATCACGGCGAAGTAGACGATCAGCGGCGCCGCGACCCGCACCACGGACACGATCTGATGCACCACGTGCCGGCCTTGCGAGGCAAAGAGCACGAGAATCGTAAACAGGAGTCCGATGAGGGACCACGGGCTGGCCCACTTCAGAAAGACCTCGTCGTACCACCGCGGGCTGGTGGCCCAGCGCAGCGCGAACCGCGTGAGCACAGCGGCTCCTAGCGGAATCCCCAGGAACACAGCGACGGATTGCGCGGCGGTGGCGTATTGGAAGGCGATATGGTCGCCGCTGATGATCCGGATGAAGAAAACACCCAGCGGCGCGAAGAGAACCATTTGCAGGAGGGAGTTGACGGCTACCAGGATTGCGCAGTACTCGCTGTCGCCGCCGGCGAGGCCTGTCCAGATGAGGACCTGGGGGTTGTTAGGGTTTCGCACGGTGCAAATTGGGGAATATATGTTTATGTTGGATCTTTCCTGGAGGGGGGGGGGGGGGGGGGTTACCATGGCGATACATCGGGCCAGCCCAACTAGAATAAGTCCCTGGCGGAGTTCGGGTTCGTCGGGGAGAAAGGCCCAGGATAGTGCCAACTACATCACAACCCTTGTTAGCGATGCGATGCCGAAACTGGGGATTTGGAAAGTGAAGAGCTACAGTACCATGAAGAACGGAGCAATGATCCAGTTGACGAAGATACTGAACCCGATCTGGATCCAGATCTCGCGAGTCTTGAAGACCCGGTGCAAGCTCTCGAAGCGCACCTTGCAGAGAATCGGGTACATCATCACCAGGAGGCCCACAGCTAGCGAGTTGGGATTAGGATCATCGTTTGACGCGAGAGAATTTGACGCTTCATGACACAGAGTGCTTACCGATCGGGACCGAGACACCCACAAATTGTCCTTTCTGCAGTGCAGGTCCAGTGCTGGGGACGAAGTTCCCTAGGATGATGCCGATGGCCATGGCCAGGAAGATCCACACCGCGAGAAAACGGTCCAGCAGGCCGAGGCTCTTGAACGCGGACGTTTTCACCTGGTGTGCACTCACTGTGCTTGCATCTGCTTGCTTCTCCAGGTCCCTGGGCTGGAAAGATTTTGAGCCTTCGTCAGCGTGCACTGCAAATTGGTGTTCGGCCATCGTCGTGGTAGCGGGGACAGCCCCAGTGTCGGGAGCCGGTATGAGCAAGAATGCGGGTTGTGAGGCTGTCTATGCGTCAAAGGTGTGTGTCAGACTGCTATCGGCAATATATAGTGGTTGTAGAAGGCAATAAAGGAGAGACACAAGCGCTAGAACTAAAGTCGATGTGTACACCTTCCTTGATACTCGGCAATGTCTACTCCTGCACGATCATGTTGGGTGAATGTCACTGCCCCACGCTGATTGGCTGAGCGAACGTCTGCACTGTGAGGATTCTGGTTTGCCCCACCGAACCCGTTGGAAGATTGAACCCGCACCTGAAGCCCTGAGCCAGGATCTCTGTGCAGCTGTCAACCTTGTCTCTAGCTAATGACACTCCACCAGTGACATACTGCATCGCGATGCAGCTACCTTACTAGGTAGAGCTACCGTAGGCCCTACCTGGCATGAATGTGCATGCCTTAAGGTATCGACATATTTTGCTTCTCCGCTATCGCCCATCGTCACAGCTGCTGAGACCCCAGCTTGCCTGACTTTTCCTCGGTTACTAACATTTTCTACGATCGCATACTCTTCGACTAAACAGCAATATAGCAAGGATGAGCGCCCCCGTTCTCCCCTGGCACGCAATCTACCCCGCACCGCGCAGCACAGCCGTCGGCATCTGTCGCGAAGAAGTCTTGCAATGGTTCCGCGCAGGCAGGCAAGCCGGACGCGATTTTGTATTAGTCGATCTACGCCGAACGGATTTTGAGGTACAGGAAAGCATGAGGATGAAGACTGAGACTGACGCTGACATTTATCTTCAGGGCGGGACCATCCGAGGATCAATCAACCTTCCAGCTCAGAGTCTCTACCCGACGATCCCAACAGTCTACACCCTGCTCAACCAGAGCCCCATCAAGGAGGTTGTTTGGTATTGCGGTCTGTTCTTCCGACCCCCATGGTGCGCAGCGAAGCGTGAATTTGACTCAATAGTAAGGCTCGTCGAAAGGACGGGGCACGCGAACCGCCAGTTGGTTCGCTGACTACTTAGAGCAGCAAGGAGAAACCCGGCTGAGGAGTCTCGTTCTAGAAGGGGGAATTAAGGGCTGGGCTGCGGCCGGGGAAGAATACACAGATCTGATGGACGAATACGATGCTTCTGTCTGGGCTAAATAAATATCCAACATGTGCCAGCGATAGCCGCTGGGGCGAGAATATATGCTATTCTAAGTAGTCTATGTACATGCAGTAGAAGAACATAGTCAAGAAAGTCTATAAGTACTGTACAAATGCGCACCACGTGGGGCTAGACTCCTGATTCCGCGCGGGCCCTCTCCTCCTTCACCCGCTTCTCCTCCCGCTCACTATACCGGTCCCCAAACAACTCCAGGTGCGGCCGCATCAGGATGGTATATTTCACAAACTCCTCCATGCAATCCACCAGGCGGTCGCGATTCCCGCTCGGCAGCAGCCGTTGATCACCCGGCCGCCCCTCGTCCGGGAAATGGGTATAGGCTTTGGGGATCGAGGACTGGTTCGGGATGGTGAACATGCGCATCCACCGGCCGAGGATGCGCAGGGAGTTGACCGCGTTGAAAGATTGCGATCCGCCACATACCTGTGCGATCGCCAGCGTGCGACCCTGCGTGGGGCGCACGCTTCCGCTGCTGAGTGGGATCCAGTCGATCTGGTTTTTGAAGACGGCGGTCTAGCCACAGGTTATCTCTTAGTGACTGCTATGACCGAGACTTGATAGATGGATAAACAGGCATACTCACCAGGTTCCCATGTTGCTCAGGAGACACCCAAACATGCCCATCACTCCATTTGCTGAGCTCCCGCAGCTCCTGCACCTTGGGGTGGTTGTGTTCGGTATCATTCTTCACCGGCAGACCCTCGGGATCAAACACGCGGACATCGCACCCGAGACGAAAAAGAATCCGACTGGCTTCCAACGCCACGAGGCGGGAGTAGGATCGCCGACGGAGACTGCCGTACAGGACCAGGACTTTTAGCCGGTTGTTAGACTTTACCAACTCCTGCGCCGCCATGTCCATGGCGGTTGTCAACTCGAGCCTGTTGACCCAGTCTTCCGCGGCGTCATCCTCGAGAATGAAGGGACGGTATTTGCAGCGGATGTCGGAATTGTCCTCGGTCTCCAGAATAGCTAGCGATTGTTGCCTATCGAAGAAGGGGACCGCAGGGTTTGCCTGAACAGCTGCAGAAGAGGCCATAGTGTTGTGATTTTTGGGCGGAAAAAGCACCGCTGAATGAGTGAGTCGGCTAAATCGGTGTAACAAGGGAATCCTGCGATAGGTGATCATTGGGTACTTTCTTTCTATTGTTCCCTGGGGTCGAGGCAGAAGAATGAAGAAGAAGCGACTCTTAGGGGGCCCGATCAAGATGATTCAACACTTTAGTCATGTAGTGAATTGATGCCTTCTCATAGATTTGAAACCCATCGGCAAATGCCGGGGTCGACAGCGAGTATGTCACTGGCGCAAGCTGATTGGACAACAAGCTCATACTAGCTTCGGAGAAACAGTCTTCAATGAGATTAGCCACGGACCATTGTTGATGCGCAACTTGCCAGACCAGCAAGGAATTTAGTATGCGAAGTAAGTCGTCGACACGCCTTTCATTTCAAACCACTCCAGGCGTACTGCGTAAATTCAGTTCTTTGGATTGCCCGAGGGTCCTTTACTCGTTTGTGATTGCTGTCTTTCTTAGCTCCCGCTAGTGAAACAAATGTTGTGAAGCGAAATTCATATACTCGATAAATATATTTCAATCGGGCTACCCGACACCAGGAAGACCCACCTGCAGTTAAACCAAAGAAATGACAGCCCCAGTCAGTATCTCCATGCGAACCAGGGTGTTATCTATCTATATATTACAATAGAACTGACTGAATGCAGGCAGCTCAATTGTCATCCTCGCAGCGCATTCGTGACAATCAACGGCGGTCGCGCGCACGCCGCAAAGAATACCTCCAGGATCTTGAGCAACGTCTGCGCAGGTTTGAGCTCCTCGGAGTCCAAGCCACACAAGAAGTGCAAGCTGCGGGGCGTAAGCTGGCCATAGAAAACGCTCATCTCCGATCGCTACTGAGACTCCACGGGGTTTCAGACCAGCAGGTCCAGGCGTATTTGACCGACCAGTCGACTCATCTTAATCCTCCAACATGTCGCCCAGAAGCGTTTAGCGAAGCGCGATCGTCGGCGAGAAAATGCTTGCCTTCAACTTTAGGTAGTGGCGGGGAATCACCACGAAGTGTATCAAGCCTGAATAACACAAGCTCGTCGGGGAAAATCACGAGCACTTTAGCACCGTCGAGCCCAGCAGCCCACCAGCAGAGGGCCTTGTCCGATGATCAACCTTTGGACAGAGAGCTGCCTGCTACTATTGATGATTCCCGTTACGATAGCTCTGAGTGGTCTCCGACGAGTAGGTATCAGAGCGTAGGACAGTCTACTCCATGCGAAACCGCTGCCGGGATCATCAAGTCTATGCGCAGCTACTACGATGCGCAGGACATACGGTCGGAACTCGGGTGCCAGTCGGACACCAACTGCATGGTGCGGAACATGGATATATTTCGACTACTAGATGAAGTATGAAATCATATCGACAGAATCTCAACTTGACGCTGGATAATCTTATTCTTGCGTCATACACGTCGTGGAACCGTTCTGTTCAGCATTTTTTCCGCAGTTACCTCCCCCGAAAAAGAATATGAGCCAGCTGAGCAGCCCTTGGCCTTGATGGCGTAGATCTGGAATGAGCCTGGACACATAGTCAGTATTGTATCGATCATAGCAAGGATTGAAGGAAGGGCAGACTGACCAACCCACTCATTGAAATTCAAGTCGGTTATGGCACTGGCGGTCTCGGTCCCGCATCCACCGGCGCAACATGAGCCCTGGGGCAAATTCGAAGACTCCTGATAGACATTGAGATCCGACTTTGTGTCCACAATCAATACACCTCCTCCAAAATTAGTACATGAGGCTTTCCGTATCGATGGGATACCTACCTTCAAAGCCGGCCTGCCCAAGGTATTCCTCGTACTTCTCAACCAGACTCGTACCAGCCACACAGCCCACGTACAGCGCCATGTCTTTGGTGATGTGATCCGAGACAGGCTTTCTAGCCAAGATGTCGCTGACTGCCACTCTGCCCCCGGGCTTCAGGAGTCGAGCGATCTCCCTGAACACAGCGGGGTTTGTCGACCGCCGGGACCAGGTTGATCACGCAGTTGCTGATGATGCAGTCCACGCTGGCATCGGGCAGCGAAATGAAGATGATCTTTGCGTCGATGATCCTGGCATTGGACAGTCCTGCCTTTTGGATGTTTTTTTCGGCGAGCTCGATCATACTCTTTGCTCGAATTCCATTAGCTTTGTCTTTGTGGGAAGGAGGCGCTCGGGGGTATACTCACTTTTGTCATGTCCACCCCGATGGCCTGCCCCCTGGGGCCAACCTTCCGAGCGGCCAGGAGGACATCAATGCCGCTACCGCTGCCAAGGTCCAGGACTGTCTCACCCTATTATAGTGTTTGTCAAAAATCTAGCTTTTTGCTGTTGAGGCATCAGAGCCAGGAAGGGAGGTCATGCCTCTTTTACAGTAGCGAACCCCACGGGATTTCCGCAGCTGAGGCCTAAATTAGCTTTCTTCGGCAGGATACTGAGGTCTTCCGCGCTGTAGCCGAATGCCCTGGCGATGTCTTCTTCTTTGCCGCGCTGGCCGGCAGTACTCGTGTTGGCAATGTCACCACTTTTAATGGAGTGGAAGTGGATTGATTTCCCCCCGTCCCCGCAAGCTAAGGAGCTTTATTCACCAAGATTAAGCAAGCCACGCCACTTGCTATCTGACCGATAATTAAAATATATAGCTATTCCACTCTTTCTCCTTTCATCGTACCCAGAAGATCGTCATCTGTCTGATGCTTCACAATAAACGAACGTGGAGTGACTTGATCGACACTACCAACCACCGACCATGCCACGCATCAAACGAAGGACCAAGGTATGAAAGTCCCATGTTCTTGTCATGGCTATTTCGTATTAGTAAGGTAGGGTCTAACCGGTCAGGCAGGACGAAGATTTGACCCGCGTCCGCAACAACCAGCGTCGCTGCCGACAGCGTAAACGCGACTATGTGACGGATTTCAAGCGAAGGCTGGCATCTTTGGAGGATGTCACGTCGCGGGAGATCCGGAGACTGCAGTCTCTGACGATTAAGCTGCTCCAGGAGAGCGAACGGCTCCAGGCCTTCCTCGATGATTCTTTGGACGTTGACGACATGGTACCCAAACTCCGGGGGTAAATGGAGGACGACACCCAGAGCAGCTTGAAGCTGGTATTTAATGATCGGGTTTCTTCTCTGGACTTATCCAGTCCTGGTATGAAGAACGACACTCTGAACGCGCGCACCGCCTCCGACACACACGCCCACACATTACCTCCTTGCCCACCATCTCCGTCAGAGATCATATCTAATGCGTGTGGGAAGTGCGTAAGACCAACCGAGACCACGAGCCCGGATGATACAGCCCCAGTTCGCTTCTCCTATCTATCATCCTCTGCGTTCACCGAGCAAGTCGATGGTATCTCGCTGTTAGATACAGGCTATCTCCCATTACCCCCAGAAGTCGCCCCGGCTCCTGGATCTAGGCTCCTCCCTGAGCAGCGCATCCCCGGAATGGCATTGCAAACAGTGTCCCCAAAGGACAATGAGAAAAACACGACCGTGTGCACAGTGGCCCTCGAGCTGGTCATGAGTTGCAACACGAAATATCTCAGTATCTCCGAGCTGGATCTGCGTCTGCGGGCCGAATATCGAAGCGCGCGGTTCCAATGGGAGGGCTGCCGAGTTAATAATCAGGTCTTGTTTGCTGTTCTTGCGGAGGTAATTGGGTGACCCGTGGATAACCCCTGGGTGAGGAAGTTCTTGGTCAGGAGCGTACGTTGATCGGAATGCTCTGCTCGCGCAGCTTGATAGCTATAAGAAGCTCATAGTACCGATTCTCCATCTCGCGGCGCTGAACCCGGAGATCGAGAGCACGGCGCTGGCAAGTGACTCGAAAACATATGATTGCTAGTTCCTGTCAGAAGAGTGCAGACAATCATGTAATGGTAATCAAGGCACGTTCTTTGATCGTGTCTGGTTCAACCGTGCGACATTATGGAAGTCACGAGATGATGGTATAAACCTTGGTCTGTGAATTTTGATCGACCGGCCTGCACGGAACAACGGTCGTAAGTGTTGGATTATTTCTTTATAAACCCCGAACTTGCTAGTCCATGTGAAAATGCCCATCTATTTGGATTGTAAGAGATCCTCGCTGTGTATTCGACAGGTTCTGCCGCCCATCTTACTTTACTTCCTCCTTCCCCTCCACGAAACGCGAGTTGTGTCGAGTGGCACGCGTTACCAGTATTAGTTCCGAAGCTTAGACGACCTATCCAAGGCCTTAAACTCGATAACGGTGGAGATGCTGCTCTCATTGTGGATACTAAGTGCATCGCACAAATAGATTATCCTCTGGATATCCACCTGATTGGTCACGAGGAAGGCACATGCTGGTATGGTATATGACCGAGTGCTCAGGATCCAGGCCAGGAGAGTGCTAGCCAAGTATGGCTCACTAGGCTCGGTGATTACTGCTCGACAATCCTTTGACTCCATATGTGAATTTCGCCAAAAGATCGAGATGAGGGGCCGAGATCGGCCAAGACATCTAGCCACGCAGCGGGACAAGTTAAGACTATAATATGTTGAGAATAGTGGGACGATTGACGAGGACTAACAATGCCTGTGTTTGACTATTTCTATCTAAGGATATCAAGGACGACATGATAGAATATTTTTCGGACCCAAATGTCGTGCTTCCCAATAGTCTGACCGGCGACCACTCTGGCGTGGTCGGAGAGCACTTGGACGGCATCGTGCTCGTCCAGTCTGCCAAAGATCCATCTGACAGTTTACGAGCAATCGCCACAGTGCTTCCAGACCGCAGTACCCAGCCGCAGCACGACTGAGGACCGGTGTGCAGTAAATGACTTCGTTCGCAATGTACACCGGGCCGGCTACAAACACCCTAAGTGATGTTCGAGTACCGGCCGACCGGCCAGCTCAACTCTGCAGACCCTGCATATTCGCCCACATCTGCTCAAAGCTTGCTGTCACGCGCCGGAAACCGCCGATGGGGAGAGCTCTTCCAGCGAATCACAACTGAGATCGCTCACCTTGGCGGAGCCAGAGACACAGATGCCATTATCCATGGGGTGATTCCGTAGCCTCGGGTTGACAAACCACAAGCTGAGGCAGTGCATGCATCGGCCGCGGGGACTTGAGGTCGTGTTCCCGACCATGCCATGGTCGGAAGTTCTTGGAAGCAAAGGCGGGTTTTCGCCAATTCCTCACGTCGGCTGGCAAGATGAACGATTTTTGCAAGTCGAAGACTTGTAAATGAGCACAAAATCAAGCCAAGAATCGACCGTGGTGCATTACCTCATGACTTGATCAGCAAGGGAGAATGTTGCGTGCGATCGACATGCATTACCCGGCGGTCGCTAGTGGCATGCTTCAGACGAGCAGCTTCCCCCGCATGAGGCCGATCAATGCTCGATCGAGCGATCGTGAGGAGAAACTTTGTTCGCGGTGCCTGCAGTCGCCCCTGGAGCCACGATGTCTCAGTCGGGACGAACGCGGGGGAAGAGGGGGATGGATTAGGGCTAGCGCGCGTAGTGTGCCAAATCCTTTGGCATCCGATGTCGCTTTGGGAGGTCAATCTTTTGACGGTCGCGAAACTGACCCTCGTAGACTATCGGAATTGTCCGCTTGGCAAAAGTCCAGAATAGACCAACCAGAGGCATCGGCTCCGGTCGCAGCGGCCGTCGAATTCCCCATTGCGGGCAACAGGACGAGCGGGTCAAACCATGGATTCGACCGCGAGAGTCTCGCCCAGGTCGACGACGTCAGAATATCACCATCAAAGTTCCTTGCTCTCCTCCTCCACGTTGAGGAGGCGAAAAAAAAAAAAGGTTTCTTGGGGGAAAGGCCCCTAATCTTCCCTCAACACCAGTGCATTTCATTTCCTCCCATCTCTTCGAAATCCTTCTTCAATCCCTGCAGAACTCCGTTTTTTTGGGCCGGCTTCGTGTTCAGGAACATGGAGTGGTCGCTTGAGCGGCGTGGTATAGACAAGAGAGACCCATAACCCTATTTTCGTCAGAGCTGTCTTCACCACCACCATCAATCACTCTAGCCGGGCACCTGCATTCCACCACCATGCGCATCGCCCTTCCCACGACCTGAACCACCCAGACACACATACAATGAAATGCAATGTCCGCCTTCGAGCGCGCCACCCACAATGAAGGCAGCTTCAGCGCCGTGACGCCGGGCGACACGGTCCAGAAATACGTGATCAGCGCCTTCTCGGCGATCACCTGGTACAACGCGATCGAGCTGGTGATCCTATGCCTGACCACCTTCCATTCCTACCGGGGCTGCTACTTCTGGAGTCTATTCATCACCAGCTTCAGCCTGATCCCGCACGTGCTGGGCTACACTTTGTTTCTCTTCGCGCCAGACGTCTCGCGCTACATCTCGGTGACCCTGATCGTGCTCACCTGGTACTGCATGGTGACGGGCCACTCGCTAGTCCTCTGGTCGCGCCTGCACCTGGTGCTACACCGCCCGAAGCTCCTGAAATGGATATTGGGGGCCATCATCGTCGACGCGATCCTCTTCCACATCCCGACCACCGTGACACTCTACGGGGCGCTGGGCGGCTCGCCGCGCTGGAAGTCCGGCTACGATACCATGGAGCGCATCCAGCTGGTCGCCTTCTGCGTGCAGGAGGCCCTCCTCTCAGGAATCTACGTCTACGAGACGATCAAGATGCTGCGGCTGCGGCCGGAGCGGCCGCGGCGGCTCATCCTGGCGCAGTTGCTGGTCATCAATGTCGTGATTCTCGTGCTGGATCTCGCGGTTGTCGCGATCGAGTATGCCGGGTATTATGCCCTGCAGGTCATGTTTAAGCCCGTCGCATATAGTATCAAGCTGAAGCTAGAGTATGCGATTCTGGGGCGGTTGGTGCAGATCGCTAAGGGCCCGAGTTTGAATGATGCCGATCCGTTGTCGAATACCAGTGCCACCAGTGCGTTTGTCACCACGCCGCAGGGCTGGGATGAGTGTGTCGCTGGCGCGGAGACCGGGACCACGGGGACGATGACGACTGTTGTGAGGCAGGTCGAGTCCGAGGGGTCTGGGTTGCAGGGGCGCAGTCCGGTTAGGTCAAGGAATAGTTTGGGCTCAGCTTGCTAGGTCTCTTTTGCGGTATAGAGGGGGAGTTGGATTTATTTTCTGTGTATATTATTTACGACATATCTGGTGGACTTCTAGATTATTGGGTGGTTACGGGACAGTATTATTTTCCTGAAAACTGGTGCGCAGGACAGTTTGATAGAGGTCATTACCTAGCGAAGCTAGACTTTTCTTTTTGTTTTTATTTCTTTTCTTTGCTTGTTTTGTCCTTTGATGTGTTTGTCAAGTCAGATCACCCACTAGACACCACATCCCCACTCCAAGGTGAAGCTACCCCCCACCCCGCAATGCGATCCACCAGGTTCAAAAACGCCAGCGGCGTCTCCCGCACATTCAACCGCGGCCCCTTCTGCTTCGCCCACGCGCACTCCTCAAGCAGAAACACCCCGTCATCCCCGCGATCGAAGTCGTACATGCGCACGCTCGACCCCGTGGCGATCCCGAAGTGCAGATTTGCCAGGAGGCGCGTTCGCGCGCGCTGCCGCTGGTCGAGATCCGGGAGGGGATCGGTGTACCGCTCGACCAGTTCCGAGATCTCGTGCAGCGCGTGCTCCTTCACATCGCGCCACTCGATCATCAGGGCTTCGTCGTGCTCCTCGTCCGGGCCGAACCCCGGGAGGCAGTAGAGGAGCAGGAATGGGAGTGGGAAGTCGCCCGGCAAGGTGCGGGTGAGGACCAGGGTCAGCATCTGCGTGGGCAATGGGGTCCGGCAGGCGTGTTTGGTCTCGATCAGGGTGTAGTCTGGGACGAGGGCGGGATCGGTGATTTCCCAGGGTGGAGGCGGAGGCGGGGAGGGGTCGTGCAGCGTGGGGGAGGCGGCGCTGTAGGGGTCTGAGGTTTCCTCTTGGTTGGATGACGAAGAGGGTGTTGGGGATGGGCCGTTGGGGTCCGTCTCTGTGCCATCCGGGGAATAGATGGCGGTTCCCAGCTCGTCCTCTACGATTGGAGGGGCACAGCTTGTGGTGGAGGCTGTGGGTTTCTCGCTATCGGAGGGCCCGGGTGCTGGGCCGTGTGGTGGCACGGTATGTTGGGGGTGCGCAGGGAGTGCAGTTTGGGTGCTGGCATCGTTGCGCGATGTGCCTTGCTCGTGGCTTGCTGTCGAACGCAGCGCGGAGACATTCTGACGTGGGGTCTGCGTGGGCGGTCCCAGGTCCCAGGATGGGTCTATGGGTGTATATGACAGCAGTGGACGTCGGGAGTTGTTAGGGTTGGCAGCAGGGCGGGTCGGGGTCCGTTTAATAGGCCCAACTCGTGCTCCTGCCCTTGCAGCCTCCAGGTACTGGCGTACAAACAAGGGCGGCACATACGGGAGTGAGTTGCGAGGAGCCGCGAAAGGGATGTCCGATCCACTGCTGCTGGCGGTCTTGACAGAGTCTCTGCGCTGCGTGATCGCTGCTGCTGGGCGGTTCATGCTCAACCCCCCAGCCTTGGGCCAGTTCAGTAAGCCACTGCGTGCTCCGAAGGGATATAAAGATGGTGGTGGTGTTGGGATCGGGAAAGGAAGGATGGTCAGCGGAGGCTGGAACGGGATGTCCGAACCTGAGCTCATACCGTCTTTATCCGTGTCATCATCATCCAACTGGGACAGATTAGGGCTGTCTGGAGGTTCGGTCAGCGGACTATTGACGGGGCTCACAGCCAGACGCCAGTCATCGAAACGTACCGCCAAGATCCTTCGCCACATCTCCGCAGTCTCCTCCATCTTGCACACCCTCCGGGTCCGGCTTGTGATAGCCACGGCGTCTTTGATCACCGGGGTGCTCCAGAACGCGGTTGCAGATATTGGCGGAGGCGGGATCCTGAAAGTCGGCATTGGATTGCCTGACTCATTGATAGAGGGTGTCGACATATTGCTGTCGTGGGTGGTCAGATCGTGGTTGAACAAGCCAGTTGTTGTACCCTGATCTAATGAACTTCAGTGCCAGGTTGAAGTTGCATCGAGAGGAGACATGGGAAAGGATGCATGGGACTATTTATAATGACGATTAGGTTGTAAGGGACAATGGTTGAAAGAGATAATAGTGAACAAAAGGAAGCTCTCCGGCAACTCCAGGTTTTTCCTGGTACAGAATCCAGTGCATTTACTGTAGGGAGTTAGCGGTATGTACATTGTGTGAATGAAAGTCTCCTCAGAACAGATGTAATTCCCTGACCCTGCGTAATGGCAAGTTATTGAAGGACGCCAAAAACTGCTTCTCAGGCGTGTATAGAGCACTTGCTGCCGCACATAAACTCTGTGGTTCCATTTGATTGCCGGTGAATTCCTGGAATATTCTTGTCTGAAAGAAGAAAAACGGCCTACTTTGCATTTTCAAGATTCCGTCAGAGTCTTTGTATGTCCACACTTCTGGATCTTACCGACCAGCGCAGTGCCAACAGTGCTTGTGGCTAGCTTCATAACTGGGAATCCACAGACTTTCGTGTGATCGTTATTGCCAGTGATTGCGATTCAGGAGGAGACTTTACTCTGATTTTAATCAGTTAGACTTCTCAAAGCGAGCGCGTTAAACAAGGATGCAACTGGGCAGACAGGTATACAACGAGAAGAGCAGTTTACCAAACCTCAAGAGGAGCCTACCATGAGTAAACAGAGATCGCGAAGCCCATGCTGCTAGTAGTAACACGTCATGCAGTAAGACCACTGGGGAAAACTCAAATACTCTCCAACTGCGACATACCAGAGTAGTAATGTGAGCCGAAAGACGCTGTGCGGACTGTCAATTAAGGGATCCTTGTTCGTGAGATGATCTCCACTGCAGGAAGAAGCGACCAACGGCCAGCCACAGTACTGAGGCAGTGAGAAACAAGCCAGCTGCACCCTTCCATTACCCACTGACCAAACTCGATGAGCCCAACACATCCACGGATTGTGGGCCAAAGGCAATGCGGGATCACACCAGCCTCTGGAGCTGGAGGCTGGGCTGAGATAAGCTGACGTGTAGATCGGCCGAGCAGTTCGCAGCAGTTGCTGCGTGCGTATAATGCAAGATGTGATTATTAATCATAGCAGATTGTGTTTGCCATATGATAGGAATTGAAGAGGGTCACCATGTAAGCATAACCCTGTCCGTGCCAGTTGATGAAAATGCATAGATAATTCCCGATGCATTGATTGGTGTTCCTCCACACTGCCTGCTCGGCTCTCTTATTCACCTCTCTGTACTATGTAACCAGCTCCGCCAATGCAAATTTGGTCAGTGAAGTTGTGGACTCTAGGGTGATTGTATTGGTTGCATAATAGAGTCAATGGAGCTGCTCATCTTGATCGATCTTTGTGGGGATTTCCCGCAAGCCAATCTTCCCTGTCAGTCAATGGGTGAGAATAAGGTCTGCAGCTATGACAAGGATAGACCCGCTTAGAGAACTAGGGTCGAGGTGGGGGGAATGGGGGCGAGGGCTTGCAAGCAAACGAGGCGCGACAGCAGCCGGGAACCAGGGTCTTGTCTCGATGCTGAGAAGCGTAGTTGCAGCAAAGGCTAATGCAACCAACCACACTACTTTAAACTTGAATAACATGTCTCTTCCCAGTGTTGGCTGATTGCTCGAAACACGTACTCCATTCGACTGAACCCGCGTGTACTCCTGTCTGTTCTTGGGCGGCTACAGCTCTATTTTGCGCCAACATATCAATACGTGTAGATGTATTAAGAAGTGCCTAGCACTACGAGAGGACGAATCTGCTGTTTACATCAACAGATAAGAACCCTCCCTCCTAGGCAGCCCTGCTCTTCATTAAACGTGAGGAAATCAGGGGCGGAGGCTAAGAATAGCCAGCCAGTGACAGCGCCCAAAACCCTGACGATCGGGAGTCGGCGGCCGATCGGATCGGCGGCTCAGCCTCAACCTCTGGTTGAAAAAGCTCTCCCAGCCACCCAACACAACAATCATCCTGTCAGACCCTCTGACTGGCGGGGATTGTTTCACTTCGTTGCGCACCTTTCTGTGATGGTTACGGTTGACTGGTTATAAAGCGCGCTGGACGCCCACATTCAGTGCCTTATCAGAACTCAACTCCCTCAAGCACTACCAAACATTCCAGATACGCTACACATTTAATCCACCTAATATCTACTTCTGCTTCCACTTCTAACAACAACAACAACAACAACAACAACAACAACAACAACAATAACAAAACCACCACAATGCAGCTCCCCACCCTCCTCACCACATTCCTTATCGCAAGCACCACCACCGCCTTCCCCACCGTTAAGAGAGAGACCCTCCAACCCCTCCAAATCACCGACCTCACCGCCCGCACCCTCTCCGACCTCGACTTCGGCCTCTTCAACATGACCCTCTCCGACCCCAACACCAACTCTCCTCCCACAATCTGCAACGTGAATTGGTGCGTTCCCTATCTTATCCCCAACCATTTCCCTCCCTCCCACCACGTACGAAACTTACTAACCTTTATATCCGAAAAAGGCACCCCACCCAACCCGTCCCCGTCGCCACGACCGTGAAATGCTACAACCCCGCCTACGAAGTCAGCTTCCCCGAGGGACTGGGCAGCCACATCGACCGCTTCACTTTGCGCGTGCAGACGACCAATTCCAGTGAGGTGGCCGAGCAAGGGGAGGTGCGGTTGGACGCTTCCACGGATGCGCACTGGGTGTGCCGGAACCGCACGACGGAGTACATCAAGATGCAGTGTGCTTATTCGGGGGTGTTGGAGGTTCCGCTGTAGCTTCGTCCGGGGAGAGGATTGTTGAGGGGGTGGTTACGGCTTACGGATAATTGATGGGGTTTATGAGTTACGAGGCACGAGAATTGTTTTTGTAAGGTTCATTAGATTGCACTAGACTCCGGTATCGCATTAAGTGACTGTTTGATATACCTGCGCATGGAATAAGAAAGGGGTTGTGATCGTTGAGCTGCAGCCGAGGCTACAGGGATAGGGGTAAGCTGGGCTAGACACCCGCCGACTTCTTCTTCGGCCACTGCCACGTCCAATTGCGAATATAGTCCGGATCCAACCCGTCGTCGAACGCCTTCTGCTTCGCGAGCAGTTGCATGTTCAGCAGCTTCTCGCGCACGCCCGCCGCCGTATTCCCCAGCGACTGGGCGTGGTCGATGGCGTCGATGGCCAGACTGTAGCGGTCGGTGTTGTTGCGCACCGCCAATTCAAACGGGGTGTCGATGTTGCCCTTCTCGCGATACCCCCGGACGCGGATGTTCTGCTGCCCCGGACGTTTGTAGGTCAGCCGGTGGATGAGCCAGGGGTAGGAGTGGAAGTTGAAGATGATGGGCTTGTCGTCGGTGAAGATCGACTTCCACATGCGGTCGGACATGCCGTGCGGGTGGTGGATCTTGGAGATCAGCCGGAAGAGGTCGATCACGTTCACGAATCGCACTTTCAGGTGGGGGACGTGCTCGCGGAGCAGCGCGGTGGCGGCCAGGGCCTCGTGCGTGGGCACGTCGCCGCAGCAGGCCATCACGACATCGGGCTCGTGGCCCTGGTCGTTGCTGGCCCAGTTCCAGATCCCCAGCCCCTTCGTGCAGTGCGCGATGGCCTCGTCCATGTCCAGGAACTGGATGTGGTCTTGCTTGTCGGCGACGATCACGTTCACGTAGTTGGCGCTGCGCAGGCAGTGGTCCGTCACCGACAGCAGGGTGTTGCCGTCCGGGGGCAGGTAGATACGCACCACCTCGGGACTCTTGTTGGCGACCACGTCCAGAAACCCGGGGTCCTGGTGCGTGAACCCGTTGTGGTCCTGCCGCCACACCGTCGCCGTCAGCAGGATGTTCAGCGACGCCACCTTCGCCCGCCATTCCACCTCCAGGCACTTCTCGATCCACTTGCAGTGCTGGTTGACCATCGAGTCGATGATGTGGATGAACGGCTCGTAGCTGTTCAGCAGCCCGTGTCGACCGGACAGCACGTACCCCTCCAGCCACCCCTCGCAGGTGTGCTCGCTGAGCATCTCCATCACCCGGCCCTGCATCGCCAGGTTGCCTCCGTCGTTGTCCTCCTCGAAGTAATCCGCCAGCCACACCTTCTTGCCCGCCTTGTAGATCTCCGACAGCTTGTTGGACTCGGTCTCGTCCGGCCCGAACACGCGGAAGTTGGTCAGGTTGCGGCCCACCACGTCGCGCAGGAACTTGGACATGTTGATCATGCTGCCGCGCACCGAAACGCCGGGCTCGATGTCGTTCAACGCGTACTTGCGGAAGTCCGGCAGGTCGAGCGGGCGCCGCAGCAGGCCGCCGTTGCCGACGGGGTTGGCGCTCATGCGGGCGTTGCCCGTGGGCGCGAGCGCCTTCAGCTCGGGAATCAGCTTGCCATCCTTGTCGAAGACCTTCTCCGGGCCGTAGCTCTTCATCCAGTCCTCGAGCACCTTGAGATGGGCGGGGTTGGTCAGCACGTCGGTGATGGGGATCTGGTGGGCGCGCCAGAAGCCCTCGAGGAGCTTGCCGTCGATCTCGCGAGGCGCGCTCCAGCCCTTGGGGGTGCGCAGGACGATCAGCGGCCAGCGCGGCCGGAAGGGCTTCCCGGACTCGCGCGCCTGCTGCTGGACCTTGCGGATCTCCAGCACGCAGTGCTCGAGGGTGGCGGCCATGGCCTGGTGCATGCTCTCGCGGTCGCTGCCCTCGACGAAGTAGGGGGTCCAGCCGTAGCCGTAGAAGAGGGAGGACAGCTCGTCGTGGCTGATGCGCGCCAGTAGCGTCGGGTTGTTGATCTTGTAGCCGTTCAGGTGCAGCACCGGCAGCACCGCGCCGTCGGTGATCGGGTTCAGGAACTTGGTGCTGTGCCAGCTGGTCGCCAGCGGGCCCGTCTCGGCCTCGCCGTCGCCCACCATGGTCAGCGTGATGAGGTTGGGGTTGTCGAAGACGGTGCCAAAGGCGTGCGAGATCGAGTAGCCCAGCTCCCCGCCCTCGTGCAGACTGCCGGGCGTCTCCGGGGTGGCATGACTGCCGATCCCGCCGGGGAAGGAGAACTGCTTGAAGAACTTCTGCATGCCCACCACGTCCTCGGACTTGTCTGGGTAGACCTCGGAGTAGACACCCTCCAGGTAGGACTGGGAGAGGATTCCGGGGGCACCGTGGCCTGGCCCCGAGACAAACAGGACGTTTAAGTCGTACTTCTTGATTAAGCGGTTCATGTGAATCCAGGTGAAGGATTGGCCGGCATCGGACCCCCAGTGGCCGAGGAGACGGGCCTTGAGGTGCTCCTTCTTCAACGGTTCCCGCAGTAGGACGTTCTCCCGGAGGTAGAGCATGCCCAGGCACAGGTACAAGCTGGCGCGGAAATAGGCGTCTGTCTTGCGGATCTCCTCCGCATCGAGGGGCTCGCCCTTGATGGTGGAGCGGGCGGCACCGTAGGCCGATATGCTCAGCTCGTCGGATGGCATTGTGGAATGGAGTGCGTGATTGTGAATGGGGATTCAGGTGATGGAGAAGAACCTCCTTTCTCGTGGCAACTGTGTCCCTCCCATCTTTATAAGAGGGTTGGTATGGTCTGACGGGTGAAAGCAGTGGTGAAAGCAGTGGTGCATCATCGACCGAATCTGGCCGGAAGTCCATGACGTCGTCAGGGCTGGCCACGTTCGGCGCTAGTCCCCTTTGGGATTTGGGGGTTTTCCCTTCGGCCGCATCGGTCGGGATTCTGGCAGGTTTTCTGTCCTTCGGTTACGAGATGGTTCGACTCGTTGCACCCTATCAGAGGCTGTAATCTATAGTGTTGACACGGTCGGGGAACAGATGCTGGCCGGGGGGTCCTCGTATGGGCGTGGTTGACGTGGAGCCATCTTCCTGCATTCACTGCATTCACTGCATCACCCCATGCTGTCGAGATCCCGCCTGCGGAGCTGCTGCAAGATATCCAACGTACAACCACCCCCCCTCTTCCCCCCCCAACAGCCCCAAATGAGCCCACCCTGCATCAGCCCTGATGTCTCGGAAAAGAACGGGCAAAATAGCAATTGATACACATTAACTCGAATTGCCACAGTTGTGAGCCATCGTATCCCTCTATGATCTATGTGATCAACAAATCCAGACACAATGCGACCGTAAGCTTCGGAGTGACAGGGTGATCGTCTCTATAGCCGGCCCGCTTATGGCCAGGGGTTCCAGCAGCACATGGCCCAAAACAGCTCATTTCCCCTCATCTGGTACTTTTGCCAGTTTGGAGCGCGCATCTTGCCTCTCGCTTATCTCTCTTCCATGACCCAAATGCCGTGCTGTTATTGCAGGGAAAATGGAGGGTGCATAAGTACAATGCAGAGGTCTAATGCACGCCGCAACGGTTCCCAGCACAGAGAGTCGGGCGAGCCGCGGTCCGCCATGACGACACTCCAGCAGTGCGACAGGAACGGACTATTGACCTATGATCCGTCACTCAGGCGTTAAAAAGGTGGGGTAATATCCTTATTTACTGTATTCGAAGAAAAGACCATGGAACAAGGCAGGCAGCTGGAATTGCATTGCCAGGTCCGTCGAGCCGAGCAATTCCGGGCGCATACGCATGCGGACTTTCGGGCTTTCCGCTAGTTATCTGATCGCATCTGAAAGTCCCCCTTAGGGAAGGAAGAGAACAGCAGCGCCCTCGGCTTGAATTTCCTTGGAACAAGGTTCCATCAGGGGTTTGAATTACCACGCCTCATCGCTCGGATGAGCTGGGATCCAAGTGCTCGCGCGTCACTGACTTCTAGCCAAACCTCCAGAAGCAGCCCTGAAAGCTATCAGTCACGACTGGCTTGAAAACAAAGCATGTCTTGGACAAGTCTCCGTGCAGATTGGCAGAGCATAGACTCTTGCCTGGGACGATGCAAGCATGATGTTCTGCACCCTCGGCTACGTCAGTCCTTGTCAAAGAGCAGTTGTGCTAACTGAAATTGAAGGGTGCTTGAAGTCGGGGCAGCTTCTTGTCGTCAGCAACGCTCTCAGGTACAAAAAACCGAGGAAGGGAAAGGGGGAAAGATCAAGAACATTCAATACGGGTGAGTTCCAACAGACAGCAAAAGAGAAGAAATACAAAGTCAAGAAAAAGAAAAGGAGATAGAAAGAAAAATCATAAGGACAATCACATGGATTGTGGCGAAAGCTACACTAATCGAAAGCCAGGAAAGACAGAAACAGGAAAAACCCTGGGAAAAGAGGACTTACCAGAATGCCGCCAGCTTACAGATCGCACGCACCTCTCTCGACAGCTGCTGCACGATCTTCGACACCCGCTCACGGTCATCCACCAGGCAAAGGAAGGGATCATCCCCTTGCTCCGGGTGAATGCGCAGTGGCAGCGAGGCGGGATCCTTCGTCGGGCTGTGTTGAACCACACTCCGATCCCACGTGTAAACGCCGACCCTGGAGCACTTGGCGAGGAAGAACGCCCGGCACGTCTTGCGCGCTTCGTCCCTCATCCCCATCTGGGCGACGAGTTCCTTGACCTCGTCCAGCGACGGGTCCAAGCGCTCCTCGTCGCCCCAGGCGCAGAAGACGCGGATGAAGGGGTATTCGACGAATGACTTCACCGGCTCCTTCTCCACTTCATGCTCCTCCTCGCCTTGCTCCTCTGGCTCCTCCTCCTTGTGGGTGCTGTTCCAGATGAGACGATCCAGTGTCCTCGCGCGCTCGGGGAACGCCTCACGCACCAGCTCCGAATGGTTCCCGGGGACCAGATCGATCACCACGAGCGCACAGTCCGTCAAGCGCCAAAGGGGCCTCTGGACGCACTCCGAGAGCCGGAAGTATCGCACGATGCCGGTCAACGGGTACCGCGCGTTGTAGATCTCCGCCGCCACCACGTTCGCGGGCAGCGTGTCGTCCAGCTTGTCGGGTAGGACCTCTCCGTCGCCGGCCAGCCCGAACGTGTCGCAGAGCAGCTGCGCCCACAGCTCCAGGGAATGCCCGGGCCGGGGAATCCACCACTCCTTCTGTTGGTTTTCCTGGGCCTTGAGGATTTGCGCCCGGAGAGGCTCGTCGTCCCAGTAGTTCCCGGTCTTGGACTCCGCGGTGCAGATGCAGCGGCTGGGGACCGTATGTATTTCGGTGTAGGGGTTTGCGGACAGGACAGCCTTGGTGGAAGACATTGTGGGTATCCTTCTGTGTAGAGAGGGTTCAAACCGAGGTAAGAGGGTCGGTTGCGATTGTGTGCGTTGGAATAGGGGGTGTGGGTTGAGACCGGAGACAGGGATCAGTGATTCTATTTATGTCTACTTCATGGCCAAGACACATGCTCAATACGTTGGACTTGGAAGGCACTCGAATGAGGGAATTTGTTGGAGCTCTTCCGCGGAAGAGTCGAGAAGATCAAAGCGAGGTGGTCATGCTGGTTCCAGTTTGGGTGGTCATGAAAGGCATATCGGGAATCATCCTCGATGTTGTGTTGTGGCACCGATTGTCTTGCAAGCTTTCCTTGGGTCGTGAATGCGTGTCCCTGGACTTGAAGTTGACATGATAGGGTGGGCTTCCCGGTTGAAATGATCATATCTCAATTTGCCGATGAAGTAGGTGTCTTGAGAACATGATGAGACAGAGTGGTGGTTGCTTGTCAACTAAAATCTCGCAGGTCTGTTCAGTATAAGCCGGAAGATAGATTCATCTTGCCAACGAGCTCTCGCGTGCAGATCTATGACACTACCCTGTTTCGAGGCGATTGTTGCGCAGACGAGACAATGCATCATGAAGGACAATCCCTGCTCTAGGGAAGGGAGCCACCGGAGATGGATGGCTCAAGAACAAAGTCACCATCCTTTGCTCAAAGCACTCGAGCGCTGGCCTTCTCTCCTCTCCTCTTTCATCGCGCGTCAGTTGAAGGAACCTCAATGCAGCACAGGCGGAGATTGTCACGGAGAGGCTGGCTGGCAGACATCAATCTCTTTATACGGCGATGCAGTCACATGACTTCAATTGAAGGGTCGAGGTCCATCGATATGACCACGAGTGTGTCAGCATAATACAGCATCTGCAATGGGGTTGAGTTTAGAAGACTTGTTTGCATAGTCGAGCTCGAATTGACACAGCTCGCTTGGAAGCCGACTGATGTCGCAAGAAACCCTTGCCCAAATATTGGGATCTTTCATCACGAGGTACTGTACAAAATATCAATAGCTTCAGGAAACAGTGAATCTACCCAGAAGCAGATGCGGCGTCCGGGCACAGCAGCATCCATCCTACCCACAGCAACAATAACAATCCAATCATCGTCGACAAGGCTACTACACATACATCATCAATCATACCATTACCCCTACTTCACCAAGCCTTTTTACTCTATGCGCGAAAGCCAGAATACCCCTTCCCACTGCCCTTCCCCTTCACAGCCGAGGGCTTCAGCAAGGTGACCTCATCCCCAACCGACCCATCATCCCCACGAATAAACTGCCACTTGACCTCCGTCTCGCTCTTCACCGTCAACTTGCTGAACCCGTAGTGCACGGTATCCAGCACAGCGGTGATGTTCGTCAGCCCCTGGCCCTCGCTGAACTCACTGTGGCTTTCGATGTTGCCCGCCATGCCGTTGATGATGTGGGTGATCGACTTGCCGTTGTTGGCGATGTAGGTGTTGTTGTTGATGACGCTGGCGGTGTCGATGGTCTGGTTGGCGCCGAGGGGGTACAGCCGTTCGTACCAGTGGATGTGTCTGTTGCCTGGGTTAGGTGGTCTGCATTGGACGCGAAAAAGGGCTTACAAGGGGAAAAGGCGCCAAACTCACCCCGAGAAGTAAGCATCCACGCCATACTTGAGCAACAAGCCTTCAAAGGCCTCGCGCACGTTGAGCTGGTACGACGAGTACGCCGAGCTGTACATGGGGCGATGGCTCATCACGAACACCCAGGGGGTCTTCTTGCGGTCGACCTTGGCCAGGTCCTGCCGCAGCCACTTGTACTGCGCGTAGTTCTTGGTCTCCTTGTAGCTGCCGTCCACCGCGCCGAAGGGTCCGCTGTCCGTGATGAAGGTCTCCTCCGCCGTGGGGTGCGTCTCGTTGCCCTTGATATCCTCCGCGAAGGGCCACTCCGGGCTGTTGGCGAAGTCGGTCTCGCCGTCGATCGAGACAAAGTGCGCCAGCCCGTAGTCGAACGAGTACCAGAAGTTGCCCACGCCGCCGGTTTCTTCGCCGGGCATGCGGAAGCGGTGTTGATAAGCGGTGAAGTTTCTGGTTGCATCGTTTCGTTAGCGCTGATGATAGCAGAGGAGGTGGGGAGGGGCGCTCACCGCTGAGAAGGAGGACAGCTGTAGTAGTTCAACTTATCCTCGGCGGCAGTACCGTTGGCGATGTCATCGTTGAGGTACGCCGTGAGGATGTTGCCCGGCCCATCGAATTCCGCGCACGCGGCTTCGTGGTTACCCGGCATGACCATGTAGGGGATCTTGACGGTCACGTTGCTAAGCCACTGCTGCCACAGGTCCCAGTTGGACTCGTAGATGACGCTGACATCGCCACCCTGAGGACCGCCCTGGTTGGGGATCTCACCCGCGGGGAGCGGCTTCTTGTACTCGTCCGGCAGCGGCAGGTTCCCGGGCAGCTCCGTGCTGGTGCCATTGTAGCAGACGTCCCAGGAGGACTCGCACGCCAGGGTGCCTTCATACCAGTCATCCGCGTAACTGATATCACCGCCGTGCCAGGCGAAGGCCGTCCCCTCGTTGGCCGCCTTGATCAGCTGCTTCTGCGTGCCGTGCGCATTGGTATAGCCCATGTCATTCAGCACGGCGACGCTGAAAGAGCCCTTATCACCGGCCTCGCGCGCGGTCTTGAAGCTCAGCACCTCTGACGTGGTTGTGCCATTGGCGGCCGGGATCTGGTAGTAGTAGGTGGTCCCTGGCTCGAGGTTCTCCAGGCTGACCTCGTGGAAGTACTCGCTGCACTGGGTGATGATCTTGATCTCGGAGCAGGACGGCGTGCGGGCGTACCTAATCTGATGTTAGGGGATATTACGTTTTCCGGGTGAGAGCACAGGACAAGACTTGGATGCTTACGTGTGGGTATAACCGCGGGCCACCTTGTTGAGCTGGTGAGGGCTCTTGCCCCACATCACAGAGGGGGTCTGACCCAGCCCGAAGGGGGTCTGGTAGTGAATGTGCATACCCTTGGGGATGTACGACAAGGAGATGACGTTCACATTGTTGCGAGGGTTGGCGCTGGCGGGCCGGACAGCGGGGGGCTCAATCAGCCGCGGAAAGCCCTTTCCATTGCCATTGACAGTCGGGTCCACCCAGTCTCCCACGGGAACGGCCGGTCCAGTGTATGGATAGCGTTCGTCGGCGACAGGGCGTGCTTGAGCAAGCGTAGCGGAGAGGGCCACCAGCAGGGCGGATGCAGCAGCGGTCTTCATGGTCGCGTGCCTTCAAGTATCGACGTGGAATTGATGGTTTCAATTGGCGTGCATGCTCCTGAATTCGGGAGGACATGATCGCGGTCTTTATAATTTATCGCCGGCATGTTTATCGCTCAAATTATATGCAGTAGATAAGACGCCAAAGCAGGGCACGATACCACACGTGTAGGTCCCCCGAACAGCAATTGGCCAAGCCCGTCGGTTAGAGCAGGCAATCTAATTAAGCTGCAGTAGACTGGCCATAAAGACGTTAGTGTGGTCGAAAGCTGATAATGAGAAGACGATGGTTGGCGATAAACTGGCAGTGGAGAAGAATCAATCAAGCATTGCAGGTACAGAGGAAAAGACGGAGATTCCCGACAGTGACCATGTGCCTGCATTGCCCCCCGCCTATTGGTCGACAGTGTCAGGCACGACCGGTGGCCTGAGGCCTCGGGCAAAAAACACAACGCGTGCTGATTGGACACAAAAGAGAAGCACGTGTGTGCTGCATCAAACCAATCACATCGGCTGCCAGGTGGTGTGTGTAACATCACCTTGAACCAGGGTCTGAGGCCTGAGGCCGAAACTGCCACGGAGATGAATCAATTGAAGGCGCTCCTGCAGTAAAACCCATGTGAAGATGGATCCTGAGCTGGTAGCTACAATATTCCTATCTATTTTTTTTGTAAGCATCAGACAGTTTTGTATAGCACCAGTCTGGACTACCTTCACATGCTGCTTCACTCTGCTAGCTGATAAGACACTATTTTGTTATTTAGATCGGGTAGCTTGATTTGGGTTCTTACATCTTCCGACGAGATGGGATTGCCACGACTGTCCTATGCTCAGTGTGATATTGATGAGAGCTTTGCATCGCTCGGCCAAAAGAATGTCAAGACACTGTTCTAGCCTACCGTTCGCTCCAAAGAATCCCAATGATTCCTGTCAGATATACAAACCTCAGCTTCTCTAGTCCTTTTCTTCGTTTGTCCTATCAGTAGTCGTTGTGGCCAGTTCTGAGCGAAGTGTCGTTGCCGACGCCCGCAGCTACGATCTCGCCAATAGTCGCCTTCTCAAGGCGGTGCTCATCGACGAGAACGGACGCTCCTATGTATCGGAGCTTGACCTCGGCACATGCTTTAGAATCGACCTGGAGGAGTTGAAATAACATCGACGTAAGTGAATCACAACCTCGCTGCCGTCGTTGATCCTATCCCCCTCCTGACTTCAGCGACAAGAAAAAAGAAAAAAGGAAAAAGAAAAAAACCAAAAACCAAAAACAAAAACCACCAAAAGAAAATCCGCTACCGTCGAAAGAGTCCTAACCAATGACAACAGTTCCGTTGGTCTGGACAGTCCATGGAAAGTTCTTCGACCAGGTGGACGTGGACGACACGCCCTTTGTCCATAGCGATCGAGAATGGGGTCCGATGCTTTGCCTTTTGTATTCCTATTTCGAGCCATGGCAGAAATACCGAACGGGGCCGCATTCCTATCGACTCAACCTCGGCCGTCATGTTACGGTTCAGAATGAGCAATCGACCTTCACCTATGGTGAAAGCACGTGCGTTATATGCCTCGTCCTGCCGTTTGTTCTCTGCTGGTAATACGCTAACGGGTGTCAAAATGCGACAATGGCATGCCGCGACCACCGATCCGAGAGCCGTGGCGCCAGTACTTTAGAGATATTGATGAGGCGCGCGAGGTCGCCAGTTATACTGCGAAAGACTTTTTCGACGACCCCGGCGATGGAAGTGACATCGCCATTGCGAATGATTATAGCGCCCGGAGGGACTGGGAAAAGTTCGGTGCAGCCTTCTCGTCCAGGGCAGTAGCCATGAAGTATGGCGGCTACAGCGACCATGAACAGAATAAACAGGATACCGAGGACGACCGTGGCTGCCCTTTGGTAATGTGGTTACAGTCGGAGCTTGAAGCAGGTAACGTCCCAGGTCTTAAGCTAGAGTGATTATATTAGACAGGGTAGATCAAGGAAATGATTCAGAAAGCTGTCCGGTAGAAGAGGGCTGCGATGGATGCTCTATCGGGCGTAGCCTGTTCTCACTCAGACATATTGGGAGAGTGGTAGAGAGGAAGAACTTCGGAGCTCCAGCGACTGGCAAATACAATCATAATCAGTTTCCGATTCAAAGCTATTTCTTCTTTCATACTGCTTTGTGAGCATCCTCCCAGGCTTCCTGCTCCTCCAGACTAGGCTCACCGTCCTTCGACAGCCCGCAACCAAACAACATCCCATCATCTAGCGGGGGACTTTCACTCCCGCGCATCGCCTCCCATGGCGGGGAGGCCTGCATGCGCGCCTGAATCCACTCCTCCTCCGAGAACGTCGGCTCGTCGTACTCCAATCCTATACCAAACGGTTGAAGATCCTCCCGAAGTCGGCTTAGTCGATCCCATGGAAACTCCAGAACCTCATCGAGGAAATCCACATCCGGCCTGTATCCGACAGAGATCTTCTGGAGCGCAGCCTGCCTGGCCCGTGCTGCTTGGGCCAACCCCCGGATCCAACGGGCCTCGACTTCACCGAACGCGTCGCAGGAATCCAGACCATGGCCATCCCCGCGATAGTCTAGCCCAAGGGTCGTGAGACGTGGCGCGCAGAGAAGGGCATCCGCGTGGGCGGGCGTGAAGACGAATAGTGGTTCCTCTTCGCCCTGCTGCTGCCACGTAGCGCATCCTCGGATCTGCCACCAGGATAGCGTCAGCCGCTCTAGGGCGACAAACCCCCTTGTCTGGAAAAGCTTGCCTGGATGTGGCCCGTGAATGATGCCGATGTGGATGGTTTTCAAGGTGTCCTTGTGGGCGTTGAGCAATGTGCTGAGCTTGAAGGGATCCAGATCGCATTCCGGGTTCCTCTCACCCAGGAATGAGGCGTGGAAATGGATCAAGGCTTTGGGCCAGAGAATCAACTCTTGGGTGGCGGCGGAGTTCTCTTGGTAGTCTCGGATACGAAGGGTTGAAAATTGAGCAGTGCTCTTTATGCTAGTCGGTGGGCAGGACGGCCTGTTCGCCTTTCGTTCTGCGCTCGCAATGTGTCCCCCGGTTGGAAGAGCAACGCCATAAAGCTCCAGTTGGCGAAGACTGGGCATCTGAACACTCTTAAGTATGTCCCGCACGGTAAGACCTTTGAGATAGATACGCCTTAGATTCAAGCGCTCCAGTGCTGGCATGCTCCGAGAGGCCCTATGAACCAGGCCCCATGTTTGATCTGGGTAACGCTCCCATCCCCCGGAGAAGGTTAAGGCTCTGAGAGTGGTGATATGGGTGATGATATCATTCATGATATAAAAGTTGCGTCGGTGGATTAACTCGCAATCTGGAATATGGACATAAAGATGCTTGACACTCTCCTGACATGTTGGTCGACGCTGTAAGGCGGCAAACAGACTTTCTAGGGCTGTGCGCGAGGCCACACTAACCAAGACGTCACAATACAGCAGAGGAAGTACAACCTGTGTCAGGCGATGGCAGACTAAGACATACTTCCGCAGTACTCTGTAATCTTTGTAGCAAGTGGAGACAACGTTCTCAAAAATATAGGTCAGGATCTCTGCTGGAAGCCGTAGGAGCAGTGGCACTTTCATGACGAGCGGAACTGGGTAATTGGTCATTAGACCTGCAACTGGCGATTGGAGCTGCCGGCTGGCAAGGTTGCGATATGACTCAAGCAAGATATCTCATATAATGACACCGCATGCCATATTTAAATTCTAGATTCAGTGAGGCCTGGCTTAGGCAGTTACAGGGGATGCCTGGACACCACGTGACCACCCTCGTTCCTTGCATGGTTATTGCAGCAAGGGGGTGACTTTCTAGTGAGTCTCATTGTCGATAACTCCTCTGGAATTTGCTTTACCTACTTCCACTCGTGCAGTAACATGGAACAGTACCTTTAATAGAGAATTGGAAAGAATTTGTGTATTTTCATTTCCGAGTGATATATAACTTATCCGCACCCGTTAGTCGTCAGCCCCACTCACTCAATTGCACTACAATTGAATATTGGTCTTCCCTTGTTGTCGAAACATACTCCACGAGAATTCCTGACCCATCATTCACAATACTTGCCTTGGCCACGTACTTTTCGGTAATCACATTCACTAGATCTACCAGCGCCACCGCCGTCTCATCCTCCTCATCCTCGGTAAACGTCAAATTCCCCGTTGCAGTTGCCGCCGTCACACCCGTGAACGTAACGGACCCAAGTCCAAGAAAGACACCGTCTCCCCGCTACTCTGGTAGTCCTTGACAATCCACTCATACGACATGAAATTGAAGTAGTCCGCATAATCTGCCATTGAGGAGACATCAAAGCCCTTGAGGTACCTTGTAAGACGACTCAGTGAGCTATTCAAGCTATTGTGCCGTGCGTGACTTACAGTAGGAAGATGGCAGTGTGGCTATGATTCCATATGTGTCACCACACTGCTCTTTCAGTTCCTTTTGGAAAGACACATAGTTGGCCGTGTCCGCGGTTTTGCCTCCTGAAGTAAAATAAGATGCCCTGTCAGCCTGCGAGTGCAGGTACACAGAAACAAAAGTATTCTGCTTATCACGATCACTGACGGCTGGATATTCTCAGTCGATGTCAATCCCGTCGAAACCATACTTCTTCATGAAGCTGATGGCCGAGGTAATGAAGGTTGAACGTGTGCCGGAGAAGCTTACTATCAAGAAAAAGACTTCTCCTCCCAGGTCCCAGCCTCCCTCCTACAGAAATAAAGGTTTTGAACCCGTCTTCTTGTTCTTTAGGGTCGTAAATTCGGGCATGTATTCCTCATTGTTGGCGTACAAAGTCTCAATCTCGGAAGTCTCACTGTTTATTCCAGCGAAGGCGTCGTAGAGATGCTGAGAAATGCTTGTTAGCTTGAGCTATCTTCGCGAGGCTTAGGTGGATTGGGCTTGAGAGTACCGTCTAAGGTGCAACATCGATGTCCGAAGGGTGAATCACATCACATATATGTTGATAGTTCCAAGCCTCATAGTATCCTATATAAACCGTTTCACTGGAGGTGCCGGAGCAATCTCTGCGAGACTATGTCAGAGGCATACCGTAAAGATATTTCAAACGCTGGACTCACGGCTCGGTAAGTGCATCACAATTGCTCTGGCAACCAGTACCACAGACATCTTCTGTCGTTCCACAGAACCTGATCATATTGTCAGAGGGGTTACTAGATATAGCCAGGATATATCACTTACCCATAAGGCGAGCAACAGACATTCAACGGGCAGGTAGTGTTGGCGACCTCTGCATATGCTATGCAAAAGTGTCAGTGTGTCGATGCGTCGAGCACCAAGCGCAAGAGGGAACCACATACGTCCACACTCTGCTAACGCGTCACAAGTCGATATACACACATCATCGCCACAAAAGTCTGCTCCGAAGCCGCAATCGCCACTGGAGCTACAACAACCACTGACACACTCTGATGTTGAAGAGCAACTGCCGGATCCGACTGTGGCTGCGGATACCAACGTCCCCAGCAGTGAGCCGAGCAACAGCCCTCTCATCCTGGAGCCGAGAAATATGGAAATGGTGAGGAATACAAACGCAAAACTAGATGGGCGCCTGTAGCGTGCCCTCGAGTTTTAATTATGTTTTCTATCATATCCTTTGCCACTCATTGAGAGGCCATGCACCCCTCGCCTTTCGCTTTCGTCTATTGCAATTGAACGCAAAAGTCTTCGGGTCAGTCTCAACCTACATCTTTCTTTTTTCACACCCACTACCTCCATAACTCCCACTTTCATGTTGGAATGCAATCTCCGAAACTCGACCCAAGGACATCAGTGGCGCAGACTGTTGACAGGCTAAACTAGTCCTTGGGCGAAAGTGAATCGGCATAGGGCGAGCATTCGACCGTATATAGCGCTCACAGAAGTCTGACCGTGCTTTGATAGTGGATTTATGGTCCAGCCATGCTTGGCCTTTGTGATGGCCCGTGATTGAGTATCCCGTGGTGGCCTTGTTCTCATTCTCGCCACGGGCCAACTAACTTAGTGGTAACTAATCGATTGGTCAACTATGTTTTCGCACAGACTAGTTCACGATAGCAATGACTTTTAGAAATCAAGAGGGGCTCCCTGGGCCTTACTACGGAGCAAGGCTGACCATAGGCTAGCTGGCTGCTCCCCCGGGCCCGGGAGGTCCGGAACGCTCGATCCGGTCTGTCCAAATTGTTTCAAATTCCTTTGAAGGGACAGTATGGTGGGTCGGAAAGACCGATAAGGAGAGGCATGTGGTGGCTAGAGATACATCCGAAATTAGCCTCCATCCCTCTAGGGTTCGGCGCCGACTTCCTAGGCCGTGGTACCCTAGCGTGTGCTTTAGCTTTTATCTTCACGCTATGTTGTTGCAATGGACCAACTAAGCTCGCTAAGCATCCAATTGAATCTATTCTGACCTGACATCCAGGGTCGACCCTGTGGATAACGACGCAATTTCGATCGCAAAAGCAACCATTGACACAGTAGCCGGTAGGTCTGAAGTACCGAATGACGCTAAACGGCAGCGTTCAAGGCCTAACACAGGTAGCTTTTGCGAATGAACTTCTTTGGGGTCTAGAAAATGACGACCTGATATCGGTGTCTGCTGCAATGACGATCACCTGGTCGAAAATGAGGAAGCCGGTAAATTCGCCTCACCTCGGTGTAAGCCTGGTTTCAACATTGGCTAAACACTACGGTCATGCATAGATCCCCTCGTGTAAGACAGTGTTATCTTCCCTGACATGCTGCCCATCCCAGCTGGGGATGAGTGTGACGGTCAGTTTAAGAGCCATGATGCAGGAGACGGTCGAGTCTACGAGTAATGTTTTGACTATCTGTCCGGGATCGTTGCCGAAGACGGACCCAGAGGAAGATTATAAGCCCATCTGGGGTAGTCACATTGACCAATATGACACTGGCAGTTTGACCGGGATCGAGGGCGAGTATATAAATCTTATCTTGGCGATATCGGCGAGGTGACTCTGCTCCACGAGCTAACGCACACCGTGTCGTTCTTTGGCGCCAGCGGTGTTCTGGGTACGCATTCTTCTCTCGTTTTCTCTTTATCGTTTCTGGGTCAACCCTGCAATGCCACTTAAGTACACCGCTAATCACTTCCTTCTGTCATGTTTGAGAGGATGTGTTGACCGCCTACAACGAGGATGCCTACCTATGGGATAAATGCTTCGATCTGGCGAACGCGGTGAAGAATGCTGGCAAGTGTTATCGAAGGACTCCCGATATTGCTCCTTGGTAATAAGACTAATTATGCTATCGTTTTCAGAGACATTTGCATTCTTCAGTGCCGATAATAGTGACCCTGAATATATTAGCTCACCTCAACAAGAATCCCAAGCGCTGATTAGAAGAATTGGCGTAGGTATATACTTGGATCAGTGCAATTGGAGAAGTGGAGTATGCGAGAATCCTGAGGTTGTGGATTGAAAGCAGGGAGTATGAAGACGTGCCGCTGAAATGGACGTATTTAATGCTCATAGCAGTATGGCAGTAGCAGCAGTTTCCCTCAGGGCTCTGTTGAAACAGTTGTATTAGTCAGACAGACGGAACAACATCCGGCAAGCTGAAATTCTAAAAACCAACAACATCATCACCCCCTAATTTTGCCTCCTTAGCCATTTCTCTGTTCCCACGGTCCCTTTGTCTCCTCTAAGCATTACACCGAATCTATGGGATATAGTACACTACCCAGTGAGCTACACCGGCTCATCGCAGAGTTTCTCGCGGAGTTTACGGATTCAGAGGATGCCTTCAATGCGCTAGCACGCACCAACCGTACCTTTTACATGCAGTACAACCCCTTGTTGTACAGATACCACCTTGCAAGTCATTCCAAGCGCCCTTCAGCACCAGCACTTTACTGGGCTGCTAAGAATGGAAGACATGATACGCTAGTCCGGCTCCTCGACGCGGGCGCAGAGCTATACCACCCTCGAATCTGGCAGGAGAAGCCAACGTCAACCGGGTCGACTGGGCTCCGGCCTTTACATCCAGCCCGACTTGCTGCCGAGAAGGGTCATGCTCAATTTCTCGAGGCCATTTTCGATTGGGGGCAAGAGGATCCGGAGAGTGCCAGAAGCTTTGGTAGCCGGCTAGGTAACCGGGGCTACAGTGTCCTTTTTGCGGGAGCAGCCCTTAACAACCACCTGCCCGTGGTGCAGATTCTGCTAGCCCGTGGCGTTGACCCCTGGGATAAGTATACTTCCTTTCTTCCTCAGGGCGTGCGACTGCAGAAATTCAGTTCGGAGCTGCTACAGGTGCTTCTCGAAGATGCTAAGCATCGAGAGCATTTGCAGCCCTTCACCACCTGGGAACCTGTTCACATGGCATTACGGTATGCAGTGGAGCAGGCCAAGGATATTGAGGCGACCAAAATAATTCTCACAACCGGGGTCAATGTTAACTTCCTCTATTCTGATGACCCGATGATTGTGGTCCGGCGACCTTTGCATTACTGTCACCAACCAGACTTGTATCGGCTCCTACTTGAGGCGGGTGCTGATCCAAACATCGAAAATAATGACAGATGGGGGGCTCTCTCCTCCGCAGTAGGAAACTGTCACATGCAGGCCGGCCGATATCCAAGTTCGGCAGAAGCAAAGTGTCGGCGGTGGGAGAGAATTCAGCTGCTGTTTGAGTACGGCGCAGACCCCGCGCGAGCCGGGGGAGGTTGGGCACTGCACGGCGCACTACGCGACGCAGATTATAGGCTGGCAGACTTTCTAGCCGACAAGGGGGCGAGAATTAGTGTCGCTGAGCTAGGCGATGCGGATCAAGCTCTCTTACATCGCGCAGTGGGGGCACGTGAGTGGGAAACTGTGATGGAACTTACTCCAGTCAATTGGTCTATGGCAGGATATGCTGGTCCAGGTCTGATGAAAGACGCTCGCAATCGGACTTTCCCGTACGTTCCACCATCCAGCAGACCACTTTCAGCAAGGCCCAGAATTTGCAGGATAAGAGATCCACCGCATATGGAAAACTATATCGGCCACTCAAAGAAAAAAAGGGTACGATACGACTAGTGTAACTAGTTTGTATACTCCAATTTGTTACTTATACAAACTTATACAAGCGTGCACAAGCGTGTACAAGCATTCACAACTATTGAGATTAGTCCGATGTTCCCCGTCCTTACGGCGGACTAGGGCAAGAACTGCTCCACTACCCATACAACAACGACAAACGGCGTTTCATATTAACCTGCTTCATCAAAGACTAGCATGAATGATAGATAAAAACCTTTTCCTCTTATGAACACAAAGTATCAATCATTTTCATAACCGCGCTCGTCCGTCCTGGTGTCAAGAACCTCAAGGATCAGGATCATGCAGTTCTACCCCATTGGCCTTTCTTGTCTCCTGGCCCAGGCCGTGGCATCCTCCCGACTCCAGAAACGATGGCTAAACGGGGACACTGCCACTGGCACCATCGATCCGGACGTGACAAGTGAATGTGAGTATTGGGCCAACGACATATCCGCGACCGACACCTGTGCGGAGCTGGAGACGTACTTTGATGTCACTGTCGCTGAGCTTCATGCCTGAAATCCCTCGCTGCTGGAAGACTACTGTGTGCTGATTGAAGGATGGAGCTACTGTGTCGAGGGCCCGGCCGTAACTGTTACCGCGGCTGCGTCCATCACGACGAATACCACGATTCCCGTCGTTATTTTCACCGTGGTGACTGATTTTGTGAACAGCACGACCCTCGCGGCTGCAACTGCTACATCTGAATCGGCCACCACTGCCACTCCCACCTCGACCGCCACCGACTCGGGTGGAGTGCCTTCACCAATGCAGAGTGGTCTCGTGAGACGTGCAATACGTACTACTACGTGAAATCAACAGTCACTTGCTACACGATCCAGGATCTGTACTTGGATTTCACACTCAATGAGTTCTACACTTGGAACCCGTTAGTCTTCCCTGTATCCTTAGACTTGGCGAGAACAATCCAGATATAGGAATGCAAGGCTGACTAGATAACATCTTTTCAATTCCATCTCCACAGGCTGCGTCGGTTTGGGGCCAGGCTACTATGTCTGTGTTGGGGTAACCAGGGGTACTTCCAGCATTGTGACTGCAACGACGACCGCCTCTGCAACTTCGTCCTCCCCATACCAGCCTCAGCAGACCGGTCTTACATCGAAATGTGAGTTTCCCCACTACACGAATGTGGCCATGTTAAGGTACATCTGCGCAGGACCTGACCGTCAGGGTTAATAGTAGGCGATGATTCTTACTATGTAAACGAGGGTGACGACTGCACCGCCCTCCTCGAGGAGTTTGATATCACCATGGCTGAATTTCACGCCTGGAACTCTGCGCTGGGGTCTGACTGCAACAAGATGGAATATGGGTACTACATCTGCGTGGGCGTTCCTGGTACATCCTGTCTTTTCAGCTCGACCTCCATGGGGTCGTAGGAGGGACAATATTCAGTACTACAACAACGTCACAACCCAACTAGGCTCCAACGCAACAACGACAGTCAGGCAGTTTAACCCCCACCACTAGTACCACCACAGCCTCAGTTACCAGCGCATCCACCTCAATTCCAACCACAGCAACCACAACAGCAACCACAACAGCAACCACAACAGCAACCACAACAGCAACCACTACAGGCCCCTCCCCAACCCAAACCGGTATCACCACCAACTGTACCACTTACTACGAGGCCACCGCCAACGACATTTGCTGGTCGATCGTGACGGAAAAATACGCCTACCTCACCGAGGCGGAATTCCTCGACTGGAACCAGGCTGTTGGGTCCGACTGCACCGGTCTGTGGGCAGGCTACTATTACTGCGTGGCGACGACCACCGCCGCCCCCATGCCAAACACCATTGACACCTGCACAACCTACTACCTTGTCGTCGAGGGAGATAGCTACTATTCGATCGAGCAGGCGTACGGGATCTCAGCCGCCGATTTTGTGGAATGGAATCCCGCCGTGGGGAGCAGTTGTGCGTCGCTGTGGAAGGGGTATTATGTTTGTATGGGTGTCTGATTTGACTACCTTGGTGGATTTCGAGTTCCACAGAGAGTTAAGGTGGAGCACAAGTGTCAAGAAATGTGAATAGTACATTGGGTGGAAAGCTGCCTGTGCAATCTCAAGCTGTGGTAACATAGTCGTGTGTAGGTTCCGCTCGAAGGCTCTGGTGTACTATGCTTTTTTCAGTCCTGATGTCCGTAGCCGCGTCTGGCCGAGACGATCCAGTCGACCTTCTAAAGCACCCGAGCAGACACCGTGAGCGTGTGAGAGGCTATGATTCAGTCAATTTGAGTTGCAACGGCTGGGTATTTTGGGCTCATAGTCGTGACATCAAGTCATCAATATGCTACATTCTCGTCTCTACGTCTGGGTATCATCTCCTTGTACGCCGGCTTAGTGGCTCCTGCAGGGTAAGACAGATACAGATCGATTCACCAAAGTAAAACGTGTTATCATCTTTACCATTCACTCGGTTCCTTCCTTGACGCAAATAAAGCATATTCAATACGGCGAGAGAGAACTGTAACCGTCTATCGGAGAGTGTGCGGGCAATTTTTCCACAGTGGCTGCAGGACATACTCGCATAATGACCGCCGAAATGTAAGGTCGCTCCATGTCAGGGTCAAGCTTGTCGAATCGATGGCAAATGGACTTCGTAAAGCTTTCCCCAAACTGCCTTAGTCGGTGGTCCCACTCCCGACGTGTGGCTCAATAAATCTAAGCATAATCAAGTCTCGTTATGTATCAACTTTGGAATTATTTTTTATGGATTCCTTGATAATCTTGCTAAGTAAACTATTCAGAAGGTTTGCATGAAGATGCAATGACGTAGATATTGTAGCCCCTCGTCACACAATGCAGGTATCTATTGGATTTACCAGAAAATCAATAAATCTGGTCCGTGTCATCCTCATCTCCAGGCCTCTCTCTAAACCGATTTCCCTTTTCACGTCGTTCTCGCTCTCGAATCTGTGCATGAGCCTTGTTTGGACGCCTCTTCTGACCTAAGGATTGCTCAGAATCCTCCCCATCTTCAATATCGCGATGTCTTTTATTCAGATTCAAGGCCCAGTGCTGCAAAACACCATCCCCATCTTTGATGGTAGCCAGCCGCCGGGCTAGTTCCTCCACAAACGCCACACTCCGATGACGGCCTTCTTCGCAACATATTGTCACTACAATATCGACATCTATGCCGTCGACAGCGGGCTTTCCGCTGGCCTGAGAATCCAGACTCCGGCGCGTATCAGTCTGTGAGGCGTCCTGTCGAAGATCTTCCGGCTGCAAGGAATACAACGACTGTGCGCAGCCTTCTTGGACCGCATTGACTATCTCCTGTTGGACCTTGACCAAGACGGCCTCGACTGCATCATTCTGGAGGAACTCTTTCTGCAATCGCCGCGATAGGCCGGTTGCGTTGACCCGCAGATGGCGGGGTGGGTTGGGCAAATGTCGAATGTTGTAGGCTAAGGTTTGCCGATATCGGACCTCCCGAGACTGTTGTATCATAGGCCCGTTGGCATGACCATATGAGATAAGTGAAATCCGAACTGATGTTGTACGGCTGAGAGGGGGCTCCATTGTAGGTGTCAGTAATATGGTCTTGTTCTTGAGCAAGTATCAAGGAGATTGCAGGAGTCAGGGGAATTGTTGTTTTGTTGCTGTGAGCCATTCTTGGTAGTAGCTTAGTCAGACAAGTTTAGATAAATTCACGTAAGCGCTAAGCAAGTCGCTATACAACTAGGTAATCTACTTTGATCTTAACGAGATTTACTCACCGTGACTCGCCAATATATCCCATAAGATACCAAGATCCGTCGGCTAAGGGTGTCATGGTAGCTACTCCCATGCCCCGCATCTTCATCGTGGTTCTCCCACGTGACCACAGGTAGTCGCAAGGTGAGACAAGTAGCTTCCTTAGGGCTATTTACTTCTTGCACTCATTCCTGGCAGCGGCTAGAGCATTCCCTGTTCGCAATATCCACATCGAATCCCTTGCATACAAAGCTTCGTGCGTGATCAACATTATAAGAATTATATTATCATATCATCCTATTAAAAGGTCTCCGGAACTAAGGAGATACTAAGTTATGACCCGTATTTCAACCGTAATCCACCTGACTCGGACCGACCTGTGCATGTTTCCCAGGTACTACACATTGCTCACTGCCGCTCAAAGCCGAACCTGCCAATGTCCACTCACAGAACCGTCTGCATAGCCATCCAGAGTCCGATTCACCGCATCCACGTCCAACCCCTCGATGACCGACGATTCCGTGGGGACGAGTTTCCCGGCCTCCACCCACTCAGTGACCCGCTCCCACAGCGGCGCCGCCGTTGCGGGCCGCACCGCCGACAGGCCGAACACATTCAACGTCTCAAAGCCTGCAGGCTTGGGCGCGGACAGCTTGGACTCGTCCACGGGCCCCGTAGGGAGCAGGCGAGCCAGCTTGCCCTTCTGGGTATTCGACAAGGCCTCGACGCCGATGTACTGGTTCTCGGGAGGATTAATCGCGTCGTAGACGTAGACCAGATCATCCCCAGTGATCGCCCGCACCTCCGCCGCGATCTCGGCGCCGGATTTGTGGGCGCGATCAAGGACGTGCGTTGCCCCCAGGCGCTGGGCCTCGGCTGCGCTACGGGCGCTCCCAACCACAATGATGCGGCCAATGCCCGCCAGCGCGGCCAGCTGGATCCCGAAGCGACCCGTGTTGGAGCCTCCTCCAATGATCAGGAGCGATGTAGCGTGGTAATCGAATCCAGAAGTGGAAGCGGTCGTCGCCCAGGGCGCCGGGATCCCCAATGCGCTGTCGTCGAATAGGGCGACGGCGGGGGCCACCAGATTGGTCGGTAGCGTGGCAAGTTGCGCGTCGGTGAAGCCAGCCGGCACCTTGGCTGAGTAGCGGGCGTCGAGAATGGCGTACTCCTGCAGCCCGGCCGTGTCGTTGCTGTTGGCGAGGGTCAGCCCGGCTTGGCCGACGATATGGTCCCCCTCCTGGTAGCGGGTGACGTTGGGACCGAGGCGGGTGACGACGCCGACGACGTCCGCGGCCAGTACTGCGGGGAGGGACTCCTGGATGAAGAGGCCGTAGTTGCGCGACTTGGCGTCGTGGGGGTTGAGGCCAGCCACGGTGATCTTCACCAGGACTTGGTTCTCCTGGGGCTCGGGAATGGGCCGCGTGCCCTTGGTCAACGGCTTGCCGATCTCCGTCACCAGCAGCGCGGTCTGGGTTTGTTGGGACATTTGGTGTGTAATTATGGGTTCGCGTATGGATGTAGAACTTTAAGTCACAGTAGGGGTATAGTGATGATTATTCTGATCGAGAGGTAAGTTGCTTGCTGGATGTGTTATCTGTAGTGATGAGTTGTTCTCCTTTATACAAGTGGGGAACCCTGCATCAGCCGTGATTATCAATCACTCAGCGCGCGCCCCTGCTTACCAAGCGGCATGGGATCGTGCCTTTCGTGGTCGAGTTTACAAATTCATTTCTAGTAGGATCTCCGATCATTTTGAAAGAATAATCAAAGCCTTCTTTGTCAATCGAGTTGTACTACATTGCACGAAAATAAGATCTGACGTGCTCAATGGCGTGCTTGAATACCAGTAATATTCGCCAACACCATCGTAACCCGCGTCATCCATGCCAAGGACATGATCACGCCTGGGCCGGCTGCCCCAACACTGTCCAACACACCAATTATCATGATAATCAAGCTTTATCTGTTCAAGCACAATGATTACTTCTCCAGGGCATCAAATGAGTATGGGACAGGATTTTGAAATCCCGAGTCACGATCGGAAGGAAGCATAACAAAAAAGAGACCAATCCTCATGCAGAGTGAGCGAAGCCATAAACAGGTGTGGAATGATAGGTAGTACAAGCCTGGCCTCGAATTGAACAACAGAACCTGAAGTTATTACCAACTTTGTCTGGAACGTTCCTCGCGGAAGACATTCACATCATGCCTCTCGTGGATGAGCTCGACCCATTCAACATTCAAATCTTCACCCCCGATGGTACCATAGAGTCTCGCCTCGCCTTCTGTGTCTCTCTCTCCGCAACAAGCACTTTCTCCGCATGGATCGAATCCAAATAGATCCGAACCGCCCGCAGTGTCCCGCTCGCGTCAAACTCGCAATGCCACGAGTACTGCTGGTCGTAACTCAAGCCCAGGACCTTGGTGGTGGTGTGGACCGCACGGAGCTCGACTGCCGCTCGGCCCCGTCCGTCACAGACAATACTGTCCAGGCCCCCGGGCATGATGAAACAAGGGCCCGGCGCCGCGATCAGCGTCGAGTTGGAGCTCCAGATCTCGGCGAGGAAGGCGGCCTTGTTCCAAGACCCGGAGAAGGGATGCTGCCCGGTGATCTGCCATTTCGAGTCCTCTGGCGCCGCGAGAAAGAATTGATTGTGGCCCGTGGGGTAGTCGCGGAGTTGGAGGAAGAATTGGTGGATGTCTTGCGCGGTTGGGTACCCCATTGCTGTGTGGATGGTTGACCTTTTTCTTTTCTTTTTGTTCGCGAAATGAACTTTAGCAAAGGGAATCGGTCAATGTATTTGGCCCTTCTCTAACGAGGTTCTTTTGCTTGATTACTCACCAACAGTATGGGGTGATTGGAGCAGATGGGATCCGAATGGATGCTATCGCTTTTGTCTCTTCTGAACTGGCCTCCCCCCTACCCAACTTATCTTTGATATATTGTTTCCCCGGCGAAGTGAGATAACAGCAGTCGGTCGGTCCATATGTCAGCGCGGACTGCCTTCCGCGTCCTCTATTTCTCAATTTCCAGGACGTTGATAAGCAGCAAGTGCATTTGCGGGGCGCAACATGCCCCTCCATATCCCGCACCTCAAGTCAGCACTAGGGCACCGACAAAGTGCGTAGGTCGCGGAGCTTACAATAATAGGCACAGTACTCCGTAGTCGCCTCCCGCTTCCGTGCTTACCTTACCCACTCTAATTCTATACAACCCGAGGACCAGTTTGGCCCATTGGCTATGTGCTCTCCTCCAGAATACGAACAACACGAAGAAAGCCCACGAGAATAATTGGGGCCAAAGAGGGCTACACGGCCCGTTTGCCACTTCGAGATATCTTAGAAAAGGAGAGATATTGATTCCTGGCTTTGAGAAGATGCTGGATTAGTATGTAAGAGGGCTACTGTTCGCATGTCATGCTTGGTAAGAAGGGCTGGGCGCGTGGTCAGGTCCGTTAAGAATACTGCCGGCCAGAATTCCGCCGTGGCAGAGCCCTAACTTGTCCGCCACTATCGTATCCATGTCACATTGTGGATCTTTAGTATGTGACTTCCATCTCCGGAGATCATTAACTGAGCCTCACAGTAAATGATCATAGGTCATACAGCCAAAGCTGGTGGCATGTGCGTCTTTACCACTGTCACCGTTAGGACTCACTAGCAGAACGCTGAGCAACCCGATCCTCGAGCGAGTATAAAAGAGAGAGAGACAGAGAGATATCTGTAAGTGCCCATCGACTGATACATGACTGGCATGAATCATTCTATTTTCTGCGTGCCCGAAGATAATAACTTAGAACGTCATTCTTTCTTTAACCAGCCGAAGCAATAGAATATGGGTTCCATCACAAATCCCATCACTGGGGCCGAAGTCTTCCATGAAATGCTGCATCGGCTCGAGGTGAAAGCTGTCTGTGAGTAAGACCCAAATGTTTCCAAAATAACGTGCTAAGCGTGTATACATGATGTCCAGTTGGGTACAATGGCGCGGCGGTCGTCTCGATCTTCGACGCGATCTACCAGTCCCCGTACTTCACCTTTGTGCTGCCACGTCACGAACAAGGGGCCGGCCACATGGCGCAGGGCTACGCCCGTGCCACTCAAAGTCCCGGCGTAGTCCTGGTCACCTCCGGTCCCGGCACCTCCAACATGGTTACCCCGGTCCTCGACGCCGCCATGGACAGTACTCCTCTGGTGGTCTTCTGCGGGCAGGTCCCGCAGCAGTATCTCGGCACGCACGCATTCCAGGAGATCCCGACTGAACAAATTATGTGGCCGTGCGCAAAGGCCTGCTTCACCGTCACTTCCGTCGAGGCTCTGCCCCCCATCATGGTGGAGGCGTTTCGCACCGCAGGGAGGGGTCGACCGGGTCCGGTGGTGGTTGTCCTCCCGAGGGATATCTCAACTGCTGCCCTGGACAGAAGTGAGATGCACAGGGCCATGATGAGTCTTCCTCTTCCCCTTCCCGCTGGGCTGAACGCCTGGGGAGGGACCGTGGGGACCTCGAGGATAACGGATGAGCAGGTAGCAACGATTGCGGAGATGATCAACCAGTCCGAGCGACCGGTGATCCTCGCCGGCCAAGGGGTGGTGATATCACCTCGTGGAGCGAGGATGCTAAACGAACTGGCTCAGACGGCCACGATTGCGGTAACAACCACACTTCCCGCGCTGGGGTGCTTCAATGAAGAAGATCCGAAATCTCTGGGAATGGTCGGCCAATACGGCTCCGCAGCCGCGAATCTAGCAGTTCGGAAAGCAGATCTTCTGCTTGTCTTCGGCGCGCGACTCGACGATCGCGTGGTCAGGGATGCCAAAACGTTTGCCCTGAAGGCGAGGAAGTCGTTGCTGGCGGAAAGAATAGGTGTGGTCCAGATCAACATTGACGAAGCGCATCTGAACGACGTCATCCCCGCCGGGGAAGCCGTGGCCTGCGACGTCGGTGATGCGATCTCTCGGGTGTTGCCACGGGTTCACCGTCGCGCATCTAGACCAGGTTGGATGGGGCAGCAATCCACATGGAAGGGACTCTACCCATTCAAGTACGAAGAGGAGGATGGAGGAGGACAGATCATGCCGCAAGCAGTCCTCGAAGAGCTGGACCGCCATCTCAAAGGCCAATCGAAGCCGGTGATCATCACAACCGGGGTCGGCCAGCACCAGATGTGGGCGACGCAATTCCTCCGGTGGACTAGGCAGCGGAAGATTATTACCTCGGGCTCTCTGGGCACAATGGGGTTTGGTCTTCCGGCAGCTATTGGCGCCAAGGTCGCTCGTCCGGATGCCCTGGTCATCGATCTTGATGGCGATTCCTCTTTCTGTATGACTATGGAGGAACTGCTTTCCGCCTCGCAGGCGGGCGTCGACGTCAAAGTGATCGTCTTCAATAATCAGGAGCAAGGCATGGTCACAGAGTGGCAAACAACCAACTGTGACAAGCGATATTCTCATTCCCATCAGTCCAACCCTCGTTTTGGTGCTTTGGCGGAGGCAATGGGCGTTCAAGCGAGAGTTTGTTCATCAGTGAGTGACTTGCCGGGGAAACTCTCCTGGCTGTTACAAACAAGGTCTGCCGCTTTGTTGGAGGTTCGTGTCGCCAGCAAGCTGCGACAAGTGGTCTCGTTCTCCGATCTCAAATAGTCCTGACTCGAACATTGTGACTTGGGCGATGGGTTATAGATTATTTGTGGAGATGCCGAGCTGTATAGAGAGCTGTTGCAGAGTTTATTCTGCAGGTTCGATAGCCCGCTAGTAGACGAGGGCTTTTAGACGTAGTTTAGACGTGATCCTCTTGTCCTCATAGTTCTGCTACTTCGCTGATGATGCCGCTATGCATCACTAGTGAGTACCAGACATGATCTGGCGAACCCATTCATTGTGTAACCGCCCCGAGGGGAAAATGTATAGAAACAATATCAACAGATTCTTTTTGTTGCGAGAGGAACATCCATCAAGTCTCATAAAGCCGCGTGGAATGACGGCGGGGAGAAGCACGAAATCACAGGGGTTGGGGAGACAAGAGGATGTCTCGGGGTTTAGTGTGCTGGGTTACAAATGTGAAAGCGAAGCCCAGGGTATTGGGCTAAAGAAGTCTTAAACTCTCATAGTACCAGGTCCAATATTTTCAGGGCTAGCGGCAAGAGGCTCCAGCACGGGTACTACTATGTACTTAGGGGGTAGCCGGGGTAGCCCAGGCAAGATGTATATTAGTAGAAATTCCAACTATCAGACATCATATGTACTCTTCCCTACTTTGGTATAGTGGTAAAATTATCGCCCGAAACTAGCTTAGCTATATGATCCGGTAGACCAGGTGTGGAGTCCAGGTAGCTTTTGCTTACAGAATATCAAACACATTCCGTGTTCATACCCCGCCGGGCCTCCAAATCACAGGGAATCCCTGCTATCATTTCAATTAAAAGGTAGATAGCTTGAAATCTCATCTCCCTGTAGGGTAGGTCGAACTACAATCCCCTCTTAACAATCAGCAGCTCAAGCACAACCCAACATAGGCAGCAACATTTGACAACTAACCCCTCACTTCGGCATCGCCGAGTCTGTAACGGTAGCATTGCCAAAGCAATGCAGCGACCAATCGTTCCCGGTGTGCGTTTGATAACTCGAACTAGTGGGAGTGCTTGGTGCGCAGGGACCTGTAATCCTCAATGCTATGAATCTAAACTCTCACGCTACTGACAGAAGCTTGATCTAAATTCCGCACACACAGAACTCTCCAAGGTGGCAGTAGATATAGTTCACTTTCCCTCCTCCCTATTCTTACCCTGATCCCAACGATGCTCTTCCCACTCCTACTGATTCACCATGCTTCTGAACCCGTTCCGACCATGTGAGGGCTCTCCAACCTTCCAAGAGGAATACCGGAACAGTAGCTACGTCCCGGAGGTGATTGAAACCGTGTTGGGCCGCCAGGTCGTGGCACCGAATACTCCCTACGTGGCTGCAGTCGGCCCCAGCGCCCTATACTTTATCGACACCCGATTCGACCCGAAGACGGCCCAGCATATCAAGCTACAGATTGAAAAGGCCTCTGTGCCGCACCCAGACGAATACATCGCCATTGACGAGATCGAGGCCACGGCAGAAGTGAAGAACAGGGTGACTGGCGAAACGACCTTCGTGTTCGACCCCGCCTATGCTCGGGTGCTGTTCGCCAGAGGCATGAACAGGCACAATCCGGACCTCAAACTACCGGAGCATGAGCTCGCCGGCGACTGGTTGGTGACCTACAACCTGGATAAGGTGGTATCTTGACGACGGCAACGCGGGTCCATATGTTATGCGAGATTCATTGCTGCTACACCCAAAAAGAACTGCATACACCAGCCGAGTGGAAAGTGTAAATATGGGTCACGAGTATTGGGTGGACAACGAGTGTGCCAGCGGGCAGCCGAATGCCATCAATAAAGGGTCGCTCACTCTGCTCTAGGTCTGTCGACACCCCCAAGGAAGATGAAGAGATGGATGCAAGTTACTATCAGCGGATGGACGAGTTGCACCTGGGGAGCGCAAGAAGATCTGTGATAGGCTTCTAGGGGGGATTAGGGTACCATGGCTCTAATGGAGGGCGAGGAATGAGCCACGCAAAAATTGCTGTAAGACTTTTGTGTGTTAGTGACATATCCGGTGGAGTTGGTGAGATGAATATATTGCCAACCAACTCGAGTGCCCTTTGGATCGTAGAACTTTCTACTTGGTTGCCTGGCCCGCTTGCTTAATTGCTCGCCCAGCTCAACCTAATTTACTCGGCTTATCCACGCTTTCAACAACATCGGCTGGATCATCCACACTCTCACTACTTCACCCTGAGAGTTTGTCCTTGCCTCCAGAATGCTAGATGTGCCTCCTGTCCTCTCTACTCTGTAAGTAGTGGAATGCATAGACCAAGTCCACTACCAAGACTGTCTTCTAGCCCCTCCGATGAAAAGTCTCGAAGTACCGATCTCTTCCCGAGGGTCCAGAGCCCCAAATCCCCATCATAGTAAGCATGCTGGTATCAACAAATCAATTAGAGCATTATATAATACAAAGCGTTTGCCATTGCTCATGTCTGCAAAACTTCACAGAGAAAGGGTCCCAGAGCAGAGTCTAGGCACAAGCCGCACACAACCACGCTTCCACACAGACAACAAAAAGTTGACAAGAACAAAATGCATCTCACAGCGCGCCTCTCAAACATCTATCCCCCCCCCCCTGCCTTACCACAGCATTACACTCCAACGCCAAACTTGCCCCCCTTCGGAATCGGCAGATACGAACACCCCTTATAATCGCACGTATCCTTATACACCTCCGTCCCCCACCAGCTAAAATGCGCCGACGCGCCACTGTAGAAGATAGCAAAGAAGATGACCACGCCGGCGATGGACACCGACGAATCCAGCGCCGAGCTGAGCACGAAGTTATACTTGTACCACCACTGGTACAGACGCTTGCGGATGAGCACGCCGAAGGTCAGCCCGACGACCGCCCAGCTGCCGTAGTTGGTGCCGGTCGCGGGCGGGAGGTAGTTCAGCCCGCCCAGGAACAGCGGGACGTGGACCCGGCGCCACAGGGAGTTGGGGTAGCGGCGCTGGAGGTAGTACACGGGGATCGGGAGGATGGCGCCGATGATGAAGAAGTACAGCAGGGCGTTGTAGCCGATGCCGTTGTTGAAGAAGTTGCGCGGGCCGATGGCGCCCCAGATCAGACTCGTGTTGAAGTGCGTGCGCGAGTAGGGGCAGGTGAAGCCGTTGACCCCCGTCGTCGTGCACACGCCTTCGATATGGCCTAGGCCCCAGTTGAGGACGCAGACGGAGCTGAGGGTGCCTGCGATCATGCCGACGACTTGGACGAAGAAGACTTTGCGGGGTGGGACCTGCGGAGGGTTTGTCAGATGGAGGTTTTGAGTTGGGCAAGGGAGGAATCATACGTGGCAGTAGTCTCCCAGCTTCATGTCCTGGGCGAAGTAGAGACCTTTGATGGTTGTGATGTAGCCGATGTCGAAGAACCAGATGTTGGCGAGGATGCGGTTCTCGAAGACGAACCCGGCGATGATCCGGCATAGAATATCGATGTTGATCTTCAAATTCGAGGTCGCATACACTAGAGCCAACTATAAACTAATCAGCATGGTGCGTGGAAGTGAATGCGAGGAATCAACTCACCGGTCCGTAGAATACCATGGCAACGGCACAGGCCAGCAGAACGCCATACCAATGCAGCTCAACGCGCCAGTATTCGACGGCAAAGATAGTCACGAAGAGCGCGATGATAGCTGTCAAAAGGTACCACCACGTTGGCACACGGGCATGCGTGCCGGCCTTCTCCGGTTCCTCTTTCTCGCTGGAGAATGACTGGCGGATCAGCGTTGGGATTCTCCGCGCCGCAGCGGTCATGACATCGCGCTTCTCGAGAAATGTCCACACGAGGAGCGAGCTCAGTGTCGCGAAGGACAAACCAAACATGTTCAGAGCGTAGGTGACAGGGGTATAGACCTTTCATGTTTGTCAGCTGCGTTTCGATAACGCTATATCTATCACCACTTACCGGGGAGTAAGCCTTGTACTTTGCCAAGTCCAGTTTGTATCCAGTCGCCGCGCTGACGACCTTGGATGCTTTATACACGGCGCCAGTGTTGTCGTACACTAGAGGTCAGACCCCCCGTTAGCGGAAATATCCCAGGTTGCCGTGAATCATAGACAACTTACCCGACGAGCTCTGGAAGGGGAGATGGCCGGTATACCAGACGTTCGAATAATAGCATGCGACCGCCACGATCCAAATCCAAAAGACCAGACCCGCGAAGACATTAATGATGGCCCAGGAAGGGATCAACAGAGGAGATCCGACATACGAGATCTGACTCCCTGCATAACACTACAGGTAAGCATCGCTCAAACAGGATCAATGGCCGCAAAACTTACAATCGAAGGTGATCGGCAACAGTCCCATGCCACTCGTCATACCAAACAGCTGATTGACGACCGTACTCTTGGGATTAATCCAACAAGGGAAGGTGAAGTAGCTCAGCGCCGGGAAGATGAAGTCCGGAAACCAGTACCAGCAGAAGGAGATGCAGAATGCAAGGCTGAAGAACCCGTACCGCGAAATCTTCCAAGTTGCGTTTCTAGTATTGGTTGGTTAGTTGTCATTCTCTAAGCGAACCGAAGTTCACTTACAGTCCTTGAACGTCCCCCTGGCCTACTTGATGCAGGGTTGTCGTCAGAGCAGTGCAGCTCAGAACGCCAGGCCAAACCAGCTCACGAGGCTCCACCACAAGAGCACGGAAGAACCCAGCCAGACAGAATCCGATGAGGAAGGTCCCAAATGTAATCAGCATCTGGAAACCCCAGCCCGCACTATACCCGTAGAATTTCTGCTGTTCGGTGAGAACATCCGCGCCTAGACGGACGTAGATACTCAGATTCGACATCATATAGACCAAGACATGTTCCTGAATACACGAATGTCAGCACGACTCAACTCGTCACTTGTGAAACGCAAGACACTCACCTTCTGGTTAAACGGGCCCGGGTTCAGATTGAAACTCCAAGCTCCTACAGGCACATTCCAACTGGGGACGACCTTTTCCCAGAGCTTTCCTAACGGGTATGCCAGAAGAAGGACGACGGTGGCTGAGATTGTAATGGACGGATTGCGGAGGGTGTACAGGGTGTTGAGGCCACTGGCAACGATACAGAAGCCGACTCCAAGAACCCACATGCGCAGGGTCAGGACCGGCTCTGTC